GTGGCGATCATAGCTACAGTCTTCACAGAACACAGACAAGTTTGTAATAATGTACAAACTTCACAAAGAAAATGACTTGATTATCACATTTCTTCCAGTAACCAAAAAGCTTATAACTTTCTATGCACCCACAATCAACTTCCCCAAAAACTATACAAACTTACCCAAAAAGGACATGTTAGATCAACAAATTGTGAGTACCAGTATGGAATAACAAACCTCAGGTTTATTTCTTATATTTTTCGCCCTGTGTGCATAATCCAGTGTGCTCAAAGTTTCCTCCAGACAGTGCACAGCTGGCGAAACTGTAGCTATGATGCACGTCTTGGTTCTTCCTCCAAGTGAATCCCGAAGTAATCGTGTTAGCTTGCTATCCCTGATTGCAAATACAATCTGTTATCACAATTGAGAAGAACGAAGAACATAGGCATAAGGATAAAAAGTGCATGCAAACCTGTAAGGGATATGTCCAAGATGTTCCACCAGAGCATTGATTACTCGCCCTAAAGTCAGTAAACTTTTGTTGATTTCTCCGGCTTCCCTTGCACGACCCTAATAATTGTATAACACAAAATAAGAACAGTTCAAGGATAGAATTAATAAAGCAATTCCCAATCACACTAGAAAAAACTAGAACAGTAAAACAAAATATTTTCACCTCTCGAGCACCCGAACGAGAGATATTTTCTGAGCCTGCCAAATCAACCAGATTCAACTTTCCACATTTGATCAACTCTTCACCTTCTGGGGTTGCTTCCTTAATGTGTATCGTGATGGAAAAGAGAGAATGTGACCGACTGAATTCGAAAAAGGAAAAAAAAATTCTGTAACACGCAGAAAAGTTGACACCCCAAAAAAAATGACAGTAAAAGAAGCATTTGCATTACCTTGATTGCTTGTTCAATAAAGTTTCTGCAGTGCGACGCTTTGAAGACCCTCTTTCAAGTAGAGTGAAAATCTCACTAGCACTCGTCACAATTTCCTCCTCTAAACCTCTTACAAGGACTCCACCTTTCCCATCCTCCATGAGAGGCAACTGCTTTTTCTGCTTCTCCTCCAAAGAAACTCTGGAAAGTTCCTCTGGAGCAAGCAGATCGGTAATCTCTTCATTGTAAAGCTCTAAGAAAGTGACTTTTACACTGTACTCTGCGTTCTGGCCCTCAAGGGTATCAAAAATCTGCTGGACAGCCCTCGGAATAACTCCAGCTTCGGGAGGCAATTCTCCATTTGGCCCACTCTGTTGCAAGGGCCCATGATATCAACCGTTTTTATAAACAAAAAAGTATAAAACATCACCACGAAACTAATTACAAGACAAAGGACACACAGTACCTTTGCCCTTTTGCATTCACCCTCCATTGTGTAGGTCTTTCCTGTACCAGTTTGACCGTAAGCAAAAATGGTACAATTGAAGCCTTCTAAGACTTCATTCACTATCGGAATCACAGCTTGCTCATAAAGATCCCTCTGCTGAGCATTGGGACCAAAAACCTAAAAAAAAGCAACAAAAATAATAAAAAAATTGGAGCATTACTCTACCAAATTGAAAGTTTTCATACAAGAAAACATGAAACAAGAAAACAGCGTATGGGTTGAAGGAAAATACCTTATCGAAAGTGAAAACCCTATCTATATGCTTGCCTGCAATGTTCTGGGACACAGCCACTTCTCTCATGTATTCATTGCAAGTAATAACCTGCGGGGCATTGCTCCGCAACTCATCGTCACTAAACGGCCTAAAGCAGAATTAAAATTAGCAAATTAAGAATATGGGCAAGTAATTAGGGATTTCAAAATGATGCCGCATAAATCTGTAACAATTTTTAAAAAACCCTAACCATAGAGAAGGGAAGTACCTGCAACGAAGGAGGACCTGGACGTTGACGCCCTTCTCCTTATCGTGGCGACCCGACATTCTGATGCGATGGCGAGAAGGCGAGGGAGAGCCGCACGAACCTATGATGTTTTCGCTTGTACTAGATCCACTCCCCCAAATGTTTCTCTGTGCTTCTCTCTCACACACACACTCTCTCTCTCTCTCCTTCTCTCTGTATCTCTGTGGAGAGAATGTGAAATGCGAAATGGTTTTCTCTCCCTCTTTTGGTCTGAAATGGGAAGAGAGCGGGATGAGAGTGAGATTTGAAATTTTGAGAGGCGCTCTCTCTCTCTAAATATTATATCGACGGCTCCACTTCAAAGGTTCAAAGAATGTAGATCGGACGGTTTCGATGATGTGGATATGTTCAATTTCAATTTCAGGTTCGTGGATTAGACTATATTGCCCTTGTTTTTTGTCGGACCAGGGAATATTGTGTTTTGCAGGCTCTGGTCGCATAGTATTTAAAGAAGTCACTTGTGAGTCCTATATGGGTACTGGATTGCTAGTTTTAGGCCTTTGGGCTTGGCTTTCCTTGCACAAAGCTAATTTTACAACGGACTATATACACAATAATATTAAGCGAAATTCTATAGTGATGGAAATATATATGGTAGTCGCAAATTAGGTATCAAATTCACGACACATATGTGATGTTCTCACAAGTTGAACATAAGACATCCTACAACAAAATGAAGATAACGACCACTAAATCAAAAGCTAATAGATAGTAAGTCTTTCAAAAAAGAAAGCCAAATCCACCATATATAAGCTTTCGCATTGTGTCACATCCCGGATCGGCTCCGTCGTAGCACGATATTGTCCGTTTTGGGCCTCCCTTTCTGCCCTCACAGTTTTGTTTCTATGAGCTCACAAGCAACTTCTCAATAGATCACCCATCCTAGGATTTCTCTAGCCTAAACTTACTTAACTTCGGAGTTCTCATGACTCTGAAGCTAGTGAGCTCCCAAAAGACCTCGTGCTAGATGGAGGTAGGCATGTACATATAAGGCACATCACCTTCTCTCCGTTGGTTGATGTGGGATGTTACAATCCACCCCCTTAGGGGCTCGACGTCCTCGTCGGCACACTCGCATCACACGGCAAAGTGGCTCTGATACCAAATTGTCACATCCCTGATTGGCTCCGTCATAGCACGATATTATCCGCTTTGGGCCCCCTTCTCTGCCCTTACGGTTTTGTTTCTAGGAGCTTACAAGCAACTTCCCAGTGGGTCATCCATTCTAGGATTGCTCTAGCCCAAACTTGCTTAACTTCGGAGTTCCCATGACTCCGAAGCCAATGAGCTCCCAAAAGGCCTTGTGCTAGACAGAGGTGGGCATGTACATATAAGGCACATCACCCCCTCTCCGTTAGTCGATGTGGGATGTTACACATTGCGACTTTCACAACCTCTTCTAAATCAAATGGCATTGGGGTTTGATCTATGAGCCTCAGTGATGGGCCGTAAGAAAAGGCGTGGGTTACATTCTAATATTGAATGTCAACCTAGACTGCTCCCAACATAATGTTTGCTATTTCACCAGTGACTTAGCTGCCATACAATTTCCAACGTTGATAAAAAAAAAAATTCCACTGGATATATAGTTATTTGACAAATCCTTCAGTCATGTTGATGGGTAAAACCCGAAGTGAGCCTCTCTTTGACAACACAATCTTCTATGTTGTGGCGTGATCTCTCATACATGTTTTTGTTCTCTCTCCTAGCTCGTCATAGCTCCTGCTCATCACTCTTATCAAATAACAGCAAAAAGAATGGTGGTGGAGATCGAACACCGAATGCAGGTAGAGATCCAAAGTCGAGACGCAGCCGCCTATGATGGTTGGAGGAAAATCATAACAAAACGAAAACAAATAGGGAAAACCTTTTGTCTCTGAAAATGAGGGAAGAAAATAGGGGGGAAGAGAAGATGGGAGAGAGGAGAGGGGAGGAAGAACAGTGGCTTCCTTCCCCCTCAAAGTGAAAACCGCTCTATGAGGGTTTTTTTAAGAGAAAAGGGGCTAAGGTTTGGTATTAGCAGATTGTTGATTTCACTTTAGGCTTAAATGTATAAAGAAATGCAATACGATTAAATATTAGCCTACTAACTCATAGCCACACACAACATTTTTTTTTCTCAGCCAATGGAAAAGAACAAGATCATACAAACATAACTTACAAAAAAAAACAATAAAACATTAGAACATTAAAATAACACAACTTACACTTTTTTTCTTGTTCCATTATTGTTTGTTGTTTGTCAAACTCAAATACAGCATTAATATATTATAACATTATTAAATCAATGGTACTAAGCTCTAAATCTTCCTCAATTTGCATACAATCTAAGGTATTATCTCACTTTTATTTCTCAAGTTTCTGATCTTTATTCATTGGTTGTTTTTTTGCTAATTAATTGGCTCTAATTTTTGGTTATATTGATTTGTGTGTGTGTGTGTGTGTTTTTTTTTTTGGTTTGGTTGTACTTATTTGTGTTAGTGTTTAGAAAAAGAATTTCTAAATTTAACTAGACTATAGGCCTTGTTTGCGTTTAGTTATGTTGTTTTCGTGCTTTAGCCCCACTAAAAAAAATTCTAGACAATTTAAACCATTATATATTATATTATAGAAGAAGCCAAGAAAAAAAAATTAACCAGGCCCTAAATAAATTCATGTTTCCGTCATTGCTCACCATATAATATTAAATAAATAGTATTTGAAATTATTTGTTTATTACTTTGATGTATAAATCTTTATAATTAGCATAATTTAAAGACTTTTAAGGTGCTTGAATCCATGGGGCAATACCCTTAAAAAATGTCATTAAAATGTTGGAAAATTTAGTCTTTCAAAATCTTCTCAATTGAAAGGTCAATTGTTTCATAACCAGATTCTGCACCAAGTCACCTACCAAATAGTACGAGGGCCTATAGAAATCAATGAAAAATTCATTAATTAGCCATGCTGCCCTAAGGTTCGTTTTTATACAAAGAAAGACAATGATGCGACCCTCCACCCCACCCTTTTTGCCTATAAAATATCCCACTCTCACGTACTAGCACTACAAAACAACAGCACTAAAAAGCCACTGCTGATACGAAATATTTCATCAAGACTTTGAAAATGGCTGAGCCAAAAGGCCGACCAGTTGGCGGCACAGAGACCAGCTGCTATCGCGCCGTGCCTGGCGGCACCGGCATCACGGTGCTAGCCCTTCATGCCTCGAAACCCCCGGATGTGCTCAATCTCCAAACTGCCCTCCTTAAAGTCCAAAACTCTCACCCCATCCTCAACTCAAGGCTCCATAAAAACCCCAAAACAAACACACTCTACTTTGTCCCATCCCTCACTCCCTATGTCCAAATCAAATCGTTCAGCCTCTCATCAACTTTGGAAATCCTTGAAACCCTCTACAGCCCAATTAGCAACCCCTCAGTCTCTACTTTTCACCTGATCCTTGAGCATGAGCTGAACCAAAACCCTTGGCAGCTGAAGAACACTACATGCACAATTGACCAAGACATGTTCTTCGCAAGCATCTATGCTCTGCCAAGAGCCACGTGGGTCATGGCGCTGAGGCTTCATGTCTCAGCGTGTGACCGTACCACGTCAGTGTCTTTGCTAAGAGAGGTGGTGGGGTTGATGGGTGGTGGAGACGAAGGGGGAGAGGTGAATATGGAAATTGGGAACAGAGGGGAGGTCAATTTGGGAATTGAGGATCTTATTCCTCGTGGGAAGGGTAAGAAGGCTATGTGGGTACGTGGAATGGACATGCTTAGTTACTCTGTTAATTCCCCGAGGCTGACTAATTTGAAATTCACCGACACCAAATCGGCTAGGGTTTCTCGGGTGGTGAGGCTACAGATGAATGAAGATGACACTCGGAGGGTTCTCAATGTAAGTTTTGTTACATTAACCATTTAATTTGTACATATATATACCATGGATTGATTAATTTATTTAATTTATGGTATTAGCTTAATTAATTTAATTATTGTAGGGATGCAAGACAAGAGGGATTAAATTATGTGCAGCATTGGTGGCTACTGGTTTGATGGTTGTGGATAAGTATCGTCTGGAAAATCAGAAGAAGTACGGTGTAGTGACACTCACTGATTGTCGATCCAAACTCCATCCAGCTCTTTCACATAAACATTTTGGTAATTCACAAACCCTGTTCAAATACCATTTTTGCATTCATGACTGTTCGGGAGTAAAAATATCTTGTACGCGCTAGGGAAATTACATTATTGTATCACTTGTGTATATGTTTGTTACAGTATGTTTGGATGAGGGAAATAAACTTGGGATTTTGACAAAAGTCAGAATTTCTAAATTGACAATAACCAATTTCCGTGTTTGGATACAAAAACATAGAAATTTAGAAATTCCATGTGGGAAAAAAAATGGAATTTGGAAGTCATAAATCTCAACTTTAATATCTAAAAGTCGTCATTTCTAAAATTCCAAGAGAGATTGAGTTTTTTAAAAATATAACTTTACAAATAAAGGTTAAATTTCATATTTTAAATCTGTCATCCAAATAAGAAACTTTACAAATTATAGAATATTAATTTCCGTCATTTTTGAATTCCGTCATTAATTCTATACTTTTAAATTTTCTCATCCAAACATATCGTAATAGATGTAGGGTAGTTATATCATATTTCTGTTAGATATATGATGCACAATGTATTATTGTATCACTTGTGTACATTCCCTAATAAATGTAGGTCATATGTTATATTTCTAAAAGATATATGGTGCACAATGTGGTACAATAACAAATATTCCTAACATTTTCCGTCTAGAAATATTTTAGGACTATTTGGCAACATAATTATCTTATATGACATGATTGCATAAGTTGTGATCAGATTCGCTATGTCTTAGAATATTAATTATATATGTGTTTCGTGTCTCACAATATAAATTGTATTATGAGGACATTTCTCTAATTCTATAAATTTTCACAAATTGAACATGATATAACTTCATGTAATTAAGGTAGGTTAGTAAAACATACATTTGTCGTGTTAAAATCAAATTACTTATGTGACACCCATGCGACTTGTTTCTTATTCATGTTCATAGGAAACATAATTCTCACATTTGTACTTATAAAAGTTAGTCACATTATTATGTGTTATCTGTACGAATACGATGTGTCGTAGGTGTGGGGGCACATATTTACAAACATTAATTGACACAACCATTTTGCTAACAGTCACTATCCTAAAGTGTACCAGATGGCATCTTTTTTTGACACATGTCCTGCTGACCCAGCCAACCTATGGGAGCTGGCCAACAAAACCTACAAGGCCTTTGCAAGCTCTAAGAGCAACAACAAGCACTTCTCAAACATGGCTGACCTTAACTTCCTGATGTGCAAGGCCATCGACAACCCTACCTTGACCTCGTCGTCTCTCTTAAGAACATCGTTCATGTCAGTGTTTGAGGACCCAGTGATTGATGATTCAAACGACAAGCAGAGAGAGCTGGGGCTGGAGGAATACATGGGGTGTGCTTCAGTGCATGGCATTGGCCCTTCCATTGCAATCTTCGACACGATTAGAGATGGACGGCTAGATTGTGTTTGTGTGTACCCAGCACCATTGCACTGGAGATAGCAAATGCAAGGGTTGGTTGATGACATGAAGACAATTCTTGTGGGTTGTGATGGCAATGTAGAATGGAAGATCTAAAAAGTTGTTACGAAATTTGAGTAATAATGTGTATGGATCATGTATCACTTTTTTGCTTACATATTTATAATTTGCGTTATTGTGTCACGCATGATCAATTAATTAACTTATGCCAAAAGAAAAACAAGTTTTTACATCCAAATTTTTCTTGTTCAATAAGTTTTTACTTCCAAAATTGTTTTGTTTTGTTTTGCAAGTAAAAACAGAAATTTTTTGTTTTTGTTGGTGAGAGAGAGAGAGAGGGGGGGGGGGCTTGAAGATTTCTTTAATGCACATCGGTAGACGCAATTAATAAGGCAACTGATCACCTACCAAAACAGAGGGCAGGGCAAATGAAAACTTAATGCGAAATTCAACCATTTGTCTTAAAATCTTACCATCACAAGTCTTCAAAATTTATACACATAATGGCCATGTGATGTGACTCTCCATCAATTTGTATATAAATCTCACCACAACTTACCATTATATTGTAACTCTAGCTATTAGCTACCAAAAGCAAAACAAAACAAAAAAACCTAGCTATACTTCTACTATTTCGGTAAGGCTTTGAAAATGGCTGATCAGCCAAGAGGTTGAGCAGTTGGTGCCATGGAGAACAGCTGGTGCCGCGCCGTGCCCAGCGGCACTAGCATAACGGTGCTGGGTTTTGACATCTCCCGCGCTCCGAATATGGTCAAATACCAAATTGCACTTCACAAGCTGCAAAATGCCCATCCAATCCTAAACTCCAGGCTCCATACCAACACCAAAACGAACACATTCTCCTTTGTCACATCCCCCACCCCTTTTGTCCAAATCAAAACATTCGACCTCTCATCAACTTTGGAAATCCTTGAAACCTTATCAAACCCAAGTAATAATTCAATCTCTCCCTTCCACCTGATCCTTGAACACGAGCTAAACAAAAACACTTGGACTAAACTACTACTACTACTTCTTCTTCATCAAGTGCTAGCACAAATGATCAAGACATGTTCTTTGGAACAATCTACACCCTCCCCAATGTGAAGTGGGTGGCCGTGATGAGGCTACATGTGTCAGCTTGTGACCACACCATGGCTGAGACTATTCTGAGAAAGTTGCTGGGGTACTTGATTGGTGGTACTAATGATGGAGAGGGGAGAAGGATAGAGAAGGAAATTGGGAGTAAATGAGAGGTCAATTCGGGAATTGAGGACCTTGTTCTTTCTAGGATTGCTAAGAAGCAGTTTTGGGCTCGTGGGGTGGACATGCTTAGTTACTCTCTCAACTCCCTGAGGCTCACAAATTTGAAATTCAAAGACACCAAGTCAGCTAGATCTTCTCAGGTGGTAAGGTTTCAAATGAATCAAGAGGAAACTCAAAGGATTCTCGATGTAAGTTTAATATATGCATACACCTTTAATATATATATATAGTCAATAATTCGAGTATCAATCTACAGCACCTGATACATTGTCGAATACAGAAGATAACCAAACTTTTTTTCATTTGGATATTATGGCACTTATTGAGCAATCTTGCTTGTCATCAATGAAATCAAAATTTGTAGGGTTGCAAGGCTAAAGGGATTAAATTATGTGGAGCATTGGTAGCTACTGGATTGATGGCTGCAGATAAGTGCTCTAAACATCATCAAAAGAAGAAGTATGGGGTACTAATACTCATTGATTGCCGCTCCAATTTTGATCCAGCTATTTCAATTCACCATTTTGGTAAATTCACATCCCCCCTGGTCATTCTAATTCCATACAGTATAAATTTTTCTATACAATAAATCAAAACCATATATATTTATGCATGTCAAAATGATTGAAATACCCTTTGACATTCAGGAAATTATCACTCCGTCATCCCCCACATCTACACCATCAAATGAGGAGAAAACCTGTGGAAGCTTGCCAAGAAAACCTACACGGCCTTTGCAAGCTCTAAGAACAAGGACAAACACTTCACAGACTTAGCTGCCCTGAGCTTCGTGATGTGCAAGGTGATCGAAAACCCGGCATTGACCCCATCATCTTCCTTGCGATCATCATTCATGACAGTGTTTGAAGACACCATCATTGATGATTACAATGACATGCAACGAGAGCTGGGAGTAGATGACTATATCGGCTGCGCTTCGATTCACAACATCAGCCCTTCCATTGCGATTTTCGACACAATAAGGAATGGAAGGCTGGATTGTGTTTGTGTGTATCCATCGCCATTGCACGCGAGAGAGCAAATGCAGGAGCTGGTTGATAACATGAAGAAAATTCTTGTGGATTTGGTATAGATCAGTGTGTGACCAAGTTGACCAACAAAAATTTGGTATGATTTGGATCGGTCTCAATGGTACACCTTTATGGGGTTCAAGTTCATTTTTCAGTTATGAGTTTAATTTTATTCAACTTTGCAGTGTGTTTCTTTAAGTGTTTAGGGATCACATTTATATTAACTTGAGTTTTTCGGGTTTTCTACTCTCCCATGTTGAGATTGTGAGATTTTTTTTTTTTTTTTTTTTTTTTTTTTTTTTTTTTTTTTCGAGTAGTTCTATAATTGCATTCATAATTCAGCCAAAAAAGTCACTAGCCACAAAGGGCCAATACAAACTAGCCACAAAATGACCATTACAATAATGGAGCGGTCTAATATCAAAATTAAGGCAATCTAGTGCGTCTCCACTAACGATCGATCAAGTAGGATCGAAGAAACTCTGGCATAGGCATCCCAACTAAGATTGCAAACTTAGAATAATAAAAAAAAAGATAAAGCTTGAAAAAACCAAGCCATAACAATACAAATAAAACTCTCACAAAGGAGAGATGAAAAGCTCTCACAAAAGAGAGATGAAAAATTCTCACAAAAGGAGAGGTGAAAACTACACAGAGAACCCAAAGAGTCTCTGCAACTTATTCCAAACATAAAGAAATTGCAAAAAAGATGGTAGTGGAAATCCGATGCCGAAATGTAGGTGAAGATCCGACGCTGAGCCGCAATCGCCTATAATGGTTGGATGAAAATCATAACAAAACTAAGACAAATAGGGAAAACCTTTTGTCTCTGAAAATGAGGAAAAAGGTGAAAGGAGGAAGAGAAGAGGGGAGAGTGGGGAAGAACAATGGCTTCCTCCCCCCTCAAAGTGGAAAACGCTCTAAAAGTATTTTTTGGGAGAAAGAGGACTAGGGTTTTTTCTAGACCCTAAACTATAAGGGGGCCGTTTATTTTATTATTTTTGTATTGATGATGAGAGTGTGAGCTTAATCACGGAAGATCCGGCTGGAGTTTGGTTCATGCTAAATTATTTTGGGCTTTGAGAGGTCCATATAACCTAAAAGAAAAGGTACAAATGTTAGATATAAATAAATCAATTTAAAAACTATAAATATATTCCAAATTCAAATAAAATGATAAACTTGATTCCAAATTAATCAATGTATGCCATATTTTTGTAAAGTCTAAAAACCAACAGTTTTACCCTTTGAACCAAATTTGAAAAGGAAAAAAAGAAATATGACGCCAAATAAACTATTTAGTGAACTCAATATTGTAATAGCTAGCACACACATGATGAGAGAAATAGAGAGTCCCGCTTTTCATCAACATTATGATTCGGCTACTTAATACAAAGTCACTCCGTATTAAATTTAGAGATTTTTGTAGAAATGTCACCTGAACTTGTACCTCAATTTCAATTTGTTACCTTAAATAAAAATTTAAGAAAAATGTGACTTTAATTTTTCACAATCCATGATTTCTCATCTAACTTTAACACAATCCAATTTTTCATCTATTTTAAGTTTATTTTATTCCATTTTCAAGGGTATTTTAAAAAAAAAAAAAAAAATTATATTAAAAAAAAAATGAAAAAATCAATATAAAAAAATATATATTTTTTATAAAAACAAAAAAAAAAAAAAAAAAAAAAAAAAAAAAAAAAAACAAATCAGCTTCCCCATCCCTATGCACCACCAGTGGCTCCAACCAACCCCACACACCTTGAAATCCATTCATCCTTCCCTCTTCACCTTCCTCCTTCCCTCTCTACAACGGAACACCAACCCTCCGCACACAAATTCCCTCATCCTACCTTTTTCTTCTTATTTTTTTTTCTTTTTGGTATTTTTCCATTTTAATAATGAAAATTTATGGAATGACAACTACCAAACCAACAATTTGCTAGCCTACATAACAAATGATGACCAAGCAAACTTTAGAGGGGTGAGGGAGGTTCCTATGTGTGTGTGTGTGTGTGTGTGTGAGAGAGAGAGAGAGAGAGAGAGTCCTATGCGATGTGTTTTGGGGGTAGGTGGGGGAGAGAATGAGAGGTACGTCTCTTTTTTCTCTATTTTTTTTTCCTTGAAAATGGAAGGACTAAAATACCGTTAAAAATAGATGGAAAATTGAATGGTGTTAAAGTTAGATGACAAATCATGAATTTTGAAAAGAAAAGAAAAAAAATAGTTACATTTCTCTTAAATTTTTCTTGAAAATGAGGTATAACTACATTTCTACAAAAATATACAAGAATAAGAGTGTTGCTATTTTCACCCACCTGTCCTATTTTCCTACCCACCTTATCTTCCCACCCACAATGAAAATTTGAAAAACCACAATCCTATCTTTGCACCCACTATTATTCCTAAAGTACCCTTCCATTCACTTAACTCTTTTAACTCTAACTTAACACTATTGATTGAGTCCCAAAAAAATATTAATTAATTAATTAATTAATTAAATAAAAAAAGGTTTTCAGCAGCCACCCACCGCACACCCCATCAAACCTTAACAAGAACCACCCATACCTTCCACCTTGAGCCAAGCCTCCCCTCCTCCGTTCTCCTCCTCATGTATCTTTCACCATTATTTCAGTTGTATTGAACAACACCTTGAAACCCCAATCTAACATTCTTCTCCTATCTCCATTTCAATCAACCCACGAATAAACAACCCACGAGAAATATTACATCTATTGGCCAAAATTTGAGACAACACTTCTTCGACTGCATTGCCTGCCAAAGTTGCTCATCCTAGTCTTCATCAATATCAGCAACTTCACGGCCCTTTATTCCTCCAAGTCTCCAATTTGAGAGAGATAGAACATTCCAATCTTTATTCTTTCCTTCTTAACTATTTCCTAGACATGCTCAGTTTGAGGTTACAGGGATTCAACCCTTTTGAAACCAAAATAAATTTTTTTTAAATGCAAAAGTTGTCATAAAAGCGACACTGGGATTTTGTCAATCAATGTCATAAGGCCTTCTCCAACATATGAGGGCTTAAACCCAAATTTCCCCCCTCCAAAAAGTGACTATTTGGGTTTTGCCTAGACTCAAATTGTTTTTTCTCCCAACCCTACGGACTCAAATTTTAGGTCCGCAACTTTATTGAATTGTTTAAGAATGGTTTAAGTCTAATTTTTATTTTTATTTTATTTTTTATGGATAACTTTTCTTCATTTAATCTTTTTAAATAACATCATAATTTATTTTTTTTGAACAATTTGACCTAAAAAAAATTGAAATTCCATAAATTTAATTTTATTCCAAAAGTAAACACACAACATAATTGAAACACAAAATGAGGATTGAAACAATTGTCGACCTCATTCACCATCTCCAAAGCTCCTCCAAAGGTGATTGATCAAATCATTTCGGAGACTCTGATGCACATGTGGAGATCGAACTCTATTATGACGAATCATGTAATCAGAGAGAGTATGCATATCTTGATGGTACTCATATGTAATGCTTGGCTCCAACTCATATTGTTTTGCTCTAGCCCTCCTGGATCGTTGTGGACGCATATCCTCATCATCAGATTCCTCTTCAACATATTTGTACTCATCCTTCACAATCATGTTGTGCAAAATTATACACGTCATCATGATTGAGTGGAGGTTATCTTTGCACCACATACGTGTAGGGCCCTGAACAAAAGCCTATCGAGCCTGTAGTATTCCAAATGCTCTTTCAACATCCTTCCTGTACGCTTCTTGCATTTGTGCAAAAAGCCTATTCTTTGGGTTATCAGGAGAAGATATGGTCTTCACCAAAGTAGCCCAACGAGGGTAGATCCCATCTGCCAAATAGTAGCCCAAATGATATTGATTTCCATTGATAATATATTCAACATGATGAGCCACTCCATATACCACATCATTGAACAATGGAGAACGAGCTAAAATGTTGATATCATTGTTGGATCCAGTGGCTCCAAAAAAGGCATGCCATATCCATGTGTCGTACAAGGCCACAGCCTCTAGCACAACAGTGGGTTTTTTTTTGTGACCGGTAAACTGGTTTGCACAAGAAGATGGGCAATTATTCCATTCCCAGTGCATGCAGTCAAGACTTCCTAACATGCATGGGAAGCCTCGACTGCTTGCCTTGTGCAATAGCTTGTAAAGGTCAGCTGGATTTGGAGACCTGAGGTACCATTGACCATACACGGCTTCAACAGCGCAACAAAACTTTCGGAGTGACTCAAGAGCTATGCTTTCACTAAATATACAGTACTCGTCGGTTGCGTCAGCTGAGCATCCCCATGTGAGCATACAAAAGACAGCGGTTAACTTTTGCTCAGGGAATAGCCCTTGTCGGCCGAGCCCGTCTTTTTTTTTTGGCGAAAGAATGGCTCGTTGTTAACAACATCATTCAAGATGCGGTAAAACAACTCTTTCCGCATTCAGAACCGCCTACGAAAGTCGGTAGCATTAAAATGTGGCCTTTCAACGAAGTAGTCGGACATGAAATTGCGATGACGATCTTCCCTCTCACGGTTCTTGTACACACGACCGACTACCGACCCACCATGTTTGTTGGCTTCATTCTCTTGTGAAGTATGGTGGACAATGACTTCAATCACTCTCTGATGATGTTCTTCATCATCTAAATCATCATCAAACATAAAGGAAAAGATAGTCTTGCCACGGTTATCCATTGAAAACTTCAAATAATATGAAAAGTATGAGAATGAAGGAGATGATGTGCTTGAAATGATATCAAAAGTATGAGAATGAAAGGAGATTGATGAGATTGACAAAGGAAAAATAAATTAAGAAATAGATAAAATGTTTTTGGTAGATTATGTGAGAAATGGATGGATATTTATAGAGTTTGGAGTGAGTTTTGGGGTTGGATATGATCTATATTATTTTAAAATATTATTTTAACCACTGGATTTAAATTTCAGCCGTTGGATCTTTCTTTTTACCTTAAAATAGCTTAGATTTAATCCCAATTGATTGATTACATACATGAAAAAAAAAAAAAAAAAAAAAAAAAAAAAAAAAAAAAAAGCAAGCATAATTTCAGATGTTGCCGTTGGATTTCAACGGCAACTTCCTAGGTGATTGACAAGTGGCGTTTTGGAAGAAAAGATGGCAGCATAAAAAAACGAGGTGGGGCCCACTGAGGAATCTTTGCACATGAGAGGGTTGCTGATATGAAAGTGGGCTCCACGAAAATATTTGGGTCTGGACAATAAATGGTCTGGTATTTTGGTCCAAATTTGGGTTTTCCCAAATTTTGGCTCTTTCATTTTCATGGGTTGGGAGAGGTTTGGAGCCATATTTTGGGTTTAGGTCTTTGGGTTGGAGATGGCCTAAGTGCAGCAAAGTCTAACATTTAATAGAAGCTGCAATCGTATGAAGATCTATGGCCTACCTAGACAACAATAAACAAAGAGTAAAAGAAATTTATTTTTGCTAATTTAGATTTATGAAAAAAGAAAAATAGAGGGGAGGGCAACTGGGAATCTTACAAGAGCAACTCATTTGGTTTAGGTGGCAATTGATGATGTGGCTGGCGGTGAGGTGAGGAGGGGAGGTTGGTTTGGTTGTCACGGGGTTGGGTGGGTGGTCTGAGGGTTATTTGCTAGGCTCTTTTATTTATTTATTCTAATTTTCTGTTTTTATTTTTACTTTTATTTTCTTGATTTAACGGTGTTAACTTAGAGTTAAGTCCTTAAAAGTCATTTTACAATAAAGTAAATTTGCTTTTAAAATTTTGAAAATAAGATGGATGGATGAAGAAATAGGATAATGGGGTGGGAATAGCAGCACTCAAGAATAATTAAGCGCAGATGCTTTTGGAGAATAGCATATGCCTAGGGGTAATCTAAAAAAACGAAAATGTACAGAAATTAAGATTTGACAGAAAGCGTGGCCCATTATAAACAATAAAACACGTGTGGCCAAACATAATCTACAAACCTTAATCAGTCTTCTTCCAGTTCCTATTATCTAACATTTTCAAAGCAGACTTCTTTATCTTTCTCTCAACTCCAACATGTCGGAGTGGGGTCATCAAAACCTCAACCCAGAAGCAATGCCGGAGCCCAAGACCCGACCCGTGGGCGGAACCGAGTACAGCTGGTGCAAAGCCGTCCCCTCTGGCACCGGCATAACAGTCCTAGCCCTCCTCCTCTCCAAACCCCCAAACTTCTCAATTCTCCAAACTGCCCTCCACAACATCCAAAATTCCCATCCTGTCCTCCGCTCCAAACACCTCTCCGATCCCACCACAAACACCTTTTCCTTCCTCACACCCCCAACTCCCCACCTCCAAATCCAACGGTTCGATCTCCCATCGACGGTTCTCATTCTCCAAAACCAAAACCAGCCCAACATCCCCGCGTTCCATCTAATCCTCGAGCACGAGCTCAACATTAACACGTGGCGCAATCCCAACCCTTCGTCGGACTCTGACACGGACGTGCTATTTGCGAGCGTGTACACTATAAGCGAGTCCCGGTGGGCCCTGGCGCTCCGCGTGCACACGTCAGCGTGCGACCGCGCTGCGGCCGTGGCGCTGCTGAGGGCGCTGTTGGCCGAGATGAAGTCGACGGGGGAAGGAGGGGCAGAGAGGGAATTAAAGGGAAATGGGGAGGTCAGTTTGGGAATTGAGGATTTGATCCCAAACGGGAAGGCGAACAAGCCGTTTTGGGCGCGTGGCGTGGACTTGCTTGGGTACTCTTTGAATTCGCTGAGGCTATCGAATCTAGATTTCAAAGACGCGAGCTCGGCGAGGCGTTCTCAGGTGGTGAAATTACAGTTAAACCCACATGACTGCCAGAGGCTTCTTGCTGTAAGTTAATTTCCAGTGTCTTGGATTATTATTATTATTATTATTATTATTTCTTAAGATAGTCAATATTTAACTGTACGCATGCATGTGATTGTAATGTTTAAATGCCACCTCACAATAGTTTTACTAGATTTTTGGCAAAAATCACCTTTAGTTTATGTAGTTTGCCAATTTTATCATTTTTGCCATGGTAGTTTTAATTTTGATAATTTTATCTCTATAGTTTTAAATACGAGCAATTCAAGGACAGATTAAATTCTGTCAAATCGCTTGCTAAAAAATTTAATTCAAAGGAATTTGACACAATTTGTAACTTGTACTTTAATCGCCAGGATTTAATTATATGGATAAAATTGACAAAATTGAAACTGCATAGACTAAAATGATAAAACCGACAAACTATAGAAATCAAAAATGACTTATTTTTCTTCCACCTCTTATTCTATAAAAATGATACTCTAAACAACTTTAATTTACAAAGAAATTGGTTTTTAGGTATACTACGAGACCATATTCTAGTACCACTATAATTACCATAATAAAGTAATGAAATCAAAATAATCCGAGATGGGCTCCATATTGTGACATCCAGAATGGGGATGATGTGGGCGCGCCCTGTGGGCTTCGCGTTTCGAATAAGACCAATTTGAGTCTGGTGGTTAGGTTTGGTCCACTATCCCATCATCCCTTGTCTTTTCTAAAAGGTTGCAGTACTAGGGATGGGAGTCATGTGGGCTGGATGATTTGTCACTTTTCGTGGACAGACATCCGCGGGCTTATCACCTTTCTTGTATGATTAACTCAAACATGTTATGATTAACGAAATGGGTCTGGTTAAGATTGATTAGTACTTCACCAAATATCAAGTAACATGACTTGAACACAACTTGTTAGGTGACCAATTAGCTCCGAGTCTAGTGATGCTAGTTATAATCTCAACGTTATAAGAGGTTCCAAGACCTTGGGGAAAAAGAAAAACCCTCTACTTGTGGTAGACATACCTCGACATGCCTCGAAATGTTTATTATTTGTGTTAGCAAGTCATGTCATTTTTTAGGTTCATGTGAAGCAATGGTCAACCCGAATCTGTATATTTCATGTTGGTTTGAAGTTGTGTTCTCGTGTGATGTCAAGCATTGTCACTGATGGTGTTGATAGCTTAGTTCTTGGAGTCTATGCCTACAAGTGGTTGTTATGGATTCAACAAATACTCTAGCTAGCTATGAGTCTATGACTCTATGAGGCTTCTTTCTCTTCTTCGGCGGCCAATTTGTGAGAGACATTGCAGTGCATCAATAATACAGTTTTGATTTTTGACCAGCCCAAGCTGACATTTTCATTTTTCTCTAAATGAAGACAATCATATATGAAGCTGGTTAAATTTGACCATGCCTCAGGACTTGGTCACTTTAATGGTGATTGAACTTTTCAGGGTTGCAAATCTAGAGAAATAAAATTATCTGGAGCCTTGGCAGCTGCTGGATTGATTGCTGCGCATGCCTCTAAGCACCTCCCGGATTATCAATGGGAGAAATATGCTGTTGTAACTCTCCTTGACTGCCGCTCCATTCTTGAACCACCCCTCAGTTCCAATAATCTTGGTAAGCCCCTGCAAATGATTTTTCAAATTGAAAATTTGAAAGTCAGCTCTAAAAAAAGGTCACCGATATCGGAGAAAAGGTTGAGTATATTTAAAGTCAATAGTCATCAATGAGAATACAGTGGCAATTATTTGAATGCTGATGAAATAAGATTGATATTCATCCCTAAATGATTCAGGGTTTTATCATTCTGCCATCATGAATACGCATGACATAAATGGAGGAAACACACTCTGGGAGCTGGCAAAGAGATGCTACATTGCCTTCGCAAATGCCAAGAACTCAAACAAGCATTTCACAGACATGTCAGACCTCAACTTCCTCATGTGCAAGGCTATCGAAAACCCTGGCTTGACCCCGTCATCGTCGATGAGAACTGCATTTATCTCAGTGTTCGAGGACTCGGTGATTGATGATTCTAGTGAGGTGCACCAAGAGCTTGGGGTGGAGGACTACGAGGGCTGCGCTTCAGTCCATGGCGTTGGCCCCTCTATGGCCATTTTCGACACCATACGTGATGGGGCGTTGAATTGCGCATGTGTTCATCCGTCGCCATTGCATTCGAGGGAACAAATGCAGGACTTGATGGATCGTATGAAGAGAATTCTTGTAGAAGGTTGTGATGATGTTGAGAGTGAGAGCTAGATATGGTTGTGTTGTATGAGCTTAATGATGGATTTCAATCTTTCATTGTGGTGCAGCACCAATTTAGTTCCACTCAAATAATCAGATGAATGCATGCTCATGGGCCTGGGCTACAAAACTTTGGACGAAAAGACGGCAAGCCCATCTACCTCCTTAAATGCACTGTTCTCTTTCTCCCCAGGAAGGAAGTTCATGGTTTTACGTTGTTGTAGAACGTTGTTGTAGTATGAGAGAATGTGCAATAAATTCGACTACAAAATTTGTTTCCTATAGAGATGCCAAACTCTATAAATTGCTCCTTTATTCAGAATCTCTGCAAGTATCAAAGTAGCTATATAGAATGTTCCTACTTCTTCAGCATTGGGCTATCTCCAGCACCATTGTGTTCAGTGGCGGACTCAGGATTCCAAATATGGCAGTAGGCACACAACCTTACAACTACTAATAAAGTTGATTTTTTTTTTTTTTTTTTTTTTTTTTTTTGTTTGGGGGTGTCAATAACTTGACAAGAGCTTATAATAATTCACTATGCCAAAATTTGCCTTAGCAATGGATAATATCCATTGCCAAATCACCCTTCCTACTGTGGTATTACTCACCTTTGCCTATAACATTACCTTTATGTATTTACAATATCAGTTATCTAATAAACACCGATGCTAAAGTTCCTTATGTGTGGCAAAAAAAATGTTGACCCTTGATGCCTAAACATGCAACGGCATCGGTAGTTTTAATAGTTCTAATGCTAAATAACGTTTATAGCATCATAATTTTATACTTCACTAATGGCATTTTCTAACTTACAACATCACAAAAACCAATAGTGTTGATGCTACTTCTAGTTATAGGCATCAGTTGTCTTATGAGTGATGTTTAAAATTTTGAACTTTAGTTGTTTGTGCAAAATTGAGGTTGTTAGGAATAATATCATGTTGTGTTGCCCATTGAACATAAAAAAAAACATATATAAATTTAAATATATTTAATACGACAACTTTTTCAACCCCACATATGACAGCAATTTTTGCAATTTACATATAACAACATATTTCTTCATTTATCAACCTTGAAATTTGAGTATAAAAGAGAAATATAGTGTAACAAACCAAATAAATATAAATTAAAATAAGTAACCCTTTATTAAAATTATCATAATAAAATTCCAACCAAATACAAGAGGGAGTCTGAAATATATTTGCGAAGGAGCATGGAAAATATTTTTTTGGGAATTAAGACTGCAATAAAGAAACCAAATAGGAATAGGGAATGAATAATCATTTCATATTGGATAGGTGTTACTATTTTATGACATGGAAACTTGTGAAAGCATGTTGAATTTGCATATCATGTTCATGTGGGCACCTGAGAAGCTTTTTGGGATCTGAAGCTCTCATGTCAGCCTTGCCTACCTAGTGCCTACGTTACAATTGGGTAGGCAATTGCCTACCTTGACCTCGGTCTAGGACCGCCACTGATTGTGTTTAAAATAAAAACTATGTGCCAAAGCAGGGAAGTTCCCTTTTGCAAAATTGGAAGCCACGCCACTTCCTTGTGCATTATAAACACGGCGTTATTTTCTGCCGAGTCAATTATGTCTTGAATTCTAATATCCAAAAAATATATATCCCTTGAATTCTGTATGTAATTTAGCCAACAGGTCTAGCCCACTGAATAAGAGCCTTGATTTGCAGACAAGAGATTTAGTTGTGCGTGTGTGTGAGAAATCTCCATCCCTCTGTAGTTTAGACTATCGCTTGTGCTAAAAAAATAAAATAATAATTTAGACTATTAAAGGTCCTTATTTTCTGCAGACAATTATGCCTTGAATTTCATATAAAATTGACTATTCAAATCAAACATCCTTATTTTCCCAAATAACATCTGCATTGATCTACATCTCCTGGAAGGGATAGCAATAACACTTCTAAGCACGCTGCTGTTTTCTGTTACCCCTTAGGCAAGCAAAGGTAGTTTCAGAGGCATGATTTTGAAGGTCCATCTGCAGAAGTTGAACTGAGAAGTTCCATGTATTGTTATTGCAACTGAAAGGGATTGGAGAGCATAATAATAATACTAATAATATATAATATATGCATTTGGAAAGTTACCCGAATATTTTATAGCCTATAGGGTATATGTTATTATATCTCTCTTTTCTTGGGTCAGAGTTGGAGTTTCATTTCTATTGAGTCTACTTGGGAATATTGGAAACCAGAGAATCAAAATGACCAAAACTAGCTCCAGCCCTTTTGAAGAGCTGAAGTATTTTTATATGTATATGAACATGTTCTAGTACATACATGGAATTGCTAATCTAACCATCTCCGCTAATCAAAAAAGGAAAAAAGAAAAAGAAAAAAGCTTCTAACATATCTTAATTTACTCAGGAAATAAACTCCTCAACAAGCTCTCCAAAATCAAACTTCCCATTGCTGCATTCCACAGCATTCACAACCTCCTCAAAAGCAGACACACTGCAGGGAACCACAAGTCCATTTCTCTGCTCAAATCCGTACTCATTGTAAGCCTTCTCCAACAGCATCTTGAAGAGTGGATGAGAGAGAAAGCTTGTCCTCACCAGAAACCTCTGGCGCTCTTCTCCAACATACAAGGCCAAAAACCCAGTTGGGGGTTTGGTTGAAGGAGACCCTCCTTGCTCTGCTGCTGCTGACTCTCTTAGCAAACATTCATGGTGTGATGGCTCATTAGCACCACCCATAACCTTCACTTTCTTGGCTAGTTTTTTGAAGCTTACCATCTTCTTTCCCAGCATTTTTGTCTGGTTTTTTAGAGAGAGAGAGAGAGAGAGAAGAGGAGAGGAGAGGGAAGGTGGGTGAGATTGAAGTTGGGAGCTGAGATTGGCTAAGGAGGAAGTGGCTTCATGATTCTGGTTAGTGGAGATATGCAAAATGATGGTGGGGGAGGGGATTTTATTTGTGATATATGGAGTGGGGGGAATGTCCCAGAAAGGGTCTTGTTTGACTTTTTAAATTGTTATTCTATGATCATAATGACTTTTCTTGTCCCCATTTGTCTCTGACTTCTTAACAGTTTATAGCAATTAGTCTCAAGTTTGTTAAAATATATATATATATATATATACTATTACCCTGACACATGCTCACGTAATGATGTTTTTTTTTTTTTTTTTTTTTTTTTTTTTTTTTTTTTAAGAAAAAGATAACATTGATAATTATATTCCATAAAAGTAGGACCTATTATCTGATTTTTTTATTTTATTTTTTTAATATGAAAAAAAATGCGAATTTACCATATCATCCTCATTTAATTAATAATTTCAATTCTTAATATTTGAATTAACCAAGAGCATTTTATGGTATTTTGAATGTTTCACCATTCTCTGCCTTTATAATAATATATATATATATATATATATTTGACTTCTGTCTTTTATTTTTCTAAATGTAACACTTTTTCACGAATTTCATCATAAATAAGTTCCAAGTGAAATAAATTTTACTAATAACTTTTAACAATTCACATTCGAAATCTACTCTGAATGTAACATCATAAGTTGGAGCTTAAGCATTTTCTTAGCTCTAAAAGAGTGGGAACATCTAATAACCCACTTAAGCATTTCATAATACATACTAGAATTTTGAACTCCATATTTGCTGGTACACATGTGAGTCAACCAAAGGGTTCTCCAAATGAATAAGAGATAATAAAATGATGGTAAAGAGAGAAAACAAAAGTGTAATTATTGGGCATGTAAATGTTGAGGTCCATAAACAATGATGGAATCCCACTAACTATACTTTAAAATGCTTAACTGCTATTGAATCATTTGTCAGTTTGAATCAAATGCCAACCACATTTTATCATTACAGATTCATAGTGCTTTGATTAACTTTATGGGGAGTGGAATCTCAATTCATTCGCTGGAAAGTGAAAAAGAAATAGTTGGGTTGTTATTATCCTTCCATACAGGAATCAACCACCATAGTTTAATGGCCTGGCTCATCAAACTCATATAAAGAATATACGTATATCCTATGCACCCACCAGACATACACACTTGCCCTCCTAGTCTCATTCAATTGGATAGTAAGTGTTTTTCTTCTTGCAATTGTCTATTTATAGGTGATTCTCAATGATTAATCGAGATATGAAACTCTCTCTAAAGTAACGAAAGAAGAATAAGATTCTTGTCATGAATGCAAAGATGAGTTATTTATCGCTAGAGTTATAACTTCTTATTACGCATATTCAAAAACACATGCAGGGTTGACAAGAAGTATTGCATACAAATATTGCGCACTAACTACTATGTCTGCTTCTCAACCATTGATTGATATAAATTCACTTTAAAAGAACATAAGTTAAAACTCTCGTAATGATTATGAAAATAAATACTTTACCACTGAAACCGTAAATTCCTATACTTCCACAAAAAAACGAGTGGTTGATGAGAAGTCCTTGCATTACTAATGGTGGATAGGGAACTCTAGCTCTATGGAAGATCAATAAATCAGCTTAGAAAGCTTTTAAAAGTTGGCGTTGACATTTTGACAAAATGAAGGTCGATACCCTGAACCATTATTGGCGATTACAATAGTCAAATATGATTGGAACGTGTGAGGAGCTAAGAAGAATAAACAAAGCCTTCAACATGCAACGCGAAAAAAGAAAGAAAGCATGGCCGGCATGGCATTTGTCTCTAAGATAATAAAGGCATAGTTGACATGAAAAAGTAAGCCATTCTTCACTAGGAGACACGAAATTAGGCATATTTGACATGAAAAGTTAGCCATTCACTAGAAGACACGGAATTAGGCCTTATGGTGGGCGGATCATATTTGATAAAATCAATTTGACCAGGCTCGTACGTCAAGACTTGCTGTTTACGGGCAATGACCCATTTGTACCCTGAATCTGTACTCTTTTTTAATTTTTTGTTGGGGTCAAAAGTTTTTAATTTTTAATTATTTAAATTTTGTCTTTTGGAGATGGTTGCCGCTTTGCTTCAAACCCAAGTCTTCCTATAGTAGAAGTAGGTAGCCATATGGGAGATCTAGCTCTGTCAATGTCTCTCCCATGACCTCAAAATGGGCTCTGTTTTCCCTTTTCTCTCTTTTTATTCTTTTGCATGCACATTGAAAGTAATGTTCCCAACTTGGTGGGTTTACAATTCTTCATTTAATTCTCAATCGAAAAATGATTTGCCTTTGGTGATGCTCTCTGTTTAGTTTGAAATAATTTGTTAGATCATTAAAAAGTATATATGAAATAACTTAGAGCATCCGCAATAACTCCCTAAACCATATTCTTAGATAAAATTTAGGGAAGAAGTGAGAAAACCCATATCTAACTATGCTCCCTATTCTAAAATAGAGAGACCTTTAGGAGCTCTTAAATCCGAGGAGAGAGAATGGACACATAATGGCTTCCTATAATTTAATGAATATTTTAAACTTTTAATTAATATAGCCTATTATATATATATATTATTTATAGAGATGACCATTTGTGTTGAATTAAAAATGAATTGACTCTCTAAACTAGAGAATATGGTTGAAGTTGAAATTTTATAAAGAGCTCATAAAATAGCTTTTATGTGTTTTTAGCTAAATTTTAACTAAAAAATAGAGAGTATGATATGTTGATTAAAATTTATGCTAAAAATCAAATCCAAATGTAAATTAATATTCAAAAGACACATAGGCAAGTACAAAAAAACGTTTTAATAAAATTATTTCAGAACACTTATCAACATCGGGTGTTTGGTCTAGTGGTATGATTCTCGCTTCGGGTGCGAGAGGTCGCGAGTTCGATTCTCGCAACACCCCTTTCTATATATTTTTTATTTTTATTCCTTTTTTGAATTCGTGGGCTTTTTTTAAAGCCCAATTAGCCGACATTAGGCTCGATGGGCCAACCTGCCCATACAAAACGGTTTCCTCATACAAGCAGCAGAGACCGGAGATTTCATTCCTAGGGTTTTGCTGAAAGTCTTCGTCTCCCAAAACCTCTCTCTCTCTCTCTCTCTCTCTCTAATTCTTCACCATGAGCAGGTCAGGTCAGCCTCCGGATCTCAAAAAGTAAGCTCTTCTGTCCCCTATGGTCTATTTTTCCGTTTCGATTTTGTTGTTTTCGTTGTGTTTATTATTATTTTTATAAATTAAGATGCTAATTAATTGAAATTTATTGCATTTTTACAGGTACATGGACAAGAAGCTTCAAAGTAAGTTCTTTATGCGGTCTAAAAAAGTTCTATCGTTTTACTTCCTCCCATCATGATCTCCCCTATATTTTGCTCTATTTGGTCGCTGAGAAAATTCGGCTAAGAAAACCAGTTCAACTTACTATTACTACATTATCTGGTTATAAAATATTGTGGGAAAGACACAAAAAATCTATATTTTTAAAGAAACAATTGTGCAGTTTCTTTGGCAGTAGCATGTATGATATGTTGAAAAAAAAAAAAAAAAAAAAAAAAAAAAAAAAAAAGCATATGATATGTTCATGATTTCATCCTGTCCACTATAATCATGAATCAATGTTTTTCCTGCTAACAGTGCAACCTCTCAATCATGTATGAAAATGAAAATGTAAGCCCAAATTGATGTGCACAACTAGGTTTCTGTTTCCTGTACAAAAAATATGTGAATAATCTGGATTTCTAGAATTCTGTGCGAAAGAGAGTACTTTCTCAAGTTTATATATATATATTTTTCTTAATGTGAAAGTTGGTTTTATATTTTGAATTCTAATACACAGCCCATGTAAAGCACACACAGATTTATTTGTATTAGTCATCTATTAGTAAGGATCTTATTATTTCTGTCTTTCTTTCTCTTCAAAAAATTCTGTGGGCAATTGTTGTATGAGCTTCTTAGTTGCTTTCCTTGCGTAATATGATCAATGAGTTTATTTGGGCTTCTTTTCCTTTTTAAGTCAACTAGGCGTTTTGGAGTTTTTCAGATAGTAAATGTTTGAGCACTTGGGATTGTAGTGCGAACTCAAGTTGTATTTTATAGGTTACATTGCGACCACCACAATTTCTCCAGATGATCCTTAACGTTTTTTTTTACTTTTTTAATTCTTACGATTTGAAATCATCTTCACTAAACTGCCCCTCTGTAGGAGTGTTTGGGTGGATGGGGGATTTTACTTGCATGGCATGTGCTACCAAATTTTGTGAAACTGCTTGTATACTGGTACTGAGGGGCCTAAATATGAATATTTAAAGCTTGTGTAGATTCTCTTCTTAGTTGAAGTTAGGGGGAAGAATAGTAGAAGGTCAAACATTTATGTCTTACATTCGCAGAAACTATTTTTTTGATACTAAGACATTAGAATCTGCATTTTTTATTTTTCCTCTTTATTGTTACCAGAAACTTTAAACAGTTGAATTAACTAATGTCTTTGATTGTAGTCAAGCTGAATGCAAATCGGATGGTTGTTGGAACACTTCGTGGTTTTGACCAATTCATGAATCTAGTGGTTGACAACACCGTAGAAGTGAATGGCAATGAAAAGAATGATATAGGCATGGTGGTAAGTCCCAGTTTCTCCACTTATTCTCATTGTTTTTATAGTTCCACTGCCATTTGGCCTGATGCTCCAATAATTAAGTTGGTTTGCTTAATTCTTACTTATATTGCTGCAGGTGATCCGGGGAAATAGTGTGGTTACTGTTGAAGCACTTGAGCCAGTGGCCAAAAATATGCAGTGATTCTGGCCTTGGGCTATTTTGGATTGGATGTATTCTGTGTTGGTATGTAGTTTGGACATATAACTGCTTGTATGCAAAGGAAATTTGTGAAAGTTTGGGCCTTATGGTGGTTAGGTGATTTCTAGATTCCCCTTTTCAGGAGATTTATGAGCAAAAATGTACTTGTATTGGTTCATATGGAATATCAGTTCGTTGACTTGGTATGATATGCAATGTAATGGTCAGCCGGAATGCTAATTATAAGGTTTCCATTGCTAATGTCCATGCTTTGTTAATTTGGATGATATCTTTTTTTTTTTATTCCAGGCTGAATCAGACGAGCTCTTGTTTGTTCAGGAGCTTCTAAGGCAGCCCATTTTTTTTTTAATATTTATTTGTCTAGTTGAATGGTGGCATCATATGCTTGACTGAACTCCGGAACTGGGCAACAGGATCCATGTTAGCTTAGGGTGAAACCTTACCTTTGTTCTGCCTTCGACAATATGTCAAAATAAGTTACCTTAGAGCTCCTGAATGTATGAGAAAGTATGGTAATGTTTCCTTAGGTTGATGAAATGCATAAATGAAGGCTTCAGGGTGGTTCCTGAAAATCAGATTGCATTTGTATTAAGTTAAGAACAAATGCTGAACACAAAATGATGCAAGACCAGAATTCGAATTCTCTCTTTTTCCCCGTTCGGCCTCTCATAGAATGAATGCTTTATGAACACAACGGTAACAATAGGAGAGCTACTGTTGGACAAAGATAATACAGAGTTGGGTCCAGATGACCTGGGAAGCCCTCCTCGAAAGGAAGGGTGTACATAGAACAAAAAGAAAAAGAAAAAGAAGAAGAAAAGAAGAAAGTTTCTCTTCTCTGTTTCTGTTGGGATCAACGTTTACATGGGAAAAGGAAAAGCTTTTTGGGGCATGGGTGAAGGAAACCATTAACGGTTGCCTTGCCCGCCATGTCTAGTTTGAATTTGAAAGAGGGTAACATACTAACATCCATGAGTGTCCTAACGGGTGTTTCCTCCTGGGGGTTTGAAGCTTCTTTTGCAGTCTGATAAAATAGTAACAGCTCAGCTACAACTAGGTCTGCTTTTTCCTCTCTTTTCTGTTTTCTAACTTTTATTTGATAGATGCATATTCTTCACAAAGACAACCACATCTAAATCCTGAGTAGGCTTGGATCGAAAGCAGCATTATAATAGTTAATCTTCCTTTATTAGCATGTGCTAAGAGCTTGCAGTTTGGGGCAATGGCACATCCGCAATGTTATCTTACCAGATTGTTAGTTCAGATAACTTTGATATAATGATCATAAAAATGTACGCTTGAATGTGCGGTTTTAATTGACGGTTTGACGCACATAACATGTTTAGATTGTACGATAACAAAATAGTCACCACTTCCACTTGTGTTAAAATAGCTCTCGCGAGAAATGAAGAACTGGTCCCCCAACCCCAAGTGTCTCCTTTAAAAATTACCAATTGTTCTGCAATTGTAAGATAAGATGGCATGTGTTTGGTGTACATAAATATGATATGAAGATTGTGATTGGATCTGCATCTGCACCAAAAAGATAAAAGAGAAGGTTCTGTATTCTTAAGCATAGAAAACTCTTTGCTTGTCTTGTACTTCGCTGTTGCTTATTCCTGTTCTTCATGTTCATGAGATTCATTCCTCTCTTTTTTATTTTTCCCTGTTTTCTTATGTATAAAGATTGGGACAGTAAATCACCCTAGGAAAAATTACAAATTACTGTAACCTTTTGACCTCATAAGAGACTTGGCCTCATCTTCCAACTGTCGATCTTTTGCTGAACAATATAATTTATCAGCTACCTTTGGCACCATGCTTAGTAATCACATTTCCTGTAAAATTACCACATGAATAAAAGAGGAAAATATATACTAAATGAAAGTGGGGCACGAGAAGGGGTAAGGTGGTCTTTTCATTTGAGCATCACCACCTGTCATCATCAGATGGTTTTAGGTAATATAATCTTTTCTTTAAGAGATAAACCGTGTTATTATTACCTGTCATTCCACCCATAAACTACAAAACAAAAGTCTTTTGAATACTCCCAAAGTCCCAACATTCAGATGCGTGTTTGTCAATTCCCTCAATTTCATCTCATGGACGACTTTGGTCCCATTTTCAGCACTGTCCTTGTGCATTGGTAAGTAATGATGTGATTTTCATTCTGTCAACCAGTATATCCTCTTCATTAGAATTTTTCATTTTTAAGATCTCCGAAAACAATGAAAGGGGAGAGTCGAATTCTTGTTCTAAAGAATTATTAAAAATTATTTGAAATTTTTATAGAAAACGAGTAATTTCTTAATTTATTAAATTAGACTTTAAATGACATTAGTCAATAAGTTTTAGTCCAATTAAAAAGAACATTGACTTGTAGATCAATAGTCTCAAATTTGAACACTTTCGTAGTGTGTGTGAGAAACCCGTATCCTTTATATTTTAGACAATCGATGGTATTCAAAGTATAAGTCTGAACTTAAGATTACTGTCAACAGAGTGCTCTCACCAACTTACACATGGCCTAAGGGTAAGGGGAACAGACAAGCAAGGCCAAAAGTTGAATGGCTACCAGAGAAGAGAACAATAGCAAAAAAGATTGAATCACTGTTAGAGCCACAAAGCCTCATATAGCCCATAGACTTGCTCACAGTGAGTAGAGCAAAGCAACAACAGCTCCATTCCTTTACAAAAATCAGATATATATTGGATGACTTTGCTGTGAAGTGGAAACAACCACCACCCACCTCCTCTTTTTCCCTCTATTCATGTAAAATCTCTCTAGAGGTCTACAATAAACAATTAAACAGGCCCTCTTCTCTTCTCTTATTATTTTCTCTTCTCTCTCTACTCATACGCCTCCATCCCCATCTCAACCTACCACTCCCTCTCTCTCTCTCTCTCTCTCTCTCTCTCTCTTGCTTCTTCAACCCATTGAGTATCAAAGCCAGCCAAGAGAGAGGGAAAGACAGATATTAAAAAAAAAGAGGGAAAATGAAGAAAAGTGATGACAGTCACGTCTCAACCTCCAAAACCTTTCCTTGAATCCAACTCCACTCAACATTCACAATCCAAAGTATTGGTCTTTCATAGTCCCAAATATAGTCAAAATCGCAATAAATTAGCAAGATAAACAAAAAAGACTGTTTATTTTTCCCTCCCCAAATTTGCCATTTGGGTCCAAAACATGACTGAGGTGCTCCAATCCCCATCCCCATCTCACTTCCCTTCACCCTCAAGCTCTTCCACACCATGTGCTCCACCTACACCCAATGATGGGCCATTCCCACATGCCCTTATTAACAGTCCCACAATAGAAGACAGTCTCCAAGGCTATTTGGGCTCAGAGGAAGAGGAAGAAGAAGAAGAAGAAGAAGAGGAAGAGGAAGAGGAAGAAGGAGAGGAAGAAGAAGAAGAAGAAAGGAAAAGGAAAGAAAGGGACAGAGAAGGAGATCAACTTTCGCTCTTGACACTTTTGGTGACTGCTTTCAGGAGGTCTTTGATTGGGGGGTGTAGTAGTACTACTAGCACTGATACTGGTAGAGGAAAGCTGTCTTCTATGGAGATTGGTTGGCCTTCAAATGTCAGGCATGTTGCCCATGTCACCTTTGATCGCTTCAATGGCTTTCTTGGTTTGCCTTCTGAGCTTGAACCCGAGGTTCCCAGGAGGGCTCCCAGTGCTAGGTCGGTCAATTACAGATTTTGGTCTTTTTTATTTCGTTTCACGTATAATTCTGTTTTGATTGAAAGGGGTTAAAAGTTCTCTCTTTTTCGTTCTTAGAATTGCGTTATGGGTTTCTGATAATTGGTTAGATTATGCTCTTCTTTGAATTTCTTCTGTTCTGGGTTTCTATTATATGTGTAAGCTTCATCCTTCTTGAAAATTTTGTCATGGTTGCATATATCGATTGGTTTGCATTATTCTTGATAAAGGTGGCTTTTTTTTTGAATTTGTCTCGAAAATCCCGTGTTAGGGTTTCATTTGGTCGGATAGCTGATAAAGCTATCTAAGGTGTTTTCTGGATTGTATTGAAGCTGCATTCAATGATTGGGAACCCGCAATCAGAGGCATTTTGTTCTTATATGCCTTGCTGGAACTTGCTTTTATCTTTGTTCTGTGTTGTCACATGCATTATTTTGCTTTTCCTTGCTGGGCATTTGGTGGACTTGGTTCTTCTCTGGAGCAAGTTTTTCTTTCACAAAAAGTTCACCAATTATTCTACTTTATTCCATCAATAATCTTAGCCAAAATAATTTTGTGTCCTCCTATAAGCATCAAGAGGGATACAGTGGATGCCAATTTTCTGTGTACCTTGTAATATATGTCCGGTCTAGAATTTTCATCATGATTCAATTCTGTCAGATTTGAGTACTTTTCTTGATGCTATGAGTGAATGAATGTGCTTCATTTTTCTCTGGTGTTGTTTTTTCTTCTTCTAGTACTTAGAAATTGTTGGTTGGTATGCATATTTTTAAAAGATGTTTCAAATTGTTATGAGTTACTGAGCTGGTGCTTTGTGCTGCTCAAGTAAGATGTGAAGATAATATGTATTCTTTTTTTCCAAGTAAGGCCTGCAATCTATATCTAAATGTTATGCAGAGAATAATCTTTGGACTCAACTATTTTTACATGTTTGTGCCTGTTTATGTGACTTTTTGAGTTGATTTGGCATGATACTTAATGTAGCGAAAATTGGGAATGGATATACCTATGTTCTTTATTGATCCTTGTAATCTGCTGCATACTTTTTAATTTTAAAACCATTTTCGAGGTTTGTATTGACATTGATTTCATCTGCAGTGCAAATGTTTTTGGGGTTTCAACGGAGTCTATGCAGCTTTCATTTGATGCCAGAGGAAACAGTGTCCCCACAATACTCATTTTGATGCAGAGACATTTGTATGCACAAGGTGGTCTTCAGGTATATCACCATTTTCCTTTTCTTGCTTTCGTCTGCCATGTCCAGGGTAGAGTGTAACTGGAAAACTACATTGTCTCGGAGGGTTCGACATAATTTCTAAAGTACAAAGGTTTGAGATTTCATTGTCGCATGCAGCTTAACTTAGTACAAGTTTGGGCATTTTGGTATATTCAAACTACCTTTAAAAAAACTGAAGTTCACTCATACATGCAGGCAGAAGGAATCTTCAGAATTAATGCCGAGAACAGTCAGGAGGAGTATGTTAGGGACCAATTGAATAGGGGAGTAATACCAGAGGGCATTGACGTGCACTGTTTGGCGGGTCTTATTAAGGTAAGGCAGTTACCATTTGTTCATTTTACTCTGATATTTATATGCCATCCATTGGCCGAACTCAAGGGTTCTGGTTCATGGGTTGTAAATGCTCTATTCCCCCCTCCCCCAATCAACTGAAGATGATCTCATCATTGGGCACTTTCATTTGTTAACATGAGTTTTGACGTTTAATGTCCTATTGCTTCTCAGGCTTGGTTTAGAGAACTACCAACTGGTGTGTTGGACTCTCTCACGCCAGAGCAGGTAATGCAGTCCCAGTCGGAAGAGGAGTGTGCTCAGCTTGTTAGGCTCCTACCCCCAACAGAAGCCGCACTATTGGATTGGGCAGTAAATCTAATGGCTGATGTTGCACAAATGGAACACTTCAACAAGATGAATGCCCGCAATATTGCCATGGTGTTTGCACCAAACATGACTCAAGTGAGTGAAAAGTATACTCTGTCTAAAATTTGTAGAAAAGGAAGGCCAAAAAAACCTACTTTCATGCATGGTTTTCATTATTAGTGACATCCACGCCGAGACATTCTATATACTTGGGTAGGACTCAATTGGCTAGCTCAAATATCGTACTCATGTCATCCATGCATTCAGCTTTAAAGGCGGACGCTCGTTATTCCTCCCAATTGTCATCTTGAAAGCTTGAAGGTATAGATAATTAATCAGAAAGGAATAAGAAGAGGTGATAATTTGAGGGAGATTTTATTCCAACCGTTGGTTTTTCTATTACATCCTTAATATGTTCTAAGACTGGATATGAGTCTTGTCATGAATCACACCTAGGAAAAACCTTCATTAATCTGATAACTACACAGTGTTATTAATCTCTGCGTCCGGTATCTTTTTTCAGTTTCCATTTAGGGTCTGATGTTATAGTCCTGTCCAATGTTGAGGGGTTTCCTTTCTTTAGTATGTTTTCATATGTTTAAGGCGACCACTTGTGGTCAAGGTAGGTTTAGTAACAGTTTCTGTAACTTCTATTTATCGCAGATGGTAGATCCTTTGACTGCATTGATGTATGCTGTCCAAGTGATGAATTTCCTCAAGACTCTTATTGTCAAGACACTAAGAGAAAGAGAAGAGTCTATGGTAGAAACAGCCCCTGTCCCCCGCCTAGAGCCTACTGATGAGGATGGGCACCAAAGTACTTTTCAACCATATCTCAAAGAGGCCAACAAGGAGGCTAACAAGGAAAATGAAGAGGAGAATGTATTTGTTGGCGAAGAACCTGATTTAGAAAGCCCGGCTCATTCTGCACAAGATGACTCCACAACTGGAACTGGATCTCAAACTTTCCTATCTTCTATCAAGAATATCATTCCTGGAGGAAATTGGTTTCTGGCTGATAATTGTCCATGTGAGGTTGTATCCCAAGTTAACTCTTTGACAAATGGGCTCCAAGAAGATGGTTCAACATGTGCAGGTAGAGAGGCTCAACCCAACATTTGGAAGAGCAAAACAGGTCAATCAAGTGGTTCGAATCTGAAGAAGGGATCCAAGAAGGTTAACGAGCAGCTAATGATTCAGACGGCTGGGCCTGCAGACAAGAGCAAGAGAACTGGAATTCTTAGCCGCATTAATTCGAGGACAGAGCTGGCTGAAGGTTGGCGTTGAAGAGTGTTTGGGGCTGTTTTTGGGTGTTGGGGAGTGGTGAAACAAGTTGGCCTATGTTTCTGTCTCCCACGTGGAAATAGTGTATGTGTCTGTCTGTATGATCTCATGTGTGCTTTAAGTTTGTGTGTGGATGAAATTTCTTAACCTTGTCTTGGACATTTCCCTAACCCATTCTAACATGTTCTGTTTTTCAAGTAGAGATTGAAAGTGGTTGAAAATTCCTTGTTTCACTAACAAAGAAAATAAGCATATCATGGAAATGTTTATCATTTCAATGAATCAAATAATCATAGAACTACAATGCCTCTCCGGAGCTCAAAAATTCGTCTGCTCATCCAGCTCTATTGAATACTGGTGCATATCCCACATTTATTGACTACATCCCCTGCAAATTACAATGCTTGACAAAAATAAACATAAGTTACAATGATGAGATTTACTGCATACTAGAAAAGTCATTCTGCACTTCTCTTTATGTTTTATGATTTTACAGAGGAAGGAACGCATGATGACTTTTTAGGGCCAGTAACATCTTATTTTCAATCCGTGAATGATTTTTAAAATTTGTGAGGCGCAAGAGATTTGGTACTTTAGGTGGTTAAGAGCATTCACTCTTGCTCTTGTGCTTAAGCGTTCAACTTACGGCTCTCCTAATCTCCACTTGTAAAAGGAAAAAAAAATAAAAATTGGGGTTTACATATTCATTTAAGGCTTAATTATTGATTTGCTCCTTGAAACTCTATCTCAATCTTATTTTGCCCTCTAAAACTTGAAATGACTCACTTTACCCCCTAAAATCCAACTTGGTGCCTCATTTTACTCTATTCCGTCATCTCCGTAAAAAACTCTGTTAATTCCTCTTATGTGGCATAGTGGGCCCACTTCTTTGCTTATGTGTTTGGCACATAATTGCCACGTGTAAATCCACTGTAACTTACAAAGGAAAAGCTGGAGGTGACTTGGGTTCAAGATAGCCCAGCTCCATATTTTGTGTCATAAAGCCCGCCGAGCCCAAAACCCAACCTCCAAAGTTCCAAACTTTTCCACCTTCTCCGTCTTTGCTTTCGTCGTCGGAGCCGTCGGAGCAAGTTCGTTGTTTAATAAGCAGCCTCACAACATTTTCAAAGAATCCAAGGTACTCTCTCCTCGTTTCTTCTTTCTCTCAATTCTCAAAGCAATTCTTCTTTTGCTCGTATAGACCAGGAAAGTTCACTGCTTGCTTGAGAGGTAACCCAGTTTTTATTTTGCTTTGTTTTTCAGTCTGTTCATATTAAAATCGTGATTCTGTCCATGACCCAAATTTGGTTAGAGTGTCACAGATTGGTAGTATGCATGTTTTTATTCAGACGCAGAGCGTTTTTGAGAATGAATATTCATGGCCTCCAAAGCAATTTTTGCTCTGCTCATTCACCTCTGCTGCCAGTTCAACCTCCATCTCGAATGTATGTATTTACCACACAAATTATTCAATACCATTGACTGCTTTGTTTAATTAAAATGAAAGATTTCCTTCTTAGAAATGATGGGTTTTGTAGGGAAAGTCATTTGTGGTATGTTTTACCTGAGGAGGTGAAGAGTGAAAGCCTTTTGAATCGGTACTCTGAGCTTTTGTCACCGTCTGAGAAAGACAATGTTTTGGGTATGCGTGGAGAGGAGCTCAAGAAAAGAGCCTTGCTTGCCCGGGCATTGGTTCGGACTACCATATCTAGATATGTAGGTCCTCTCATTTTGCTTTAAAAAATGACAACTCATGTTGTTTATGTGGTTATTGTGAATGTTCTAAACATTTCTGTTTCATACTAGATCAGACAAACCATCGAGTAGATCCAAGATCCTTAAAGTTTAAAAAGAACAATCATGGGAAGCCTGAGGTATGCTTCTTTTTTCTTACCCATTGATGTCTCGAGAAAATTGTTTCTATGCTCCCATTTACTTGGTTGATTTTTCTTACCATTGTGTTTTTTCGGTTTTTTTTTCTTTTTTTCTTTTCCACATTTTAATCTTCTTATTCTAGGTAGAGTGGCAAATTGCAGATGACTGGCAGCCACCACCACTGCATTTCAACATCTCACACACTTCTACCTTGATAGCTTGTGGAGTAACTGTGGATTCACCAGTAAGTATTGCGAGTATTCAAGGGGCCACGGATATATTGGATTTAGTCTTTGGATTATATTAGAGTGTCTATGAGTATACATGTAAAAAATTGTTGAACTTACGAGATTTCCTCTAATTATTTTAGATTGGTATAGATGTGGAAGAGAAGCAACGGAAGTTGAAGAACCATATCTTAGCTTTTGCTCGACGGTACTTTTCTTCTCATGAAGTGGAACATTTAACTTCTATTTCGGACATTGAAATTCAGCGTCAACAGTTTATAAAATTATGGACTCTCAAGGTCTGTGAAACTGCTTGAACAATGATAATGCATCAACTTCTATTTTTCAGAGTTGCACACATTTTCTTTTACTTGATTAAAATGGTACATTCTGCTGGGTATACATGGGTAGTTGTGTAATCTGTTAGCATTACACTGTTAACGCTTGCAATAAGCTTTTGTTTGTATAGTTGTCCAAAAAAAATTCACTAGAGATTAGACAAGGGAAAGAAACTCTTGAAAGCACTTATAGGTATCATATGCAAAGTAGAAGTAGTGGGGATGATTAATAAAAAACATTTGAAAATAAGTATCAATAAACTTCAATGCGAACTCAAGATTATACTAGAAACGCATAACTCCTCTTAATTGAATTTTGAGAGTTACATGTAGGTTATGTTTTTCTCAAGCTTTTTCTTATTGCCATGGATCTCATTTCCAGGAGGCATATGTGAAAGCATTGGGGAAGGGCTTCTCTTCTGCACCGTTTAAGACCTTTACCATTCGAGTGAGGGATGCAGCTAAGAGAGGCCTTCATCTTTCTGGGGACATAGATTCTGAGGTATGTCAGAGATGGAAAACAGAAATTTTATTGCAACATGTGGAGGCTTCCTAGGTATCAAACTCATAATTCATGTGATCTAGAGTCCACAATTGAACATAGCTGTTTAGCATGCTATTCCTTTGGCTACAAAGATTATGAGCAGGCATTATGAGCCATGGTGTAGAGATATTATGGTATACTATTGCTTATGCAAAAATTACTTCTGGTCTAAAATATTGACCATAACTCGTAATATACAATTTACATTTTTAAAAGATGTTTGAGCCTCTGATTTTGTTGTTGTTGTTAGATATCTGAAATAAGTGTTGAGTCTCTTGGTTCCATGAACCTCACAACCAATTGGCAATTTTCGCTTCTAGAGTTGGCTGGCTCTCATTATGCTGCCATTTGCATGGAAAAACATAAAGCCGTTGGAGGTGAGAGTCTTATCTTTCTTTTTTCTTCTATTTAATCAAAGATTATTACTCTGGATTAAAATGAAAGTAGTGGGAAAATAAAAAATCACAATTTATATTAAACCACTTGCAGAGAAAGGAAATGCTCCCATGAAATTGACAGTGCGGAGAACGATTCCATTTGTTGAAGATGAATGTGTTACAGGAACTGATGCGGTTTTACCAATAGGCGGATTGAATTGTTAGTAGTTTTTATAAGTAATTCTATTATTCAATTGGAACTTATGTCCGAAACTGAAAATTCCAATCATGTCATATTTAACCCATTGAAAGGCAAAATTCTTTCTCTAAACAGTGCCCCCATGGCCCTTCTCCATTGTTTGTAACTTTGAATGTTGGAAACCAATATTTTTTTCAGAAATATAAATAATTTACTTTATTTTTAATTGACCACTTGGAAGATTATTTACTGACAACATTCATAAAACAGATATCTGTACAAACTGAGGGTTAGTGTTGCCTCTAGCAACTCTGAAAGTATGAAATATAAGTTATTTTAAGTCTGCAAATTACAAAAAAATATATTTTTCTCCTCATTGAAAAGTAATATTCTACCCTAATGACATGATTTTTCGGGCTTCTTATAAAAGAATCACCTAGAAACGTTTAACCATGTCTTGCCCCACTAGTATGGTAGGAAAGTAACCTTGCCAGTGATTCTCTTTATTGTACTTTGAATCAATGTATTGTTACACAGAAAATCCATGAACACATTAAATTGGGATAGGGAAAATGGATTTTGCTCATCACTTGCAGGAAACTTGTAACCCTTGTCCTTTGCATTGTGTCTTCAATAACCAAAAATCCAATACGTAATGACGGACCTTAAGCTATCTCAAGATTTTGAACCCAAATCTCCTTTCCAATTCAAACTTTTGGAAACTTGAACCAATCTGGATGCAATGCACAATCAGAAGCATGCTGGGAACAGTTTGGTATAACTTTTTAACCAAAGCTTGTTGATTCAGAGATAGCTGAGAAAGGGGTATCACCAGTAGTCTTGACAAGAACAGATCCCATTCCTGAAATGATGAAAACGAGTTGCATCTCTGACAACAAAATGGCGATCCACAATCTTGCTAACCAACTTTATAAACAAGTGACAGTCTCCACATACCCTCAAGTTCTTTATCACTACGATCTCGGTCCACGGTCTGGTGTTTAAGAGCGCGAATGCAACTGCCAATTTTTCACTGTGAACATTAGCACTGATGAGTTGTTCTTCGTTTCTTCCTCGATCAGGTTCCTTCACTAAAGTTTCTAATTCTTCCAACATTGTGTATATTTCTTCTGTCTGACAGTGGGTTTTATCCCCAGCCAAGAAAACATGAACTCTTCCTTTACATTCAACATAGCTACACCCTGGCTCCTTCTTGAGCTTCCTCTCCCTCATCATAACTCGAACCTTTAGAGCCCCCTCTAGATTCTTTGCATCGGAGTATATATTCGACAACAACACATAGTAACCAATATTGGTTGGTTCAAGCTCAATGACATGTTCAAAAGCTAACTCTGCTATCTCTACATCTTTATGTATTTTACAAGCACCCAAGAGGGCACCCCATACTGCACCATCAGGCTTTACCGGCATTGACTCAATTAGTTCCTTGGCTTCCTGGAGTCGACCTGCGCGGCCTAAAAGATCTACCATGCAAGAGTAATGCTCTGGACCAGGCTGCAACCCACATCTTTTCTCCATTGCAGCGAAATACTCTAGCCCCTTATCCGTCAATCCCGCATGGCTACAGGCAGACAAAATGGTCACAAACACTGCTTTGTCTGGTCTAATTCCAGTCATAATCATTTTATTAAAGAGCTCCGATGCAATCTCTCCATGTCCATGCAACCCATACCCACCTATAATTGCTGTCCAAGAAACTAAGCTTTTCTCAGGCATGGCATCAAAAATAGCATGAGCCTTCACCAAATTACCACACCTAGCATACATATTAACCAAAGCATTGTTCAAATACGGGTTGGAACCAAATCCACAAGACTCTATTCGTCGTTCTACCTTGCGTCCAACACCGTGTGCACCAATGTGAGTGCAAGACGAAAGAACACCAACTAGTGTCACGGGGTCAGGACTAACACCACAAGATTCCATCTCCTTGTACAAGTTCAAGACATGAGTAGCAAGCCCATTCTGCGCGTACCCAGAAATCATCGCATTCCAAGTAATCAAACCCTTCTCAGGCATTGCATCAAACAGCTTCCTTGCATGATCAACCGACCCACACTTCACGTACATTGTCAGCAAACAATTCGTCACAGACAAATCAACGTCAAAGCCACACTTAACACTACAACCATGAAGGCACATCCCAAGACCCAGGTGCACCGGAGCCGCGCACCCCGGAACCAAACCCAACATCGTAACCGAATTAATTTCCACACCCGCCGCCCTCATCCGACGAAACAACGAAACCGCATCAGAAAATTTCGAATTTGAAGTGTGCCCAGATATCAAAGCATTGTAGCAAACAGTTAGCTTTCTCGAGTGGGGATTTTCATCGAACACCCTACGTGCATTGTCGACCAAGCAACACTTACAGTACATAGAAATTAATGCAGTTTGCACAAATGGTTCGGGCTCGCAGCCGGTTTTGACGACGTGGCAATGGAGCAGGGAACCGGCCAAAGGGAGCGAGAGGGCTGCGCAGGATTTGAGAGCGAAGGGGAAAGTGAAAGCGTTGGGTGAGTGGCCATGGCGGAGCATTTGGCGGTAAACAGTGAGGGCTTCGAAGAAGAGACATTGCTTCGATAGCTCTCGTAAGCGAGTGTTCCATGGAGTATTGGGTTGGGCCATTGTGATTGGTGGTCATGGCGGTAGAGGGAGAGACGGTGCGTTTTGCTACAAAATCGAAATAGGAAATTACCGAAAACTCCCTCGCGGTAATTACCGCTATAATTGGAGTGCAAATATATAAATTTGTTCCGTGAAATTGGAGGGTCTATGATAATGCGGTGGTACGCGAAGCACCTAAGCAAACCAGACAAGCGGATAATAGGCCTGGATAGAGCATCAGCTTTGGTCCGGAAAACTGGAAAAGAAATATCTTAACTGCGATGGAGGCCGTACATATCTCAACCGTTGCTTCCCGCCATTTCTCAACGACGTCGCATTCTGTGTCCACGAACAGAGGCTTCTGCGATTCGAAGTACGCGGCCAGGAGCTCGACGGCCAAGCTGGGCTCTTCTTGGACTGCTTCACGCACTCCTGCTTGGCTCACTTCTCGAAACTTGTTCACTGTAAGTTCAAAGCCTCAAAGGGGTTTCGCTTTCTTTTCTGTTTGGTTCCCGAGAAAACGTAGGAAAAGAATTTAAATATAGCACTGAAAGTTTCATACTTTTGCTCAAAATTGTTGATAGAGAGAGATATGGGGTTGGGTGAATTCCAAGCAAGTGACGATTACGAGAAAAGAGTTGCGGGGCATTGTGAGAGCTGAAATGTTTGGCCAATTGACAAGTGGCCTCGAATCGGCTTGGAACAAGCTCAAAGGCGAAGGTATTGCTTCTTTTCCCTTTTTCTTCTTCTATGTTTTAATCAAATTGTCTAGTTTCAAGTGGGGATTTTTATTAGTTTTTTGGAAGCATTTGAAATTCCATAGTATGCTCACATTGATTGCTGTATTTTGTGCTACAGAGGTTTTGACCAAGGAGAATATTGTGGAGCCTATGAGAGAAATAAGGAGGGCTCTTTTGGAAGCAGATGTGAGTGGTCTTTTGGATTTTGATTTCTATGTGTAAGGCAAGGTGGTTTATTTACATTTTCCTGCTGGGTTAATAGGTGAGCCTTCCTGTTGTAAGAAGGTTTGTGCAAGCTGTCAGTGATCAGGCTGTTGGTGTTGGGGTTACTCGAGGAGTGAAACCAGATCAGCAATTGGTCAAGGTAACTAGTTTCTCACGCTATATGAAGATAGAATTCTCTTGCTCGATTCAGTGGAAAGCAAGGTAGTCTCTGTTGAGTGTTGACTTCTAATGAATTATGATAGTCAGTTGGTGCTTCTTTCAGATTGTGAATGATGAGCTAGTGAAACTGATGGGCGGAGAGGTGTCTGAACTTGTTTTTGCAAAATCTGCCCCCACTGTTATTTTATTGGCTGGTTTACAAGGAGTCGGGAAGACAACCGTATGTGCAAAATTGGCTTATTACCTTAAGAAACAGGTGCATTTCCACAAGCATCCCTCTTTCCTTGTTCATTAATATATGCATTAGAGCCATATGTAGTTTACTTTTTTGTTTCTATTTTCCTTTTTCTGACCCCATGACATACACCAATCACAGGGGAAGAGTTCTATGCTGATTGCTGGTGATGTATACAGACCTGCTGCCATTGACCAACTTGTTATTTTAGGTGACCAGGTATTGAATTTTCGTTGTCAACAAAGTTGCCGTTTACATTTTCATTTTATTTTTATTTTTGGTATGTGTTCATTCTTATGTTAAATTCATAGCTTGTAACAGGTAAAGGTGCCAGTATATACAGCAGGGACTGACACTAAACCCTCAGAAATAGCTAGGCAAGGTTTAGCGGAGGCCAAAAAGAAGAACATAGATGTAGTAATAATGGATACTGCTGGAAGGCTTCAGGTAATTCTTCTACACATGTGATTATTAGGTAATTCTGATATGATGTCTTTCAAAAGTTTACTGGTTGTGTTAACTTTTGGCTGGGGTTTCTTTTTGTTTTGTTTTCTTTTATTTAACAGATAGACAAAGGAATGATGGATGAGTTGAAAGAAGTTAAGAAGGTATTGAACCCCACAGAAGTTTTGCTTGTTGTGGATGCAATGACTGGCCAAGAAGCTGCAGGTGTTCAGACTTATCATTCAATTTTTTGAGTTTTTTAATACTCTAAAGCTTAATCACCCAAATTATACATGTTTTATTTTATTTTCCTTTCTTCCGTTATTGCTGCAAAATTGGATATAGAAGCAAAATTAGCATATGTTACTGTGTATGATCTATCTGCAATATCATGTACACATAAGAGTTCCACATAAGCAATTAATTGCACTTAATGTTCAAAATTAAAAAATAAAATAAAAATTCACACCTATCCAAATTAAATTATGAGTTTTGTCTACATTCGTTGATTTGAACCATATTGTTAACAATTTGCATCCCGTTTTGATTGCTCTTTTTCGTTCCCGCCCTTACAATGCGGCCCTTTCTCTTTGCAATAGCGTTTTTATTAATAATCTGTGTAAACATCCAAATAGCCGCCTGTGACGGGGGAATTCCTTCTCCCGTGGCTGGTTTACATCCGGAGGTTCCCCCTGACACCGGTGTTCCCCAAGGGGCACCATCCCATTTGATGATCTTCGTGCGTTCAAAACTTCAAATACACAACCGGCACAATTCCAGTTATTGATGTTCAGAAAGTGTAATATAACCATGTCACAAAGAGAATTATGAATACTTCTAGAAATAGGCTGACTATCTTTTTTGAGTTTTGCAGCTTTAGTCACAACATTCAACTTAGAGATTGGGATTACTGGAGCTATTTTAACAAAGCTAGATGGGGATTCCAGGGGTGGAGCAGCTTTGAGTGTTAAAGAGGTTTGGCTGTTGTTGCATTACTTATTTGTCATAGTAATTTTGTTTGTTCTGTTCATCATTAAATATCAGGGGAATGCATTACTAAGAGTAATTGATAGCAGAATTATGATTTGAAAATCTTAAGAGTTGAGAAAATTAACTCTAATCTCAAGAGAAGAGATAATTAACTCTTTCTAGAGGAAGAATCACTTATGATATTTAGTTTTGTATAATTTGTCATGAATTTTGTTTTCAATATTGTTCGTGGAGTGTAACAATATTTGAACAAGATATAATTTGTGCATTCCTCTTTAGCATTCAGAGTACATAATGTTGCGTTTTGACATGCCATCATAAAGTTGCTCCAGTGGAGGTTGTTCAGATCCTTTGATCAGGATGGAGATGTCTTATGGAGTTGTTTTGTAAATTTGAGTGATGGGAGATAGTATTACTGCAGTCATTGGCTCATTGTGGGTTTCTTTCTTGGTGGCAATTATTGAGTTACTGTTGAAGATAGTATGACTACAGTCATTTGACATTTCTTGGTTGCAATTCTTTTTCATAAGGAGTTTTGTTAACTGTTGAAGTATCTCTTCTTGCTAAAATAGTTAAGCTACCGAAAATATTTTTCTGTAATTGTTTTCCTAATAATGAGTTAATGATAGGTATCAGGAAAGCCAATCAAACTTGTTGGACGAGGAGAGCGGATGGAGGACCTTGAACCATTTTACCCAGATCGTATGGCGGGACGCATATTAGGAATGGGAGACGTTCTCTCATTTGTGGAGAAGGCACAAGAAGTTGTAAGTACTTTTTCTTTCTTTTTTGTTTTTTGGTTTGTAATTTCCACTATAGATTCCCTAAATATTTATATGGAACATAGTTATAATTGAGTTTTCAATATAGATGCGCCAAGAAGATGCTGAAGAATTGCAAAAGAAGATAATGAGTGCAAAGTTTGACTTCAATGATTTCCTAAAGCAAACTCGTGCTGTTGCACGCATGGGTTCCATGACTCGTGTTCTTGGAATGATCCCTGGTATGGGGAAGGTATGAAAGTTTGTTTTCCCATTTACCCGCATTATTTTTCTGATAGGTTCTCTGGCTTTTATGTTTGTTGTGGCATACCTTGAAGGGGTGTTTTTAAAACTGCTCTTGTGGTGACCATTCTCCATGTTTACTTATGAAACTGAAAATTTGATAGTTGTTGAGATCCAGCAAGTTCCTTTTTTCAATTGTATTTAATTCTTTGAACTTTCCATTTACCTAATGAACAGGTTACTCCTGCACAAATTCGAGAAGCAGAGAAGAGTTTAAAGATAATGGAAGCAATGATTGAAGCAATGACCCCTGGTCTCTTATTCTTTTTTATTGATTGAATCTGCCATTTAGGGATGATACTTTAAAGTTGCTTCCTGGTGCACTGTTGGTTATATTTGGCTTTCTGATTTTCATCTTCGATCACAGAGGAAAAGGAGCAGCCAGAGTTGTTGGCAGAATCTGTCACAAGGAGAAAAAGAATTGCTCAAGAGTCTGGGAAAACAGAGCAGCAGGTTTGAAGTGGCTATCTATGTTTGACATGTTGTCCTTGTATTAGCTTCCCTGAAAAGAAGGGTTTTATATGTTGAGTAACAATATAAATTTAGCTGCGATATTTAACCATATGCTCTTAATGATGTGAATATTAGGTGAGCCAACTTGTTGCTCAACTCTTCCAAATGCGAGTTCGAATGAAGAATCTAATGGGTGTAATGGAAGGGGGATCTATTCCTGCACTGAACAATCTTGAGGAATCCCTAAAAAATGAACAAAAGGTGCCGTATTTTCCATTCAGCTTCTGCTCTGTAATCTATATGCATGTTAATGAACTATGTCCCTGCTTTTTAGTTTTTCCATGCTTATGTTCAATTGTTATAAACTTTGCTTGGGAGATGCTTGTTTATCAATGTTTTATGGTTTGGATTCTCTTATCAGGCTCCTCCCGGGACTGCAAGACGGAAACGACGAACTGATTCAAAGAGGCAGTTTGTTGGCTCAGCATCTCGGCCCAGTCCTCGTGGTTTCGGGGGCGGGAACTGAGTGATGACAGCAAGGGGGATTTCTGGTCAATGAGTTGCGTACTCTAGATATGTTATTGTTAGTCAGATATCTTGGGGTACAACTACACAAGTTTAACTTTGTGAAGTTGATGCTCCTGCAATAGTCAGTGTATCAAGCACATTGTATATTCACTTTTCTGTACGCAATCTATTTTTGTATTAATGAGAAATTCATGCATCATTCCTGAAGACCAGTCCAACCATTGCCTTATGGTAGCTACTTTTTCATAATTCTTAAATCTTAATAATTATGCTACGGTTCGTCGCCTGCATCGGCCATTAATGTATGTGGAGTTCATAATGCATCAACACAAACTTAATTCCAAATCAATAGATAATGGAGAAATTGGTTCTTATTTTCTTTTTGGGTCCGAGGGTTTTGGGATGTATTTCCCGACATATCCTACTAAGCAACGGGCACAAGCTTCAATAGTGAGATGTAGACTTGTCCCTCACCCTCTAAATACGGATAGGCCTAGAATGAGTCACCGATGGTTTTGTCGGGCAGTTGAGGACAAAACAAGGTACTTAAATGCTGACACGTGTTTACCAATAACAAAGGTACTGACACGTGCTTACCAATGAAAAAAGGTACTGACACGTGCCCCAGCCTTACAATTTCTCTCTCTCCTCTTTTTGTTTCTGATATCTCTCTATCTCTCTCCTTTGGAAAGAGAAGCAAAGAAAGTAAAAACTCTACCTCTTAAACTCAAAGCAAGTTTTCCCTCTGCAGAAAAATGGCAAGCCCAAAGCAAACAGACGCAGACACCGGAGATTCGAAATTTCCTGCTGCTAATGTGGATTTAGAATTGAATCCAGGCAAGAACAAGAATTTTGAAGAAGACAGTGGGCCATCTCTAGTAGCTACCTCCAAGGAGATTAAGGTGATATTTTCTTTCTTCAACTCTAACCCTGTCTTGATTTGTCTATATAAAACTTGAATACATATTTCATGGCGCTGAAAAGCAAGTATATCACTTCTAAACCAGCATGGGATGGAATTAAAATGTTTGAATTTGTTTTGTCTAATACTTGAGCTATTACATATGGATACAAAGATATGAAAAACATAAAAAATAAGGGGGGTGTGAAAATAGCTACCCTAAGATGAAGCAGGGGAGGGAAAGGCAAAATGCTTTAATATTGCGTAGATACGAAGATCAGAAAAAGAAGACATGAAAGTAAGGGGGAAGAGTGCACGTTTACAAAGTAAGAGTGTGAAAATCGCTACCCTAAGATGAAATGGGAGATGGGGATTGAAGGTTGATTCGAGGATCTTATGGAACCGGACCGGAGCTCTGATACCATGTAAAAGAAACCATTGAATCCTATAGATGAAGTTGTTAGAGAACCTCTTAACAATGTTTCTCAAGCTAATGTAAACAATTTTAACAATGGAATTTCATGAAAATGCTTGAAAGCCTGTTGTTCTTATGTGCCTCTCTACATGCACCAGCACTGTAGTGTTACTAAGAATGTTGCAATGCCTATTTTACAGGAACAAATAGAGGCTGAAGATAAGAAGAAAAAGGACCAGGAGAAGAAAGATGCAATCCAGACTCTCAAGAAAAGCGTTATAGTCTCGGCGGTGATCGTGGCTCTGGCAGGGGCAATTTTTGCCATAACCAAGAAATTGAGAGAGAAATGAACTCAGCAGCCAGACAATAGAAGCAATGCCAAATTTTGCACCCCCCTCCCCCATTTGCTTCTGTTGTTTTTAAGTTTTTCCGTCTCCTTTTGTAATGTCATGCATGCCCACATGGAAATACTGCTTCTGATGAATTTGATGTAGATTTTGGTGAACAATGCCCTCTTCTTTGTCAACGATACATGTATGAATTCTGTAAGGAAACATGTAATCTAATACAATGTTCCTTTTGTTGCGTTTCTAAGATTGAATAAAATTCAGTTTCCTCTATTCTGGTTTGGGCCATAATCACAAGATTGGTACTAGTGTTATGCATTGGTAGCTAATAATCGTTGATTGGTGTGAATCTCACTACTAATATCCTATCATTTCGTTCCGAGAATAATTTTGTTCATCACTTTTAATCATGTGATAACATTCCCACTCTTTAATTACACTATACAGATTCATAGTGTTCCCTAAACCTAAACTTCATTAACAAAACAATTTTGCCCACAATCTTTAACCTATTCACATAAAACTCACTATGTAATATTTTATTGAGATTTTTTATTTAAACCCCACACTTCTCTTTGTTTACTCAAGTATTTAAATCATTAAGTTGTAAGTTTTATTATTGTGTAAAAAGACAAAAAAAGGTCATTCAACTTAATACTTAAACCTAATACATCTATACACACACCCCACACACCCCACCACTTTTATATATTAAGTTTTAGAAAAATACAAAATCCTCTAGCGTAGTAAAAACATGGGTACTTAACCCTAAACCTTAAATCCTAAACCCTTTATTGGAAAGAAAGGTATGCTTTGTGTCTAAATTATTGCAACGATTTTATTAAGAGTTATGTCCTGGAGTTAGTTTATTTTTGTTTCTCTGGGGTTATGCATATGAGGGCTGATTTTTGCAGGCAATTTTGTGTTTTTCCTTTTTCTGTTTTTTCCCCATCTAAAACCAGATTTGGGCTCTCAAGGTTTTGGTGACCTTGCCTGCATAAGAGACAAGAATATTGCACTTCAAAATATTCATTTTGTGGTAGGAAACATATGCACTTTAAATTTGTAAATAGTAGAAGATTATTGTACCGTTGTGTAAGTAAATAGTAGATGATTATTGTATCTTCGTGTAAGTGAAATTTGTTCTTATCAAGGTAAGTTGCACTTTCTTATCTACAATGCAAATAAATATCTCCTTATTTAATTTCTAATTTAGAAATCTTTATTTAGTTTAGGACCTTCATCTTCTTCTCAAAAAATAAGGGCCTTCTTCATCTTTTCCCCTACTATTTAGTTTAGATATATGCTTTTTTTCTATAATTTGTGAAGATAGTGAGGTTTAAATAGAAAGACTCTTTTATTTTTTATTTTTTCAACTTGGGGTTTATTAAAGGGTAGTTTGGGAAGATAACAAGGTTTTCTTAGAAATTGTGAAAATTTAAATTAGAAGTTGGGGTGAACTTAGAAGATGGGGTGAACAAAGGGAAGTATGGAGTTTAAATAGAAAATCTCTATTTTATTAGTCAAACACTGATTTCCTTACTTTTATAATTTAATCACAGTTACTATTCTGGACTGTTGTTAAGTTTGAACTTAAAATGAAACTCTGAAACCAATCATTTTCCAGAGGAAAAGAAAAATGCCCAAAAATGTCTCCGATTTCTCTGAACCCTCCTCCATCTCCACCGCGCTCCCTCTACCTCAAACCCAAGCCCATGCACCCCTTTCCCACTCTCCCAAAACCTAAACTTTCTCTGAAACCCTCCCTCCACAAATCCCATAATTCCACCAACGTCCCCTCTCTTCTTCCCGCCACCCCAAAACCCCAAAACGACCTCCCTTTTTCTCAGACTTTCCATTCTCTCACTTCTCTCAAACCCTACATTCTCTCCCAACACAAGCCAATCCTCTTAGGCTGGCTCTGCAGCCTCGTCTCTGTCTACTCTCTCTCCAAAACCGTACCCAAAATCGGCAAATTCTCCACCTTTATCGAAAATTTGGACTCCATCACATTGAAAAATGAGGGCTTGGCCGTGGGGGTATTGGTCCTTGCGAGGCTTGTTGCTGTGTATTGGCAGCAAGCGTTTCTCTGGGACGCGGCTTTGAACGCTGTGTATCGGGTTCGGACTGCCGTGTTCGAGAAGGTTCTGGAGAGGGACTTAGAGTTCTTCGAAGGTTATGGCGGTGTTTCGAGCGGAGATGTTGCTTATAGGATCACTGCTGAGGCCTCTGATATCGCTGACACAGTGTTTGCTCTTCTCAATGTGAGTAAAGCCTTCAAGTTTTGATTGATTGTGTTGCCAGAGCGACTGTTAGTGTGTTGATTGATTATGTTGTTTTGATTGGGTTTGTGAATGGCAGACCACTGTGCCCAGTGCTTTGCAGCTGTTAGCTATGGCTGCTCAGATGTTGGCTATCAGCCCTTTGCTATCTTTGATTTCAGCTGTGGTGAGGAAGTTATGCTTTATCTTTTGTGCACCTAAAGCTACTGATTATGCTCTTGGACTTGGTTGAGGGTGTGTCTTATTGTGTTTTGTGTTTTGGTTTATGGGTAGGTGATTCCATGTATGGCTCTTATCATCATCAGACTTGGCGGTAAACTCCGTAAGATTTCTAACAAGGCCCATCTTAGCATTGCTGCTCTCTCTGCTTATCTCAATGAGGTATATGTTATGTCTCAATTTACCTGCCCTCTCTATTGTATCTTTCCAATGAGTGCTCCACTCTGTGTCTCGCGTTAACATTTTGCTGGACTTTCTTTGTCATAAGCTGGCTGATTGTGTTTATTTCTCATATGTTATCGTCCTGTAGGTCCTCCCAGCAATTCTTTTTGTGAAAGCAAGCAATGCAGAATTGTGTGAGTATGCTAGGTTTAGGAAGCTTGCTCACGATGACCTCTCTGCACATTTGGAAAAGAAGAAAATGAAGGCGCTTATTCCTCAGATCGTACAGATTATATATTTTGGAGTGTTGTTTATGTTGTGTGCTGGATCACTGGTGTTTTCTAGGAGTTCTTTCGACAGCGGTGGCATGGCTTCATTTGTAACAGCATTGATTTTTCTGATTGAGCCAATTCAGGTAATATTCTGTGATATGAAGAACCTCTACCCTTCTTAACTTTGTTTGTGGGTTTTTGTCATATTTGATAGATTTTCTTAACATGGTTAGTGTATAACTGGAAGTTGCCTTTTTAGGTTTCTCAGTATTTTGGAGCATTATTTAATGACCTTGACCTCACCTTCTTGAAATTCAGTAGATACTAGTATACTACCTACTTACTCTGCTTTGTGCTATTTATGAGATGAAAATAGTTTCAGCAGTCTCTCAATAACTTATTCCAGTAGTTGTCTGAAGTGTATTTGCTAATCATTCTGTGTGTTATTATTATTGTCAGCTATTGAGGAGCTGTCTTAAGTTATCAATCTGAATGTAAAGAATCACGCAGGGTGTTGGAAAAGCATACAATGAGTTGAAGCAAGGAGAACCGGCTATTGAACGCTTGTTTGAACTTACTAGGTTCAAACCAATGGTATTTTTTTCCCTGAATAGAAGAAATCAGTGCTAAATTATGGTATATTGGTCTCTGTATTTCAATCCTTAATGCGCGCACACACACATACATATATATTTCTTTGTAAAATTTAGTTCTACATTATTTAATTTTGAGTTAATCTTTGTGAAGTAAAAGGAGTTACTTAAAAGAGAGAATAGGATGGTTGCTAATAAATTTCTGAACAGAGGAAGCCAAATTTAGTTCTACATTATTTAGTTTTGAGGTCAGCATAGTGCAATCAATAATAATTCTCATTAGGTATAATTATACTAATCATTCTTTTGTGCCTTTGACAAGATGCTTCATGCTACTTTATTATAACTCAGTGTTGTGATCATTCAATGTAGTTATTATTCATGTTGCTTTGGCATCTATCAATTTATTCTTGAACACAGATAAAGGAGAAACTGGATGCTGTTGATTTAGACCAAGTTACAGGAGAGGTCAAATTTTGTGATGTATCATTTAAATACGGGGACAATATGGCTTATATTTTGAATGGATTGAATCTGCATATTAAAGCTGGAGAGACAGTTGCTGTTGTCGGGCCCTCTGGAGGAGGAAAGACAACCCTTGTAAAACTACTTCTTCGGCTTTATGATCCTTTATCTGGTGAGCTCTTCAATAAAGATATAGCTTTTTCCAAAACCGGGGAAACCACTATCCCACTCCCACCTCTTACCTCTAAAGCCCAAGGGAATTCTGCAAAATTTCTCAACTCTTTGTTGTTCAATTTTGGAATATGAATTTTTTTGTTGAGGCTGCTTATTGGATTTTCGCATTTTTACAGGTTGTATACTTATTGATAACCACAACATCCAGAGCGTGAAGTTAACAAGTTTGAGGAGACATGTTGGCCTGGTTTCCCAGGATATAGTGAGTGACGTATGATTATATCTTTTGGTATTTCTATTTCGTTTTTCTGAAAAAGAAATAATAAAATTTTACTACATGCGCTAAAACACAAAACTTTAACTCTACTTCCATGCGCATATAAAGTTTGCCAGTTACCTCAGGTTGTTTGTGCTATTTGAATTTGGAGTTGTTTGATCTGCTCTATATGTGTTACATATACTATTGTTATGCACGAGATTGCAAAATGATAAATTAGTAAGTTCAACTAGTATTGGACTGTGTTTTGCACTCCAAAGACTACTTGAAAAAGTTATGAAGTTTAGGAGACTGTTCTTTTGTATAATAACATGGGCGTATGGTTAAGACTTGAGAGTTTATTTTAAGGGTATGATGTGAACACTAGATAATTAAAATGTCTGAAAGATGAGACCCATGACTCTGGAAATACAGTTTCTTTCTTCTTTATTTTTAATAAATCTTTTATAATATTTTGTTGTTGTCCAAATCATAATATTATCTTGGTAACTTTGTATGTATTAGACACTTTTTTCAGGAACAGTTGCTGAAAATATTGGGTACAGGGATCTGTTGGCAAAAATTAACATGGAAATGGTAGAGGATGCAGCAAGAACTGCAAATGCAGATGAATTTATCAGAAATCTCCCAGATGGATACAAAACCAACATAGGACCAAGAGGCTCAAGTTTGAGTGGAGGTCAGAAGCAAAGGTGAAGCATCCCTGATCCTAACATTGGTATTTAGTATGATTGTTAGGTCCAGCCTGGGAAAAGAAAAACTCATGTTGCATATGGTGATTTCCTACATGTTAAGTTTGCTAATCAACTTCTCTGTTTGCTCTCCTCTAATACAGACTAGCTATTGCAAGGGCACTCTATCAGAATTCTTCTATATTGATTTTGGATGAAGCTACTTCTGCTTTAGATAGCAGGTCTGAGTTGTTAGTTAGACAAGCTGTCCAGCGCTTGATGGAAAATCACACGGTAAGGATGAGCACGTCCTATCTGTTTGGTTTGCCCACTACAGTACAGTCTTTTATCTAGATATTGATTTTGAATGAATAGCTTTTACATTTTTCACTTGCAAAATTATGTCGAGTGTCTAAATGAATCAGATATTGTGCTTATTAACAGGTCCTGGTGATTGCTCATCGGTTGGAAACGATTCTGATGGCTAAACGAGTGTTCCGTTTAGATGCCGGAAAACTTGAAGAGGTAACCCGCTCGAGTCTTTTGGGTGGTCAGCATATGGCATGGGGCTCGTCATGTGATTGCCATGGCAAACAGTAGCGGCATACATGTAGATAAATAGAGTGTGGATTTGTTTTTGTTTTGTTTTTTTTTTCCGAGAGAGTGAATTTGTTTTTGTTTTTATCAAAATTGTACCAAAATAACCTAGATATGAAAAGTTACTCTCATTACAACCTACTTCACCTTCACCACTGGTAGTAGCCATTTACTTGAGCTTTTAAGAGAAATTGGTCTTAATCCATACTACAAGACAAGGAAAATTAAGAAACCAAAACATCAATTATATTAGTATAAACACTAAACCAAATCAAAGACAGCGGTGATAGTCTTCATACTAATACCGACAACAAGCACATAAGATAAAATTTAGACAACCAACAACTCGCGAAAGGTGCATTACTCTCATTCAATAGAAATCCCAACATCCTAAGACTTTGATATTATAACATACACACAACATAACACAAATTCTGGAAAAGATCAAACCAGATCTCTATTTCTTTCCTTGAAAACAACTTTTGCCTTCGAAATATTCTTGCTTTTCTTTATCTTCCTCCTAACATATTGCTTCGGCAAATGAATTATGACCATCTTCTCCAAATTCTGAGCATGCGCAAGCATATACATTGCAAACTCAACTCCATTAGATCCATGCGAAAGCTCTATCGTAACCTCCTTCAGCTGTTTAATAAAAGCAAGGTTTTGCATGCTCCAGTGTCCCATAACAAACCCAGATGCCTGAAAAAGCAAGAAGACATTGAAATTTCCAACAAAAATAAGTTAAGAACTACCAAAATATAGAGTCCAATTGCTTTAACAAGGTCTTGATTAAAATGACAAAACTAAGCGTAAGAGAGAGACTGAGAAACAACATCCACTTTTAAGTCTTAACTTACATTATTAGATTCGGGCTCGACTAAAGGCGGGCTAGACTTTATGTATAAGGCATACAAGTTATGCAGTCCAGAAAAAAGAAAGACCATTGCTGGTACTAGGTCATTAAAAAAGCTCCTAATATGAACACGCAAATGGCGAATATTTTCAAATGGAGCCGGCATGGATCCATCCCTAAACAGAGCCTGCAATGTTATAAAGGCACACAACATCATGCTTCACAATTTACTTTTCAATTCTATTGAACAAAAACTTAAAAAGAAAAAAAGAAAAAAGAAGAGTTTTCAATCTAGCCCCCGCAATTTTTCTTAATGTAAAGGCAATGGCATCCATAATTTTTAAAACAATAATGAAATGTATGAAGGGTTCACTTTACCTTAATGGTCTCTTCATTTAGATTAAGAAAGTTAACCTCGGATGAAGTGTAAACATCATCAAATACATACTTATAGTCATCTGCTTCAGGATCCAGAAAAATCCCCACTTCTTTTAAACATCCAGGGTTTCCCAGACTTGGGTTGCGCACAAAATTCCCGAACCAATAAAACTTTTCGAGATTCGGGGCAAAAATACTTAATGATTTATCATTAGGGGTAGCAAATTTCCAGTCTATGAATATTTCTTCAAGTTTCTCACCGGAGATGTTGAGGTGGCAGATGTCAATCAGCTTGTGACACTCAAGAGAAAATGATTCCAAAGACCAGCTTTCGATGGTGACATTTTTTGGCCCATAAACTTGGTGAAGGTTTAACTCCTTAATGACTTTGCAAGAACACGAGATCCATTTGAAGAATCCCTCATCTACTATAATAACCTTGCTCAAGTCCAAGTACTGGAGATTAGAGAAAAAAGTGGAGGGCACTTCAATCCTACACTTCATGTCCAACGATAGATGCACCAAAGATTCACAAGGAAAGACACAAGATGGAAATGCCATGTCCTCAAACATAGAGATCTCAAGATCAAGAACTTGCACTTTACACCTTACTGCATTGTGGATCCATGTCATGATTCTATAATACTCATCACAGAAGCATTGCGTGGCCTCATCAGCAGGTAATCGATGGCGAGCCCAACAAACACTAAACTTCATTATCTTATTATCCCCACGGTGAACCAAATACCTATCCAAACAGTTCAACAATTTCAGCCTTTTACCACACGTCAATGTATTTGCCCTGGGAAATTCATCAAAATGCAATACTGGAGACAACAGGTAGAGTTGTCTACATCTTTTTGACACACAGCCGAAACGAGTGAGGTCTTTTATAGAAAGGCGGCAAAGAATGCGAAGGTCAACTTCGTCAGGAAGATGACTAAATATGTCTACCCTTCTGCTCTTAGCATGCATTCGTGCTTGACCTGGCCTACTTGCAGTTGCCATTAGCTTGCTCTTGTGTTCCATTGGGTGTCTTTTTTGCTTTTGTAAGAGATGTTGGTTTCAGTCTAGCTACAAGGGAAATTGTAGAGTTACCGGATTGAATACTAAATCATCAATTATATTTATATTTAATTTTGTTGTATATACATCTATACACTGAACCAAAAGAAATTAAGAAATGAACCCAAATAAACTCAGAGTAGCCTTGATAGGGGCACATACCGTTCATGTATAGACACCAGAAAATTGGAATGCATCTTCCTTGGTCCAGACTACGGGAAGGTGATGGATTGCCAAGTCCATTCAGACAGAGCTGAAAACCCTAATTTTGATCATTTGGGGCTGTGCACAATAACTGGGGTTTGGGTCTTTTAGGCTTCCTGATGTGGGTTTAGTGTAAGAAATAGTAAAAATTCACACTTTTGTAACCCCAAAATTTTGAAATTTGAAATTTAAAATTCTTATCGAGAATCTGTCAGAGCGTCGTTTGTTTTAGGAAAGCTCTTGACTACCTTTAGAGTAAACTTTCGGTGAGAGTGTGACAACATCACGTGATGTTACCAACTCATGTTATAACACGTGTGTGCTCTTATAAACCCATTACCCAACCATGTTTTGACTCGCGGATTATAGTAAGAGCATCTCCAACAACTGGAATGCTAAAATGGACGAGCCACATTAGCAAAACTCTCTCCCACAGACTTGTCAAATTTAGTCACCAAAGCTGCAATCCCTTTCCCTCTCTTTAAAATTGACAATTTAACCTTGCCTTTTCAAAACATTTATTTTACCGTGGAAGAACAAAACCTACATTAAAAATGCTAAAAACATGAACTTTTTCTTTTAAAATAATAAATACATAGACTTTCTTCACCTGTTTTCGAAGAAACCTATATTGAAAATACTAAAATAACAAACACTACATTAATTGAATTCAAGAGTATGCTTGGGCATAAATTATTAAAGTAGCAAACAAACCTTTTCAAATTGTCCAATAGGTCAACCAACTTCAATTTGAAGAGTTTGGTTTGCTACTACTGTTGGAGGTGCTCTAAGATTTTGGTAGTGTCTCAGTTTCACACAAAAATTTCTCATACTTCTTATGTTACTTGGTAACAACCCTCCCCAAAATTTTGCCCGTGAGATTCTCAAAACATAGTTTATTTGGTCTAATCAAGTGGATTTTTGTTATATTTGAGAGTATTTATTAAAACTCAAGAAGAAGTTATTTGGCTTTGAAATAGAGGTTTAATTGGATTTATGGGTGGAATGATCCTTTGATTAACTTTAGACCACTGGTGACAAACACATGGTTTATGTCATTTTGAATAGACAGTCTATGTAGGACTTCGCATGGGACATCTTACTCACAATAAGGGATTCTATTCTAGCTAGAAGCACACAAATCTGAATCTTCGTCAAAGACAGCGGTGGAATTGGAAGAAAATAGCAAGACAAATACATACGTGTATTTAGAAGCCCAATAGTGATTTGATTTCTCTCCTCATTTAGCTCTTGGAAGAAAATTTCATGCCGAAGCTCCCTTTACCCCAAAAGCAAAAAATCCCAACATCCCCAACCCACGCACCCGACAACTCTCCCTTGTCGCCCGCCCCCTCTTTCCTCTATATCTCTCTCTTCAATCTCCATCACTAGAGCACCATGGGTGGCTGAAGACCCCGAGGTCTCTAATCACCCACCCGGTGTTGGAGTTAGGAGAGAGATGAGGAAGGGGGTGGCCGGCAAAAAGAGAGTCGCCTTCAACATGGGTGAATTGGGGGAGGGGCAGTTGTCAGGCTGGGTGAGTTAGGGTAGAGTGTTTTTCTTTTTCGCATTTTTCTCTTAATTTATTTTATTTTGATGGGGCTTAAAATCAGCACTACGGAGGAAAAAAATTTGAGGGATTTTTTTTCTTCTCTGCAAATTGGGGGTGACAATAGAATTCCGGTTAATGATATGCCAACTACATGGGCTTTTCAGACCAGTACAAATGAAAAACAATACGCAGTGTGGGAAATGCAAAACACCACTTGGTTTTGGAAAAAAAAAGAAAGAAAAGGAAACTCGAAACACATCAAGCATTCAGAAGCATCAATACACTTTACGACAACTACTCGTTCAGTTAAAGCTAAATACAGTACAGAATTACACCAAGAAAACAAACTAAGGATAGCCATAGTCATCAAAGTTCAGAGACCAAATTGAGTCGAGAGAAAAAGGTCTCTGCAGCATTCGGGAAAACAACCAAAATGCGCGAGGCCCATGCTTTCTTGTCCCTCTTTCTTGATCTTCTTCAAAGACAACTATGGCATTGGGAGCTTTCTTGCTTTCATTTAACTTCCCTATAGCATTAGATTGCTCAGGTGAATGCACAATCGCCAATTTCTCCAAGTTCTGAGCATGCTCGAGGACATACCTTGCTAACTCGATTCCATTAGACCCATTGGAAAGCTCAATGTTTACCAGCCTCAGTTTCTTAATAAAAGCAAGGTTTTGCAATTTCCAGAATTCCGCGTCAAACCCGGATGACTGGAAAGGCAACAAGGAATCAAGCAGATCAGCTGAAAAATTGATGAATGTTTAAGAAAGAACAGATGGAAAAATGCACTAAAAAGAGATAGGACTTTTTACTTACTCTAGCTTCAGGGTGGAAGGTGATTTGGTCAGATTTTAGGTACAAAGCATTCAAACTTGGCATTCCTCGAAAAAAACAGACCATTGCATGGACCAGAAAATCAAACAAGCCCTCCATGTGCATTTGTAAATAATGAATCCGAGCACAAAAGAGTGTTGGTATAGGACCTTCCTTTAACAGAGCCTGCGATGTTAAAAGGCAAACCCAAAAGAGAAAAAGATGAAGAGAACCCAAAAATCTTCCAAGAATAGTAATCAAAACAACCAAAATCAAGTTGAACTCATTAATTGGTCAAAATAAAAAACGCATACCATGTATGTAATGTTGGTGTGACTTGTGGACCATTGACTTACTTTCCTTTCACACCAAGAATTCATATTATAATTGTATATTGATTTACTTTGATTTCTGATTTCTTATTATAAATAGAAATATGAATTTATTATTTACTTGCCCATTAAAGTTCCGTTGTATTATAAATATGACCTCCTATAAGGAGAATAATACACAGAAAATTCCCACAAACAAAAATTCTCATATTAGGTTCCATATTTTAGCATGGTATCAGAACAAATTGCAAAAAAGATTCTTCTTCCAAAAATAGAAAATAATTCATTAGCTTGAAGGTAGTGTCTCTTTAAGTACCTTGGTGATCTCTTTGTGTAGAATAAGAACTTTAACCTCAGGCATGCTGCAGAGAATCTCATATATGATGTCGAACTCTTTTCCAGACTTAACTTTCAAAGAAAGCTCAGCCTTCTCTAAACGCGTTAATTTCCCCACATTTTGGTGAGAAAACAAACTCCCCGACCAAATCAAAGATTTAAGATTTGGAGCGAAAAGATTTAACAACGATTTCCTGTCAAGAAAAACATTTCCCCAATAGATATGTAAGCTTTCAAGTTTCTCTCCTGAGATGTTGAGATTGCAGCCAGCACTCAAACCGGGACACCGAAAAACAAATGATTCCAGAGAAGAGCTTTCGATGGTGATATTTTGTACCCCATAAATATCATGAAGACGCAATTCCTTTATGCACTTGCAGCAACATGAGATCCATGTGAAAAACTCCTCGTCTACTATACAAACTTCTCTCAAATTCAGGTGTTTTAGATTAGATGACGAATCGAGGGGCGGTGCTTTGAGAACACACTTCATGTTCACTGATAAAGACCTCAAAGAATCACAAAGAAACATGAAAGACGATAATGCTAATGGTGTCTCTTGATGCACACAGATGTCAAGATCAAGCTCTTCAACTTTGCACCTTACTGCATCGTAGACCCACGTCATGATCCGAAAGCTCTCATCACAAGAGCAGTCCTCCACGTAGCGGTTTTGGGGAACCCAATGGATGTGGAAGCGTTTTAACTTATCGTTCCGGCGATGAGCTAACAACCTATCCAAAGAATTCATCACCTCTAACCTCTTGCTACACGGGGATTTCTTTATGTCGGGAAATTCATTGAAATTGAAACTCAAAGTTGGAGTTGACAGGTGAAATTGTCTGCATCTTTTGGACGCACAGCCCACTCGTACGATGTCTTTTAGATCAACGAAGGAAAAAATGTGGTGGGCTATAGGGTCTGGAAGATTACTCAATCTATCTATCATTATACGCTCAGCATGCACTCCTTGACCTTGACGACTTACAGTAGCCATTAACTTAGGTTTGTGTTCCATGATAGCAACTACGGTGTTTTTGCGTCTGTAAGAGATTGGAGTTGGTTTCAATTTATAGCACTAGCCTAGAAGGAAAGAGGAATCAAATGCTACAACAATTATCATTTATTACACACTAAACCAAAATAAAGAAAAGTAGTAACTTTTGATACTAGTACTTACCACCATTCATGTACACCTTTACTATAGTTAGTATGAGGATATGCGAGCCAATCTAGTTGGATCGCTCCCATCTTCCCCAGTCCTGCAAATTTTGGATCGAATTTGATGAATTCGAAGAAGGAAACAAAGAACCCTAATTTTGTTAATTCAGATATCTTGTATAATGTGGGAGAGAATCGTACTTGCAACTGGTTTATGCTATGTATTACCATTTGGTTTAGTGAGTGGTTTTTGTTGTTTCAAGTACTACTTTCTCGAAGTGTGGAGAGAATGCACTTGCAACCAGTTTATCACACCCCTTTCTCTCTCATCACTTGTATCGGTACATGGTTTTAGTGTGTGGTTTTTGCTGTTTCCCGAGCTGTTTTCTCGAAATGAGTTTATCTCTCACCCCTCTCTCTGATCATGTGTATTGGTACCTGGTTTTATTGCGTGGTTCTTTTTGTTTCCTTTTTAGTTTTCTCGAAGTGTGTGAGAGTGAAACGTACCTGCAACTCATTTATGTCACCCCTCTCATCAGGTGTATTGTTGGTTTCAGTGTAGTTCTTGTACTGTTTTCTCGAAATGCGAAAGTCAAACATACCGCAACTTTCTACCCCTCTCTCATCACTTGTATCGACACTTTTAGTGTGTGGTCCTTGTTGTTTCCTTTACTGTTTTCTCGAAATGTGGGAGTGAAACGTACATGCGATTCATTTATGTCACCCCTCTCATCAGGTGTATTGGCACTTGGTTTCAGTGTGTGGTCCTAGTTCTTTCCATTACTATTTTCTCGAAATGTGGGAGTGAAACGTACATATATATACGACTCATTTGTGTCACCCCTCTATCTCATCACGTGTATTGACACTTGATTTTAGTGTATGGTTCTTGTTGTTTCCTTATTGTTTTCTCAAAGTGTGGGAATGAAACATACTTGCAACTCTTTATGTCACTCCTCTCTCTCATTACGTGTATTGGCACTTGATTTCAGTGTATAATTTTTGTTGTTTCTTGTACCGTTTCCTCAAAATGTGAAAGTAAAACGTACCTTATAACTTTCTTTATCTCTTTCAACACTTGCATTTCATTTGATTTCAATGTAGCTCTTGTTGTTTCCTATTATGTTTTCTCAAAGTGTGTCAAAATATCCTTCATGTGAAATTCTTACTTTACAGCTCCAAAAAATGTGCATAAAAACAAAACTATTGAAAATGTGAGAACACAAAGCTTATCATAATTCAGACAAACAGTTATGCCACACATTCTATATGACTTTGACTAAGAGTATTCGATTTGTTAAATTAATAATTGAGACATCAAAATTGATGTGGGCGAGCATCTTGATAATGTACATAACATATAGAAAGTTTCTTCTTTTTTTGTGGACTTAGAAAGTAAAAAATTATATATCAAAGTTAGGAATTTGTTATTGTTTGAAATCTATAATAACAGTACAAATCTTGAACATAAACGTTAAGAAGAAGTTTATAAATTATTGAAGTAAGTAGAAAAAATTATGTTAGAACTTTAAAAAATATTTACGCAAATAATAAAGTTAGCAAATATGAATCAATGAATTTAAAATGGTAAAGAAATTAAAAAAAGAAGAAGAAGAAGAAGATATAGCAACCAGAGACACTCTTAAGGCCCAAAACTATAGAATTAATAGTAAATTTTGCGTACCCTTCGAAATTGAATTTTCCTTAAATACAACCATCACTTTTTGTTCCTATTAATAAAATCTATTTTTTATAAATAAAAATCCATTAGTAGGATCCAACTCATCAAGTTACCTTATCAAGCTCAAGATTTAATTTATTATAATTTTTAGATTGTTATGAATATCCAAAATATCCCCACGTCTTTGCAATTGTTGTTTTCTCAATTGATTGTTCTGAATATACTTTGAACATATTTGATGCAATTAATTGTCATTAATATTCAAATGGTGTTTTTTTTTGGTTGAAATGAAACGATGATATATTATTAATGATAGGAAAGGATTACATTTGATCGGAAACTAAAACATCAAATGGTGTTTTAAATTTGCTTAAATTTAGGAATTTTTTAGGGTAACTTTAAGTAAGTCACATTTTGAGACTATTGAATCTATTAAGAAACATTTAATATACCTATCACGTTTTAACATAAACTAATGTACCTATTATTAATTTTTTTTTAATGAATAATCTACATATCTTTTGTAACTCTACATGTACCTATTTTAAGTACCTGTAAATAACATACCGATTTATTTGTTACCTAAATACTGTACCAATTTTGTGCACCTATAAATAACATACCTATTTTTTTGTTGCCTAAATATTGTACCTATTTTGTGCATAGCCTAAAAATAAGTATGGCCTACTAGTAATGGAAAAAATAATAATTACCGTATCTAGGTCAAGAGTATAGCCGTGCGGATATACTATTTATAAAAAAGAATTTTTTTTGTTAAAAAAGGACCACATAAAGCCGCGCGGCTAGCTATATGGTTTTTATTTTTAAAAATCCTGAGTATAACCTCACGGCTACACGTTTTTTTATACATTAAAAACAGGACCCACTCAGCGCTTAGCTTGTGTTTTGGTCCATAAATAAAATATTTCAAATGTATCTCTATAAATAGAAATTTTAAATGGTATAGCCGCGCGGCTATATCCATTGAATAGAATTTTCTGAATTTCTCTCTTTTAATTATGTTTTAATTATTATTTAATTAGTGAATAATTGGTAATTAAATATTGAAATATATTTTATTTTTATTCAATAATATGTGAGTATTTTGTGAATAAAACGTGAATTTTATGTGTATTTGAAAATATTGTGAAAAATAAGTGTTTTAAACATAAAAAATACATATGTACGTACATACACAATATGAGTATTAAACGTGAAAGTGCTAAATTTTTTATACGGCTAATAATTCTGGAAAAGAAAAAACTCAAAAGAGGAGAATACAGACTTGGGTAATGACCTAATAGTAATGAATAATGTTCTAAACCACTCTTATCGATAAACAAAAATTGGGGAAAAACAATTATAAAAAAAATCACAGTATCTAGGTAAAGAGTATGGCCGCACGGCTATACTCTTTATAAAAAGACAATTTTAAAAAACCCAGTAAAGCCGACAATACTCGTGAATAGAATTTTCTGAATTTCTCTCTTTTAATTACTTTAATTAGTAGTTATGTTTTAATTATTATTTACTTAGTGAATAATTAGTATTTAAATATTTCTCTCTGTTAGAACATAAAAATCCTGCAAGAACAATAATCAAAACTATACGTGTAACACCTCGACCCCAAATTATCCCATGTTTTAATTTATTTAAGTGGAATTGAGAAATTACCCGTGGGATAAGGGTATTTTAGTCATTTTCTTGCCCGGAAGGAATTTGGGAATTCCGGATGTACCGTTGCGTAGAGCACGGCGAGATGAGTTCGTAGACATGTAGTGGGCTCGAATCGGAGTTGTAACGAAAGAGATATGATCAAATGAAGCTCAGTGGCATAATCGTAAATATTTTGAAGTGGGATTTTTGGTTAAAAGACGGAATTGCCCCCGTCTCTCTGACACTCTCTCTCTCTCCCGCGCGCGTCTCTCCCTCTGGTTTTCGCGACAGCCACTGTGGCCGGCCACGTTTTGGCCGGCCGTGCTCTCGTCCGGCCACCAAAGTCGACGGGGCCGGTACCAAAATGACCGGGCCGCCGTCCTCTTCCTACCCCAGCCAGGTCCCGTCGCCAGCCGCCGTGATTTCGCCGGAAAACGAGGAGAAAAGCTCCGGTTTTGACAGAAAATTCGCCGGCTTCGTTCTCCGTCGTCCGGCCACCGATTCCGGCAAGTGAGGTATGGTTTCTTACCTATTTTCCGTGATCTAGCTGATGGTTGGGTAGGATTGCATCGATTTTAAGCGTAGATTATCTGATTTTCGAGTTAGGGTTCGGCCGGTTTTGGGTTCGCGATTCCGGCCACTTCCGGTCAGTTTTTGGGGTACGTCCAAGAACAAAAGTGACTCCAAATTAGGTGTATTACCTAGGGTAGGAGTCTGGGCTCACGATTTGGAAGTTTTCCGGCGATGGGTATCGCTTTGGACACCCACGCGCTGCCGGCGCGTCTGGCGGCGCGTGGGCACTGTAGCTGAGGGGCATTTTTGTCCCATTGTGATCCTCTCGATGTCACGAGCGCGTAGGTGTGCTCGGATCTCAATTTGGATATCGTTAGAGTCCCGAACGGATATCGCATATCGCGTATTTTCCGGGTTCGCTGGGTTTGGACCGTTGGATGGTCCTGATATTATAATATGTTGATCTAGGTATTACCAGGATCGTGTAGGATTCGACGGATCGTAAAACGGAGTCCCGGATACTCCGGAAATGCCAACCCTGGGGTTAGGGTTTTAGTAACCGTCCGATCGTGCGATCGTGAGCGATCCGACCGTCCGATCTGGACCAAACTTGCAGGACGTGTGTCCTAGACCTTGTAGAACCTATAGGAACTGTCATATCGGAATTTGGAGGTTGTGGGCCCCGCAGGCCCGTTTGACCCTAGGTTGACCGTGAGACTCCCGAGATAGTCTTGCCTTTCCTTGAGGGTTAGGATGACCTTAGTGACAGGTCTTGAGCGTTGTTGAGTTAAATGGATATTGTGGGTTTAGGATATAAATTGGTGAATTTAAATGGGGGGGAGTTTATGGAATGTTTTATTGGTTGATGTTATTGTATGATTAGAAATTACTTGATATATTTAATTGATTGTGTGGATGTATAATGATATATAAAGAGATTGAATGTTAGTTTACAGTGCTATACGCACTACCCCACGTACCCCCATATTGTGATTATGTTGAAGCCCAAGTGATAGTGTGAGGTCGCACGCGTCTTTGGATTAGCCGGCGTGTTGACAGACCCCGTACGTGGCCGGGTGCGTCCCGACGTATGAGTGGGAGATATGATGGTATGATGGCTGGTGAGAATGTAGCCAGGCCCAAGTGATAGTGTGAGGTCGCACGCGTCTTTGGATTAGCCGGCGTGTTGACAGACCCCGTACGTGGCCGGGTGCGTCCCGACGTATGAGTGGGAGATATGATGGTATGATGGCTGGTGAGAATGTAGCCAGGCCCAGTGTGAGGTCGCACGCGTCTTTGGATTAGCCGGCGTGTTGACAGACCCCGTACGTGGCCGGGTGCGTCCCGACGTATGAGTGGGAGATATGGTTGTGTAATGGCTGGTGAGAATGTAGCCAGACCCAGTGTGAGGTCGCACGCGTCTTTGGATTAGCCGGCGTGTTGACAGACCCCGTACGTGGCCGGGTGCGTCCCGACGTATGAGTGGGAGATATGATGGTATGATGGCTGGTGAGAATGTAGCCAGGCCCAAGTGATAGTGTGAGGTCGCACGCGTCTTTGGATTAGCCGGCGTGTTGACAGACCCCGTACGTGGCCGGGTGCGTCCCGACGTATGAGTGGGAGATATGGTTGTGTAATGGCTGGTGAGAATGTAGCCAGGCCCAGTGTGAGGTCGCACGCGTCTTTGGATTAGCCGGCGTGTTGACAGACCCCGTACGTGGCCGGGTGCGTCCCGACGTATGAGTGGGAGCTATGTGATTATGTTGGGTGTGTTGTGATGGATAAACCCGAGAATGTATGAATTTATATGAATGTGATGGTTTAATTGATATCAGGAGCCAGGATTGATAGGAAAGAGCTACGTGTGGCTTGATCCCTTAGTAGGGTACGTAGGCAGCCTGGGATAGCGCCTAGGTGCAGCCACGACTTAGACACCACTTAGGTGGTTTTATCGAGTATGATGCGGACTTCGTGGTTGGTCCCAAAACTTGGTTGAATTGAGGCTTGTCCGATGGACTGAATGAGTGAAGGTGTGCATAGATAGATTTTGAATGGGTTATATGCATGTGTGATGCATTAAGTTATTTTAAAAACAGTGTGGGCAGTTCTGCTAGAATCATTTGAAGGCCGGAGGCCATTTATGTAAATTGCATGAGATTATATTGTGCGTGCTGCTGGTTGGGTTATAAAAGGTGTTTTATGCAGGTGGAAATTTTGGGGGAAGTTCAATTTACAGGGGAGGCTCTGCCGAAATTTCGGCAGAAAGTCTCGTGCCCTTAATCCTCTTTGGTAAAAGAGGACATGGTTTTAAGGAGTGAACCCGGCATGGGTGTGATGCCGGGGTCTCCGCAGGGTTCGTCTCGGGTTCTGGGAAATTCGGGGCGGGTCCTGTCAATACGCAATATTATGTCACCGACATGACCAGCCTTTACATGCACCACGTTTTCTGAACCAAGAAAACTATATGCAATCATATATTATCAAAATCAAGTTTGAAAAAATTGAATAAACCTGAAGGTAGCGTCTCTTTACCTTGATTGTAGAACAAGACAATTAATCCTACTCATGCTGCATAGAACCTCAAATTGACCTTGACAACTTGCAGTGGCAAGTAACATAGGCTTGGGTTCCATGAGACTAATTATTTCTGTGTTGCTGTGTTTGTAAGAGAAGTTGGTTTCAATTCATATACAACAAACCTATAAGACAAGGGAAATTAAATACTAAAACATCATTTATATTCATTTGTACACTGAATTAAATAAAGACAAGTAGGTTGGTTTTGATACTAGCACTTACCACCATTGATGCACTCTTACTCTAGCTAGCAGGAGGATGCTTCAGCCAAACTGGGTCTTATATAAAATGGAGAATGGTGCTTGGCTGGTTTTGTGGGGTTTTGTTTAGGGGAAGATTTTGACGCGCCCAATCTCACGTCTGACACTCTGTCTATGACTCACGAATAAGGAGTGCATGAGGTAATTTAAGAGTGATTTTGTCAAAATCATGCGTTTTTTATTTATCGTATTGGCACTTGGGTTTAGTGTGTAGTCCTTCGATGTTTCCTTGCATACATTTACTAATTTTTTTGTTTTAATATGTAACAAATATTTATATGCTAAAGTTTGCAAAAAATTTTATGCTTTAAAATCTATGAATAACAATACAAATCTTATTGTAAATGTTAAAAACAAGTTTATAAAAAAATTAAAATAAGTAGAAAAAGATAAGTTACAAATGAACAACTATTCATCAAAACCATTCACTCTGTTCTTAAGTAAATTATCGTCCCCTGAAAATCCATCATGTGCACTAATGTTGGATTGTCCATGGAATTGATTTAACATATTTCCAGGGATAGAATTTCTGAGTTGGGTGGTAATCAAAACAGGCTAGCAACAAAAAGCAGATATAAAAAAAATCAAAACTATAAGCGTCATGTAATCTACCAAATTATGTGGCTCTTAAAATATTGGAGGAACCTCTACGCAGTTTACTTTTGACTTAAAAAAAAAACACATATGGTCTAGGATTGTCAATCAGTACACAGTTGAGTTAAACGAAAATAACACGTACACTTATATTCAAACAAAACATCTAACAGCATAGGGAAGACAGTTGATTTGATTGAGCTCTCTGGAAGTTTGGGGAGGCAACCCTTGACGACCCTTCATCTGGTGAGCTGTTCAGATTATGATTATCTTCCTCTTTCTCTATCCTCCAAAAAGACAAGTTTGGCACTGGAAGCAATCATGTTTTTGTTATCTTCCTTACAGCTTTTGACTGCTGAGGTGAACGAAAAACTGTCATTTTCTTCAAATTCTGAGCATGTTCGAGCACATATTTTGCAAACTGAATTCCATTAGATCCATTGGAAAGCTCTAGGTTACTTCCTTAAGTTGATGAATAAAATAAATGTTTTGCAATCTGCAATATCCCATATTAAACCCAGAACATTGCAGGAAAGGCAACAATCAACAAGCTAATCAGTTGAACCCCCAAAAAAAAAAAAAAAAAAAAAAAAAAAAAATAAAATGAAGAGAGGGGAAAGAAATAGGCAACACTTTCACTTACATCAGTTTTAGGTTCAAAGAATTCTGGGTCAGACATTATTTCCAAAGTACTCAAATTACACATTCCTTGAAAAGTGGAGACCATTCCTGGGACTAGCATATCACAAAAGCTTCCAACATGAATAGACAAATAACAAACATTCTCTAATAGCAGTGGCATGAAATCTCCACAGAAGACAGCCTACAAGTTATAAACACAAACATAAGGGAACCGAAAGACAGGAATTACGAACATTAATTAAGAAAAGAACTACCTGCAATATATTTGAGAAAATAAGTCGATGAAATAGTCATTACTAACTAAAAGTTGAAACTATCATGGTTTTTGAAGTACTTGATCTGTCAAAGTACTATACAAAGTTTCAGACTGACAATTCTAAAACAAACAAGAAACATCAACATGAAATTTCATTCTAGCCAGTATAACCAAAATTAATGAAAAATATAACCAAATCTTATTGCCATCAGTTTTCTGAAATTAACTTACCCCTATTGCCATGCTGGGAAAGAATATAACCTAAACAAGACAAAATTGAAAAAACAAAAACCATTAAATAAAAAGAACATCTTGAAGAGTAGTATCTAGTTACCATGGTGGTCTCTCTGTTTAGAGCAAGAGTTTCAACCTTGTTTATACTGCTGAGAACCTCAGACAATATTTTAAAGACGTAGAGTTCCCCAAACTTTGGCCAATCCATACATCATCCCCTGACAATTTCAAATACTTAAGATTTGGAGCAAAAATATTGACCAAATTCTTCATAGAGTTATGAAGATCCAAGTGAGATGCTAAGGATAAGGTCAATATACACAGGGGAATGAAGCACAAAACTAAAAGATATCAAAGAGGAGCTTTCAATGGTGATCTGATTTATTCCAAAAATATCTTCAATATGTAACTCCTTGATGCACTTACATGAACATGAGATCCATTTGAAAAACCCCTCATCTTCTATGAAAACATCATCCAACTTCAAGTATCTCAGTCAATTGCAGTGTTTGAAAAATGGGCCTAGGCGGTCGCTAGGCGGGAGATAGGCGGTCGCTAGGCGGGCGCTTGGTGGGAGATAGGCGGCCAGGCGGTCGCTAGACGGGCACTAGGCGGCTAGGCTGTCGCTAGGAGGCTAGGCGGTCACTAGGCGGCTAGGCGGTTGCTAGGCGGCTAGGCGTTGAATTGGCGGCTAGGCCGGAGCTAGGCGGCTGGGCGGGCGGCTAGGCGGGTTGGGTCTTTTTCCGGTGCCGAACAACGAGGACGAAGCAGCGACAGCGAGTGCAAGCTTTTGGAATATCTTTAAAGAGTATAGCCGTCAGGCTATAACATTAAAATATTCGAAGAGAGTATAGCCGCGCGGCTATACGTTTAAAATATTCGAATATATTTGACGAGTATAGCCGCTCGGCCATACCCTTTAAATATACAATTTTGTCATGTTATTTTAGGGTTTAGGGCTAAAATACCAAAAACATGAGAAGAAAGCTCCAATTGCACATCATATCTAATTGAAAAATCAACAAATTACTGTCCAATTTCTTAAATTACCGTGACAAGAAGATGAACTAGGTGTGCACAGTGCTGGAGGATGGTGATGGCTCCTTTTAGAAGGTATGAGGTAATTCTTTGTTAATAAGTTATAAAAATATGGAATGCAAAGTTTTTCACCATATAAAATCAGATTTACCTCAATAGTGTCATATTGATGGATAATGCCAAGTATATTAAGCAGCTGCCTTTTTTGTACTCGAGTATTTGCTTTGTATGCACATCAAACATTGCATCTAAACTAACCTGCAGTTGAAAGTGTTAAATTTCGGTGTAATCTATTATACATACCTTCAAGACAAAAGAGAAAAGATGAAGGGGATAGAAGTTCTGAGAACTTGTGACCAAAACCTTCACGCCACTCATTGCTTCAATGTACTCAGCGAGCCTCATTTTGTTAACCTTCTTAACCTATAACATGAGCATATATACAACAGATTTTAATAATAATAATACAAAACAAGCAAAAGCTCAATATATTTTTGGTTCCTAAGCAGATATCAAGCCTAGTGAGTACCATCATCCATTCTTGTTGAAGGTCAGGATCTGCTGCATATGCTCGCAAGGCAGTTGCAAGCAATGTCCCACGCTTTATTCCAACCCAAATGCTCTTCATCAACAAGCACTCTCATGACCTCATCTATTTTTTAGAGATGGGTGAGTATGAGCTGCAGAGCACCCTAATTAAGACAGCGAAAAATGAGCCGAGGAAAAAAGTAAAAACAGAAAAGCAAACCTGAATGACTAGCTATCAGAGGAAAGTAACAAATATAAGTTCATTGTAGCAAAAACAAGCTGCCAGATTGGGTAATAACATGGTTTATTCCCTAGAAATCAACATATGATAAAACACATATTATTAAGACTCATACCTTCTCTGGTAATTCATCAAAGTTACTGCGAGCCTCTTTAAATCTCCAAATTATGTCTTGTATGGATGCTGAGACAAAGACATATATTGTTGCTTCAACCGCAGTTCCTTCCCTGTCATACAAAATATAGTGAAAAGAGAAACATACTTAATGAGAAACCCGGTAACTGAATTGATGACTTTTTTCCTAACTTCTAAGAGAGTACATTTTCTCAGACACATGCTGATAAAACAAAAGAATAATAATGATGTTTAATGTTTAAGTGGTGGATAGAAACGCAGGGAAACAAGACGTTCAAAAGTAAGAAGGAAAGCTTGGTGTTGGTGAGAGGTAAGACTTTAGGTTCAAAGAATTCTGGGTCAGACTTTATTTCCAAAGTACTCATATTACACATTCCTTGAAAAGTGGAGACCATTCCTGGGACTAGCATATCACGAAAGCTTCCAACATGAATAGACAAATAACAAACATTCTCTAATAGCAGTGGCATGAAATCTCCACAGAAGACAGCCTACAAGTTATAAACACAAACATAAGGGAACCGAAAGACAAGAATTACGAACATTAATTAAGAAATGAACTACCTGCAATATATTTGAGAAAATAAGTCGATGAAATAGTCATTACTAACTAAAAGTTGAAACTATCATGGTTTTTGAAGTACTTGATCTGTCAAAGTACTATACAAAGTTTCAGACTGACAATTCTAAAACAAACAAGAAACATCAACATGAAATTCTAGCCAATATAACCAAAATTAATGAAAAATATAACCAAATCTTATTGCCATCAGTTTTCTGAAATTAACTTACCCCTATTGCCATGCTGGGAAAGAATATAACCTAAACAAGACAAAATTGAAAAAACAAAAACCATTAAATAAAAAGAACATCTTGAAGAGTAGTATCTAGTTACCATGGTGGTCTCTCTGTTTAGAGCAAGAGTTTCAACCTTGTTTATACTGTAGAGAACCTCAGACAATATTTTAAAGCAACGGCGATTAGATTCCAGAAATAAATCGGCTTTTTCTAAAGACGTAGATTTCCCCAAACTTTGGCCAAACCATATATCATCCCCTGACAATTTCAAATACTTAAGATTTTGAGCAAAAATCTTGACCCAGTTATGAATATCCAAGTGAACAAGAACAAGTATGTCTTCAAGTTTTTCAGCTGAGATGCTAAGGATAAGGTCAATATACACAGGGGAATAAAGAACGAAACTAAAAGATTTCCAAGAGGAGCTTTGAATGGTGATCTGATTTATTCCAAAAATATCTTCAAGATGTAACTCCTTGATGCACTTACATGAACATGAGATCCCTTTGAAAAACCCCTCATCTTCGGTGAAAACATCATCCAACTTCAAGTATTTCAGCCAATCGCAGTGTTTGAAAAATCGGCCTAGGCGGGAGGCTGGGCGGCTAGGCGGTCGCTAGGCGGCTAGGAGGTCGCTAGGCGGTCGCTAGGCAGTAGCAAGGCTGGAGCTAGGCGGCTGGGCGGGCGCCTAGGTGGGTTGGGTCTTTTTCCGTTGCCGAACCCGGAGGACGAAGCAGTGTCTGCGATTGCAAGTTTCGTCATCTGCGATTGCAAGCTCGAACATATTTAAAGAGTATAGCCGGTCGGCTATACCTTTAACGAATGTATTTAGAAAGTATAGGCGAACGGCTATACGTTTAAAATATTCGGACATATTTGAAACGTATAGCCGTTCGGCTATATCCTTTAAATATACAATTTTGTCATATTATTTTAGGGTTTAGGGCTAAAATACCAAAAACATGAGAGAAAGCTCCAATTGCACATCATATCTAATTGAAAAATCAAGAAATTACGTCCAACTTCTTAAATCACCGTGACAAGAAGATGAACTAGGTGTGCACAGTGCTGGAGGATGGTGATGACTCCCTTTAGAAGGTATAAGGTAATTCTTTCTGAATAAGTTATAAAAATATGGAATATAAAGTTTTTCACCATATAAAATCAGATTTACCTCGATACAGTCATATTGATGGATAATGCCAAGTATATTAAGGAGCTGCCTTTTTTGTACTCGTGTATTTGCTTTGTATGCACATCAAACATTGCATCTAAACTAACCTGCAGTTGAAAGTGATAAATTTCAGTGTAATCTATTATACATACCTTCAAGACAAAAGAGAAAAGATGAAGGGGATAGGAGTTCTAAGAACTTGTGACCAAACCTTCACGCCACTCATTGCTTCAATGTACTCAGCGAGCCTCATTTTGTTAACCTTCTTAACCTATAACATGAGCATATATACAACAGATTTTAATAATAATAATACAAAAGAAGCCAAAAGCTTAATATATTTTTGGTTCCTAAGCAGATATCAAGCCTAGTGAGTACCATCATCCATTCTTGTTGAAGGTCAGGATCTGCTGCATATGCTCGCAAGGTCGTTGCAAGCCCAATGTTTTCCAACCCAAATGCTCTTCATCAACAAGCACTCTCATGACCTCATCTATTTTTTAGAGATGGGTGAGTATGAGCTGCAGAGCACCCTAATTAAGACAGCGAAAAATGAGCCGAGGAAAAAAGTAAAAACAGAAAAGCAAACCTGAATGACTAGCTATCAGAGGAAAGTAATAAATATAAGTTCATTGTAGCAAAAACAAGCTGCCAGATTGGGTAATAACATGGTTTATTCCCTAGAAATCAACATATGATAAAACACATATTATTAAGACTCATACCTTCTCTGGTAATTCATCAAAGTTACTGCGAGCCTCTTTAAATCTCCAAATTATGTCTTGTATGGATTCTGAGACAAAGACATATATTGTTGCTTCAACCGCAGTTCCTTCCTTGTCATACAAAATATAGTGAAAAGGGAAACATACTTAATGAGAAACCCGGTAACTGAGTTGATGACTTTTTTCCAAACTTCTAAGAGAGTACCTTTTCTCAGACACATGCTGATAAAACAAAAGAATAATAATGATGTTTAATGTTTAAGTGGTGGATAGAAACGTAGGGAAACAAGACGTTCAAAAGTAAGAAGGAAAGCTTGGTGTTGGTGAGAGGTAAGACTTTGGGGGCATAGACATGAAGAAGACGTGCAAAAGTAAACAAGGAAGGAAAAAAAAGGGACAGGACGTTAAGTTTGACATTAGTTGGGTTAGGGTAATTATTATTTTTAATTAAGAGTAAATTGGGTTTTTGTTTGAAGAATGATGTGTCAATTTTTAAAGTCTCATAGATTAAAATTTAATGAGGTGGCGTATGGGGGACAAAAGTCAAGCAGATATGAGAAAATCTAAGCGACAAATAAATAAACTATAATTAACCATAACACCGCAGAAGATAAGGAGAGAATCAATGTTGATTAGGAAACTACACTTGCTAGCGCAAGCTTTAGCAGAGCAAGAACGAAGAAACAAACATCATATTAGTACCGGGCCAGTGCCACCAAGGCTAATGGGCTGGACTGGCAATATTTTTTTACTGCTTATCAATCCAATGGTTCAAACTGTTTTTTTTTTTTTTTTTTTTTTTTTCTTTTAATAACTAACAACCATCTCAATATCTAACGGCCCACATTCAATCAAATAAAGTTCAACAGTAGAAAATTAAATCCAAAGTTTTACTGTCAATCAATTTAATTAGCTCATATCCAAAATTTCACAAACTCCTTCCTGCATATATATCATGATGATGGCTTTAACTTTTCAAGCTCCATCAACGTGCACAAGGGCATCGATCTCATCACCATCTCCATTCCAAGCTGCACAAAGTTAAGTAGCAACTAAGAATCAGTGGACACATGATTGAAAACAGAAATATATAGTGCTTGACTTTAAATTCCACAAGAAGCATAACTTTTGCTCAAACTAGCTTTGATGCATGTCATTGGTGAGGTGAACATGTCGTTTGGGAGAGAGCCAAGAGAGAGGAGAATAAGGCGGGAAACAAGGAGACGAATGGAATTAGATGAATTAAGAGTCTCATGATTTCTTCTTCTATGGAACTGACATGTGCTTCACTGCTTTGGCTTCCCAATCTCAATCTCAAGCTCAAATTTGCAGCTAAATTTTTTCAATTTTAGGTTTTAGACTCTAAGTCAATCGCAGCTTTTGAAAAATTGGCCTAGGCGGGTGGCTAGGCAGCTAGGCGGGCGCTAGGAGGCTAGGTGGGAGCTAGGCAGACGGGCAGGCCTCCTAGGCGGGGTTTGGTCTTTTTTCGGGGCCAAACCCGGAGGACAAAGCTGCCAAAACCGAAAAAATTGAAGGTTGAGTTTATAGAGAGGAGAAATGGATGTGATTGCGATCCATCGTCTGCGATGTGCAAGCTTCGTGTTTGTTTCAAATATATTTAAAGAGTATAGAAATTTGAATATATTAATATTTAAACAGTATAGCCGAATGGCTATACGTTTAAAGTATACGAATCTATTTAGAAAGTACAGCCATCCGGCTATACCTTTAAATATATTTGAAACAAACACGAAGCTTGCATCTCGTAGAGGATGGATCGCAGTCACAGCCATTTGACCTCTCTATCAACTCAAGCTTGAATTTTGTCATATCATTCTAGGGTTTAGGGCTAAAATACCACTTTAGCCCATTGGACTACAACTATTTCTTCAATTATTTTATTTATACAAAATGAGAATTTAAATTCTTTCCATCCCTGCCACTCAAATCTGTAAAATGTTGCTAGTGGGGTGTGGATGAGGGTGAGGGTGAGGGTGAGGGTGAGGGATTGTTCAATTCCCCAAGTTTTCTCCGCGTAGTCTCGGATTGTTCTGTCGTTGCTAAATCTCCTCGACCCGGTTGTGCTAAGGATGCTCATCTGTAGTCATATAGATTCAAATCCCACGCACTGTAGTATGTTATACAACACCAAACTCAAAATGCATATGTATGACTTGGGTTGGGACTGCCAGGTAAACAGAAATCATTAGCCGAGCCTCTAAATAGCTCTCAAAATCATAACCAAGCAAATAGAAGTCTTTACCACCGTCCGCAGTATCACATTGAGATTGAAACCAGTCTTTGCGAGTACAAGTTTCGTCCTATGCGAGTGCAAGCCTCATGTTCATTTTGAATATATTTAAAGAGTATAGCCACTCGGCTATACGCTTTAAATATAAAATTTTTTTCATATAATTTTAGGTTTAAAATACCACTTTCGCCCATTGGGCTTGAGTTATTTCTTCAATTATTTTATTTATACAAGCAATATTGGAGAATGAAATTTTAAATTTTTTCCATCTCTCATTCTAATGATTTCCAGCTATTAGCCCGTTCTGATCATTCATTCATGTTACGCCCATTCTAATAATTCATTCCTGTTATTGGATATTGCTCATAGAATATCTGTACCGATCACCTAAGCTACCTAGAATATCTTATCCTAGACCTTGATCGTATGTTGAACAGAGAAAACAAACCCCTCCATGCATTGGCGTTTGTGCCTACTTGTTTGTCTTCACACATTAGGATAATCTCCATGAAGGGGTTCCAAGGAAAATGTGATGAGATGTATGCGACTTAGTATTTGTTGAAGTTTGGTTTGGTTATGAATAAAATGACTGTTTATACTACGACTGCTGCTGGTACTGTCACTTCTTCTTGCTAGAAAGAGGAGATATACAAGGAAATTTCAATGTTTGAATGTGATTCAGAGAGATGCAATGCAGGTCTCAGTTTCACATAAAAGGAGTTCAAGGATCTCTCCAAGTTATTTTTAAAGCATCATCATTCTTTGAATTTGAAGTTCTTTCTATTCTTTACGAGTTTGAAAGTGTACTCCATTTCTTATAGTACCTTTCAACTGTTGAAATGTAAGCATGACATGTTGAAAATAAGGAAACAGGTGAAGAATCAATAACATCATCCTTGCAGAGATCACAAAGAAAATGATATCTCACATCAATATGTTTGCTTCTTCCGTGCAAAACTGGATTTTTCAAAAGCTTAATAGCAGAAACATTATCATAATAGATTGACGTTGGACCTTGCTGCATTTAGTGTAGTGCTTCAATTAACCTCCTCAGCCAAATGGCTTGGCAAGCACAGGATGCTACTGCAACAAATTCAGCTTCGGTTGTTGATAAAGTTTGGAGAAAAAAGATTCAACAATTTTATGGCCTGAGACCAACGTCCCCAATACAGTTGTAAGTAACCAAGTTTCTCTCCTGAGATTGAGATGTTAATTTTACAGCTAATCCTCAAACAGGGATACACAAAAAACAATGCTTCCAAAGATGAGCTTTCAATGGCCATGTTTTGCATCCCATCACAACTATTAAGATGTAACTGCTTTAGGGATTTGCAGGAACATGATATCCATTTGAAAAACCTCTCATCTTCTACATTAACACGTGCCAAGATCAAGCGTTCGAGATTCGATAAAGAAGCGAGCGGGGTGCTTTAAGAATGTTACACTTAACGTCCACCTTTAGACACCTCACTGATCCACAAAGAAATATGAAAGACGGAAGTGCTAACAGTGGTTTCCCTTTATAGTCACAGATGCTTAGATGAAGCTCTTCAACGTTGCATCTTACAGCATTGTAGATCCACATCATGATTCGGAAAGTCTCATCACAAAAGCAGTCATCAATATCGAAGTTATGGCGAAGCCAGTTAATATGAAAGCTCTCTATCTTATTATCCCCGCGATGAGACAGGAACCTGTCCAAAAGGACTCATCAACTCCAACCGCTTACTACAGGTGGATATGTTCATATCCGAAAGTTCCTTAAGATCAAACTTCAGTTACTGAGTTGAGAGAGAAAATTCTCTGCATCTTTTGGACACACAGCCAACACGAATTGCGTCTGTTAGGTCAAGGAAGCAAAGAATGTGATGGGTAACTTCGTCTAGAAGATGACTAAGTCTGTCTAACATCGTACTCTCAGCCTGAACTCCTTGACCTTGGCAACTTGCAGTGGCAAGTAACTTTGGCTTGTCCATGAGACTAATTATTTCTGTGTTGCTGTGTTTGTAAGAGAAGTTGGCTTCAATTCATATACTACAAACCCACAAGACAAGGGAAATTAAATACTAAAACATCAATTATATTCATTTGTACACTGAATTAAATAAAGACAAGTAGGTTGGTTTTGATACTAGCACTAACCACCATTGATGCACCCTTACTCTAGCTAGCAGGAGGATGCTTCAGCCAAACTGGGCCATACATAAAATGGAGAATGGTGCTTTGCTGGCTTTGTGTGGTTTTGTTTAGGGGAAGATTTTTACACGCCCAATCTCATGTCTAACACTCGTGTATGACTCACAAATAAGGAGTGCATGAGGTAATTTAAGAGTGATTTTGTCAAATTCACGTGTTTTTTATTTATCGTATTGATACTTGGGTTTAGCGTGTAGTCCTTTGATGTTTCCTTCTATTGAAGTTCATATTTTCGGGCACTACCCGTTACACAACTCGAAACCCGCACGAGAATTTAGCTGGATTAAAATTCAGGCCGTTTTTGGGTCAACCAGTCATGAACCGTTTTATAAACGGGTCGGTTACGAGTCAACCTGTCAACCCACTAAAATACCTATGTAACTCATTTAACAAAACATGTCATAACGGGTCAACCCACCAACCTGTTAAAATACCTATGTAACCCACCAACCCGATAAAATACTTGTGTAACCCACCAACCCATTAACCCATTTATGTAATAACACGATCCTAAATTAATAGTTAATTATTCAAATATTCAAATAAAAGACAGTTTTACCTCGAGAATATTTTAGTGGGTTTAAAAGTTGAATTTTTATTCGAGAAAGAATTTGGAGATTTTAGTAGTATCGTTGCGTAGAGCACATTGAGATGAGTCCGTAGATATGCAGTGGGCTCAAACCAGAGTTTTAACGAAGAAGTTACAATCTATGGAAGCCCAGTATTAAAAGTTAGAATCTTCTCTCTGTCCCTCTCCCCGGTGAAGACACACCCACCCCCCCCCCCCCCCCCCCCCACCCAAAAGTTTTTTTTTGCTGAGGCAATTTTTGCCTCGCCTCCACCACCTCCGGCCACCAAACTTCAAAGGACCGGTGCCAAAACGACCACCTCAGCTTCCTCATCCTACCCCACGCCAACTTCCAGTCGGTGGTCGCTAGAAAAAGCGAAAATCCAATCCATTTTGACCCAAACCTTCCATCGTTGTTTCCGACGATTCCGGCTACCAAATTTGTTGATCCAAGTATACTTTCTCATCCTTTCAACGTGACTTAGCTGATGGTTGGGTTGGTTAGGATCTATTTTTACTTTTTGGAACTCGTTTTATCGCTTAAAGTTTCAGCCGATTTTTCAGCTTGAGTTTCGGGCAATTTCCGGCCATTTTTTGGTCATGGTCCAAGAACAAAAGTTGCTCCACTCATTGTCATGATCATGTAGGTATAGGTCTTGATGAACAATTATGAGATTTTCCGGTCATCGAAATTTCTCAAGACACCCACGCGTTGCCAGAGCATGAGCCGGCGCGTGGGCACTATTTGGATATCCTTTTTGGTCCTAAAATGATCCCCATGTTGTCCTGAGCACGATGGTATGCTCGGACTTTATTTTGGTTGTCGTTTGACTGTCGATTAGATATCGCATAATAGGCATTATTCGGGTTCGATATGCTCGGACAGTTGGATCAACTTTATTTTTAAATATGTTGATTTAGGCATCTCTAGGAGCCTGTAGGAATTCTCGGATTGTGAATCGAAGTCCAGGATGCTCCGATTCAATGACGTAAAGTTGCGTTAAACGATAATCGTCCGATCATGCGATCGCAAGCGATCCGACCGTTCGTTTCGGACCAAACTTGAAGGATAGGTATAGTAAACCTTGTTGAACTTGTAGGAACTCTCGGATAGGAAATTGAAGGTCGTGGGCCTCGAGGGCTTGGTTTACCGAGTTTGTGCAGTTTGACCTCTCAGTTGACCGTGAGTCTTCCAAGGTAGTTCTAGCCTTCAGGCACTACTAGAACGACCTCATAAACAAGTCTTGACTGTTATTTCAGTTATTTTGTTTATGTTGGAATTATGAGACTGTTTTATAGTATCTTATGAAATTCTTGGATATTACTTTGATAATTGAAGTTATGGAATAGATGAGCATGGAATACTTGATTGGTGAGTTGTGAAGGTGAGCCGTGGGTTTCGGCTATATTTATTAGGGAATGAGTGGACGTTGGTTTTAAGTGTACTTCACTCTTTTATTATGGAATTTCTTGCGTAAGTGAGTTTTGATTATAAAAAAAAATTGATTTAAATTGGGTTAATAAGGATATGGGATCACTAAGGGTTAATATTTTAAATTATTTATTATTATTATTATTTTGATTATTATTAAAGTATATGACTGAGCGATATTGGATTGTTTAAATGTAGTTGAGAACTGATTTTTGGAAAGTTGATAAAAAATTTGGAAAATGGATTTGTGGAATAAGGAAAAGTTTATGATAAGTTTCAGAATATGGTTTTCAAACCCACCATAGGAGAACCCCCCCAGTTGCCTTTGAAACAATTTTGTCAAATATGACAATACCCCACAAGTTTGGAGGACGCCTGAACCGTGTGGTGCGAGGATATGCATTATCGGACTGATTACATGTCCCCTGAGTTCTGCGAGGATGTGCGTTCTCGGGTTGACTACGTGTTCGAGTTTTGAGATGAATGCAGCTCAGGTTGGTTGAGTGTCCCTTGAGTCTTGACAAGAATGAGACTCAGGTTGACTAAGTGTGCCTTGAGTCTTGCTAGGAATGCAGCTCGAGTTGACTTTGTGTTTCCGAGGCCTGTGGAGGATGTATCTCTTATGTGACACTTGGAATTGACGAAATATTATTGGAATTGATGGAATATTAGTAGAATTGACGGATCATGAATGGGGGTACGTCTAGGTGGAGAGTATTTGAATTTTGAGATGTTTTAAACTAAAATTGATGATTTTATTTTGGTACTTACTAGTGAAGGTTTTAATATATGTTTTCCAACTTATGAGATAAGGATTGAGAGTTTTCTCTGTTTTAAGGATATTATGTAATTCACAATTATTTTCTTAAGTGATGAATTTGTTTTTACATGTGAAAGAGAGAAACATATTTTATTTAAATTGTTGATATTGACATTAAGGTTTCACGTGGTCAATGCTATTTTAATAATTTTCTTGTTTTCCTACTTATAAGTAATAAGTTAATTATATATATGCACATGTGGGATGAGGAGTAGATTGTTCTAACCTCAATAGCCCTTGATTGAGTCTTAGTGGATTGATCTGAATTATTTATGAAGGTTTCTCGCTTTAATTTGATTAAGTAACCTATGTTTACTTACAATTTATATAGAAAGAACTATGTATGGCTTGATCCCTTAGTAAGGGTACATAGGCAACCTAGAGTTACTAGGTGCAGCCATAAGATCAAGTGCTAAAAATTTGTTCAGTTAAGTTATATTAGAACTTGATAATGTATTCTTGTTACTCTAAGAGTTGAGACCAGTTTCCGATGGCAGAATGTTTTATTTGGTATAAAGAGGCCTGAGGCCATTCAAAGTTATTTGTCTGATGCTCGCTAAATGATTGGGATATGGTTTTCAATATTAATTGTATTTTACAGGTGAAAAGTTTTCTGGAAATGTCTCTTTTACAAGGGAGACTGCCGATTTTTTGGTAGAAGTCAAACCTTAAAAGAATTGTTGAGTCTTAGTTAGAAGGGCAATTTGATTAAGTGTGCCTGACATTTGCTAGGTGTCGAACGCACATAGGGTTCGGCTCAGATTCCAAAGTGGAATTTGGGTCGAGTCCTGTCAGTTTATTTGTTTATTCTTCATTTTTCTATTTTTTTTTAATGTCTTTTAGTTGCTACCACTTAACGGGTTAACTCGACATGACCTGAAACCCGAACGAGAACTTAATGGGTCAACCCGTGCACGACACGTTTATTAAACGAGTCGGGTTTGGGTTGAGCATTCCTGACACGTATATAATCTTGACACGACAAGACCCGTTGGCAACCTTAGACACCACCAACCCACCAATCCTATTCAAACCAAAAGTTAGTTGGTTCAATTTTCTTCCTATTAGCTGAAGATTTGAATCTTGCATACATTTACTACTTTTTTTGTATTAATATGTAATAAATATTTATATGCTAAAGTTTGCAAAAAAATTTATGCTTTAAAATTTATGAATAACAATACAAATCTTTATTGTACATGATAAAAACAAGTTTATAAAAAAAATTAAAATAAGTAGAAAAAGATAAGTTACAAATGAACAACTATTCATCAAAACCATTCACTCTGTTCTTAAGTAAATTATTGTCCCATGAAAATCCATCATGTGCACTAATATTGGATTGTCCATGGAATTGATTTAACATATTTCCAAGGGATAGAATTTCTAAGTTGGGTGGCAATCAAAACAGCCAAACAAGCTAGCAACAAAAAGCAGCTACTAAAAAAAATAAAAAACTATAAGGGTCTGTTTGGTATTCAACTTGAATCCAAGTTTTTAAACTTAAAAATAGAATTTGAGTTCAAAACAAAGAAAACCTGTTTGGTAGCCCTATTTTTAAAAACTCAAACTCAAGAACAAAAAAACACCCCCCCCCCCCCCCCCCCCCCCCCCCCCCCTCTTTTTTTTAATGAAGAAAAACACACAATTATTCAAACAAAAATATCTATTTTTTCAGTTTTTTTCTAACAACCCACAAGTTCTCAAATTTTTAAGATTGAAAAACGGTTTTCAAGTTGCATACCAAACAAGTTTTTGAATCTTCAAAATAAATTAAAGAACTCCTTGTTTTTAAGAAAAATCAAAGTTTTTGAGTTCTCTATTTGAATAGGATACCAAACGCCCCTAACCCTCATGTAATCTACCAAATTATGTGGCTCTTAAAATATTGGAGGAACCTCTACGCAGCTTACTTGTGACTTCATAGAAAAAGCACATATGATCTAGGATTGTCAATCAGTACACAGTTGAGTTAAATGAAAATAACAAGTACGCTTAGATTCAAACAAAACACCGAACAGCATAGAGAAGACAGTTGATCTGATTGAGCTCTCTGGAAGTTTGGGGAGACAACCCTTGACGACCCTTCATCTGGTGAGCTGTTCAGATTATGATTATCAACTTCTTTCTCTATCCTCCAAAAAGGCAAGTTTGGCACTGGAAGCAATCTTGCTTTTTGTTATCTTCCTTACAGCTTTCGACTGCTGAGGTGCATGAAAAACTGTCATTTTCTTCAAATTCTGAGAATGCTCGAGCACATATTTTGCAAACTGAATTCCATTAGATCCAATGGAAAGCTCTATGGTCACTTCCTTAAGTTGATGAATAAAATAAATGTTTTGCAATCTCCAATATCCCATATTAAACCCAGAACACTGCAGGAAAGGCAACAATCAACAAGCAAATCAGTTCAAATTTCCGCACCCAAAAAAAACTAATCATGAAAGAGAGGGGGAAAGAAATAGGCAACACTTTCACTTACATCAGTTTTAGGTTCAAAGAATTCTGGGTCAGACTTTATTTCCAAAGTACTCAAATTACACATTCCTTGAAAAGTGGAGACCATTCCTGGGACTAGCATATCACGAAAGCTTCCAACATGAATAGACAAATAACAAACATTCTCTAATAGCAGTGGCATGAAATCTCGAAGACAGCCTACAAGTTATAAACACAAACATAAGGGAACCGAAAGACAAGAATTACGAACATTAATTAAGAAAAGAACTACCTGCAATATATTTGAGAAAATAAGTCGATGAAATAGTCATTACTAACTAAAAGTTGAAACTATCATGGTTTTTGAAGTACTTGATCTGTCAAAGTACTATACAAAGTTTCAGACTGACAATTCTAAAACAAACAAGAAACATCAACATGAAATTTCATTCTAGCCAGTATAACCAAAATTAATGAAAAATATAACCAAATCTTATTGCCATCAGTTTTCTGAAATTAACTTACCCCTATTGCCATGCTGGGAAAGAATATAACCTAAACAAGACAAAATTGAAAAAACAAAAACCATTAAATAAAAGAACATCTTGAAGAGTAGTGTCTAGTTACCATGGTGGTCTCTCTGTTTAGAGCAAGAGTTTCAACCTTGTTTATACTGTAGAGAACCTCAGACAATATTTTAAAGCAACGGCGATTAGATTCCAGAAAAAAATCGGCTTTTTCTAAAGACGTAGATTTCCCCAAACTTTGGCCAATCCATATATCATCCCCTGACAATTTCAAATACTTCAGATTTTGAGCAAAAATCTTGACATAAAGATCCAAGTGAACAAGAACAAGTATGTCTTCAAGTTTTTTCAGCTGAGATGCTAAGGATAAGGTCAATTACACAGGGGAATCAAGCACAAAACTAAAAGATTTCCAAGAGGAGCTTTCAATGGTGATCTGATTTATTCCAAAAATATCTTCAAGATGTAACTCCTTTATGCACTTACATGAACATGAGATCCCTTTAAAAAACCCCTCATCTTCTATGAAAACATCATCCAACTTCAGGTATTTCAGCCAATCGCAGTGTTTGAAAAATCGGCCTAGGCGGGCGGCTAGGCGGCTAGGCGGCTAGGTGGTCGCTAGGCTGGCGATAGGCGAGCGCTAGGCGGCTAGGCAGGCGCTAGGTGGCTGGGCAGTCCCTAGGCGGGCACTAGGCGGCTAGGTGGTTGCTAGGCGGCCGCTAGGTGGCTAGGCGGTCGCTAGGCGGTCGCTAGGCAGTAGCAAGGCCGGAGCTAGGCGGCTGGGCGGGCGCCTAGGTGGGTTGGGTCTTTTTCCGGTGCCGAACCCGGAGGACGAAGCAGTGACTGCGATTGCAAGTTCCTTCCTCTGCGATTGCAAGCTCAAACATATTTAAAGAGTATAGCCGGTCGGCTATACCTTTAACGAATGTATTTAGAAAGTATAGGCGAACGGCTATACGTTTAAAATATTCGGACATATTTGAAACGTATAGCCGTTCGGCTATACCCTTTAAATATACAATTTTGTCATATTCTTTTAGGGTTTAGGGCTAAAATACCAAAAACATGAGAGGAAAGCTCAAATTGGACATCATATCTAATTGAAAAATCAACAAATTACTGTCCAACTTCTTAAATCACCGTGACAAGAAGATGAACTAGGTGTGCACAGTGCTGGAGGATGGTGATGACTCCCTTTAGAAGGTATAAGGTAATTCTTTCTTAATAAGTTATAAAAATATGGAATGCAAAGTTTTTCACCATATAAGACCAAATTTACCTCGATACAGTCATATCGATGGATAATGCCAAGTATATTAAGCAGCTGCCTTTTTTGTACTTGCGTATTCGCTTTGTCTGCACATCAAACATTGCATCTAAACTAACCTGCAGTTGAAAGTGTTAAATTTCAGTGTAATCTATCAGACATACCTTCAAGATACAAAAGAGAAAAGATGAACAGGATAGAAGTTCTAAGAACTTGTGACCAAACCTTCACACCACTCATTGCTTCAATGTACTCAGTGAGCCTCATTTTGTTAACCTTCTTAACCTACAACATAAGAATATATACAACAGATTTTAATAATAATAATAAAAATACAAAAGAAGCCAAAAGCTTAATATACAACATGAGCATATTACTTCTGTTCCAGAGTCGACGGGGAAAATATTAGCCTTTATGTGCAAAGTTCTCAAATTACGCAGTCCTTTCAAATACGAAACCACTGCTGGGATGATCTAATCAAGCAAGCCCTCTATTTCCATACGCAAATAATGAACATCGATGTCGAATGTTGTTGGCATGGGACCTTTCTTCAACAGAGCCTGCAATGTCATAAAGACAAAATCCAAATAGAAGAATCAATAGAACATAAAAATCCTGCAAGAACAATAATAAAATTCATACGCAATTTTCTGACATGCATCCACATTTTCTGAACCAAGAAAACTATATGCAATCATATATTATCAAAATCAAGTTTGAAAATATTGAATAAACCTGAAGGTAGCGTCTCTTTACCTTGGTTGTCTCTGTATGTAGAAAATACATACATTCTCTAATAGCATATCACGAACGCTTCCAACATGAATAGACAAATAACAAACATTCTCTAATAGCAGTGGTATGAAATCTCCATAGAAGACAGCCTACAGGTTATAAACACAAACATAAGGGAACCGAAAGACAAGAATTACGAACATTAATTAAGAAAAGAACCACCTGCTATATATTTGAGAAAATAAGTCGATAAAATAGTCATTACTAATTAAAAGTTGAAACTATCATGGTTTTTTGGGGAAAAAAAAAAAAAAAAAAAAAAAAAAAAAAAAAAAAAAAAAAAAAAAAAAAAAAAAAAAAAAAAAAAAAAAAAAAAAAAAAAAAAAAAAAAAAAAAAAAAAAAAAAAAAAAAAAAAAAAAAAAAAAAAAAAAAAAAAAAAAAAAAAAAAAAAAAAAAAAAAAAAAAAAAAAAAAAAAAAAAAAAAAAAAAAAAAAAAAAAAAAAAAAAAAAAAAAAAAAAAAAAAAAAAAAAAAAAAAAAAAAAAAAAAAAAAAAAAAAAAAAAAAAAAAAAAAAAAAAAAAAAAAAAAAAAAAAAAAAAAAAAAAAAAAAAAAAAAAAAAAAAAAAAAAAAAAAAAAAAAAAAAAAAAAAAAAAAAAAAAAAAAAAAAAAAAAAAAAAAAAAAAAAACTTTTGAAAAATTGGCCTAGGCGGTGATGCAGGAGCATAGGAGTGGATCAAGATAGATATTTATCATTTAATTAGTTATTTCATGATATATGTTATTTCTTATTTAGGTAGTTTTAGGATATCTTTTATTATTTATATGTGATTTTATAATTAATTAGTTTACTTTTGGACCAAGCAGTCTTGGTGCCCAAGTCTTGTAAAGCCTATAAATAAGGCTATTGTAATAGTTGTAGAGGAGGGAATATTGATGATTAATGAAATAGTTTATTTGTGGCATGGATTTGCTACGATATATGTGAGTTTGCACTAGCCCTAGATTTCGGTGCTCGTGTATGTGGTTGGTGACTTGTGTTCTAATCCCGATCCCCATCAATTGGTATCAGAGCTATGGCTCAAGATCTGCTTTATCGGGGAGGTTTTTGGATGGAGGGTCGTATTGACAACTACAACAACATGAAGGAAATTAGGAGGATGCTACAGCAACTTACGGAACGCGCCGCTCGCATCGAAGCTCGAACCCAGATAGGTAAGAGTTCTGACGGGGAGAGATGCGTGAACCCTTATCTGAACCGAGTAGCTCGCATCGACACTCTAAGCCGTGGGAGTCTCGACGGGGAGTACGAGGGGGATATCCCTTTTCATTATTGCGCTTCGCTGTGTGAGTCGAGTGAAGAGGGGCACGGTTATTCTCATTGTGTCTTTGAAGGTATAAATAGATTTGGTAATTTTGGTGCATCTTGTTATTCATCAAAGTTATTAAATTTGGATTTGCCTCCAATATTTGATCCTTGCAACTGTGAAAATTGCAATGAAAATTGTTTGGGTGTTCAAAGCAATTTTGATAAGCAATTTATTGATCAGAACAGTGAAGAGATGAGAATTGAGAAAACTTTCAAAGATATTATTGATTTTTTGGGCATTAATGTTTTCACTTGGAAGGTTGCCAAAACTTTGGTTGATTTTGTCAATTGGTTGAAGATTCTAGAGAGAAACATTTGCATTGTTAGAGGGAGTAAGAAGAAGCCAAGAATAACGAAATATTCCAAATATCTTTTTATTTGGAAAGGAAGGTTTCAATTGGATGCTAAAAGATCCAGAATTAATATGAAGCAATTGAAGATTCTACTCGGATTTTCCTCAATCAAAGGCTTGAATTCGAGGACGAATTCTTTCCAACCAGGGGAGTCTGATGCAGGAGCATAGGAGTGGATCAAGATAGATATTTATCATTTAATTAGTTATTTCATGATATATTGTTATTTTCTTATTTAGGTAGTTTTAGGATATCTTTTATTATTTATGTGTGATTTTATAATTAATTAGTTTACTTTTGGACCAAGCAGTCTTGGTGCCCAAGTCTTGTAAAGCCTATAAATAAGGCTATTGTAATAGTTGTAGAGGAGGGAATATTGATGATTAATGAAATAGTTTATTTGTGGCATGGATTTGCTACGATATATGTGAGTTTGCACTAGCCCTAGATTTCGGTGCTCGTGTATGTGGTTGGTGACCTGTGTCTTGATCCCGATCCCCATCAGGCGGGTGGCTAGGCAGCTAGGCGGGCGCTAGGAGGCTAGGTGGGAGCTAGGCAGACGGGCAGGCCTCCTAGGCGGGGTTTGGTCTTTTTTCGGGGCCAAACCCGGAGGACAAAGCAGCCAAAACCGAAAAAATTGAAGGTTGAGTTTATAGAGAGGAGAAATGGATGTGATTGCGATCCATCGTCTGCGATGTGCAAGCTTCGTGTTTGTTTCAAATATATTTAAAGAGTATAGAATATTTGAATATATTAATATTTAAACAGTATAGCCGAATGGCTATACGTTTAAAGTATACGAATCTATTTAGAAAGTACAGCCGTCCGGCTATACCTTTAAATATATTTGAAACAAACACGAAGCTTGCATCTCGTAGAGGATCGCAGTCACAGCCATTTGACCTCTCTATCAACTCAAGCTTGAATTTTGTCATATCATTCTAGGGTTTAGGGCTAAAATACCACTTTAGCCCATTGGGCTACAGCTATTTCTTCAATTATTTTATTTATACAAAATGAGAATTTAAATTCTTTCCATCCCTGCCACTCAAATCTGTAAAATGTTGCTAGTGGGGTGTGGATGAGGGTGAGGGTGAGGGTGACCTAGCCATCAGAAGGGAATATGCAAGGTTCAATTCCCCAAGTCTTCTCCGCGTAGTCTCGGATTGTTCTGTCGTTGCTAAATCTCCTCAACCCGGTTGTGCTAAGGATGCTCATCTGAGTCCACTTATTTGGATCCACAAATGCTTTATCAGCAGCAGCCTGTAGTCATATAGATTCAAATCCCACGCACTGTAGTATGTTATACAACACCAAACTCAAAATGCATATGTATGACTTGGGTTGGGACTGCCAGGTAAACAGAAATCATTAGCCGAGCCTCTAAATAGCTCTCAAAATCATAACCAAGCAAATAGAAGTCTTTACCACCGTCCACAGTATCACATTGAGATTGAAACCAGTCTTTGCGAGTACAAGTTTCGTCCTATGCGAGTGCAAGCCTCGTGTTCATTTTGAATATATTTAAAGAGTATAACCACTCGGCTATACGCTTTAAGTATACAATTTTTTTTCATATAATTTTAGGTTTAAAATACCACCTTCGCCCATTGGGCTTGAGTTATTTCTTCAATTATTTTTATTTATACAAGCGATATTGGAGAATGACATTTTAAATTTTTTCCATATCTCTCATTCTAATGATTTCCAGCTATTAGCCCGTTCTAATCATTCATTCCTGTTACGCCCATTCTAATCATTCGTTCCTGTTACTGGATATTGCTCATAGAATATCTGTACCGATCACCTAAGCTACCTAGAATATCTTATCCTATACCTTGATCGTATGTTGAACAGAGAAAACAAACCCTTCCATGCACCGGCGTTTGTGCCTACTTGTTTGTCTTCACACATTAGGATAATCTCCATGAAGGGGTTCCAAGGAAAATGTGATGAGATGTATGCGACTTAGTATTTGTTGAAGTTCGGTTTGGTTATGAATAAAATGACTGTTTATACTGCGACTGCTGCTGGTACTGTCACTTCTTCTTGCTAGAAAGAGGAGATATACAAGGAAATTTCAATGTTTGAATGTGATTCAGAGAGATGCAATGCAGGTCTCAGTTTCACATAAAAGGAGTTCAAGGATCTCTCCAAGTTATTTTTAAAGCATCATCAATCTTTGAATTTGAAGTTCTTTCTATTCTTTATGAGTTTGAAAGTGTACTCCATTTCTTATAGTACCTATCAACTGCTGAAATGTAAGCATGACATGTTGAAAATAAGGAAACAGGTGAAGAATCAATAACATCATCCTTGCAGAGATCAAGAAGAAAATGATATCTCACATCAATATGTTTGCTTCTTTCGTGCAAAACTGGATTTTTCGAAAGCTTAATAGCAGAAACATTATCATAATTGATTGACGTTGGACCTTGCTGCATGTAGTGTAGTGCTTCAATTAACCTTCTCAGCCAAATGGCTTGGCAAGCACAGGATGCTACTGCAACAAATTCAGCTTCGGTTGTTGATAAAGTTTGGAGAAAAAAGATTCAACAATTTTATGGCCTGAGACCAACGTCCCCAATACAGTTGTAAGTAACCAAGTTTCTCTCCTGAGATTGAGATGTTAATTTTGCAGCTAATCCTCAAACAGGGATACACAAAAAACAATGCTTCCAAAGACGAGCTTTCAATGGCCATGTTTTGCATCCCATCACAACTATTAAGATGTAACTGCTTTAGGGATTTGCAGGAACATGATATCCATTTGAAAAACCTCTCATCTTCTACATTAAGTTACTTGGTTCAATTTTCTTCCTATTTGCTGAAGATTTGAATCTTGCATACATTTACTACTTTTTTTGTATTAATATGTAATAAATATTTATATGCTAAAGTTTGCAAAAAAATTTATGCTTTAAAATCTATGAATAACAATACAAATCTTTATTGTAAATGATAAAAACAAGTTTATAAAAAAAATTAAAATAAGTAGAAAAAGATAAGTTACAAATGAACAACTATTCATCAAAACCATTCACTCTGTTCTTAAGTAAATTATTGTCCCCTGAAAATCCATCATGTGCACTAATATTGGATTGTCCATGGAATTGATTTAACATATTTCCAGGGATAGAATTTCTAAGTTGGGTGGGCAATCAAAACAGCCAAACAAGCTAGCAACAAAAGCAGCTACTAAAAAAAATCAAAAATTATAAGGGTCTCTGTTTGGTATTCAACTTGAATCCAAGTTTTTAAACTTAAAAATAGAATTTGAGTTCAAAACAAAGAAAACCTGTTTGGTAGCCCTATTTTTAAAAAACTCAAAACACAAAAACAACAAACCACCAACCACCCCCACACCTTTTATGAAGAAAACACACAATTATTCAAAACAAAAAATATCTATTTTTCAGTTTTTTTTCTAACAACCCACAAGTTCTCAAATTTTTAAGATTGAAAAACGGTTTTTGAATCTTCAAAATAAATTAAAGAACTCCTTGTTTTTAAGAAAAATCAAAGTTTTTGAGTTCTTTATTTGAATAGGATACCAAACGCCCCTAACCCTCATGTAATCTACCAAATTATGTGGCTCTAAAATATTGGAGGAACCTCTACGCAGCTTACTTGTGACTTCAAAGAAAAAGCACATATGATCTAGGATTGTCAATCAGTACACAGTTGAGTTAAATGAAAATAACAAGTACGCTTAGATTCAAACAAAACACCGAACAACATAGAGAAGACAGTTGATCTGATTGAGCTCTCTGGAAGTTTGGGGAGACAACCCTTGACGACCCTTCATCTGGTGAGCTGTTCAGATTATGATTATCAACCTCTTTCTCTATCCTCCAAAAAGTCAAGTTTGGCACTGGAAGCAATCTTGCTTTTTGTTATCTTCCTTACAGCTTTCGACTGCTGAGGTGCAAGAAAAACTGTCATTTTCTTCAAATTCTGAGAATGCTCGAGCACATATTTTGCAAACTGAATTCCATTAGATCCAATGGAAAGCTCTATGGTCACTTCCATAAGTTGATGAATAAAATAAATGTTTTGCAATCTCCAATATCCCATATTAAACCCAGAACACTGCAGGAAAGGCAACAATCAACAAGCAAATCAGTTGAAATTTCCGCACCCAAAAAGAAAAATAATCATGAAAGAGAGGGGGAAAGAAATAGGCAACACTTTCACTTACATCAGTTTTAGGTTCAAAGAATTCTGGGTCAGACATTATTTCCAAAGTACTCAAATTACACATTCCTTGAAAAGTGGAGACCATTCCTGGGACTAGCATATCACGAAAGCTTCCAACATTAATAGACAAATAACAAACATTCTCTAACAGCAGTGGCATGAAATCTCCATAGAAGACAGCCTACAAGCTATAAACACAAACATAAGGGAACCGAAAGACAAGAATTACGAACCCTAATTAAGAAAAGAACTACCTGCAATATATTTGAGAAAATAAATCGATGAAATAGTCATTACTAACTAAAAGTTGAAACTATCATGGTTTTTGAAGTACTTGATCTGTCAAAGTACTATACAAAGTTTCAGACCGACAATTCTAAAACAAACAAGAAACATCAACATGAAATTTCATTCTAGCCAGTATAACCAAAATTAATGAAAAATATAACCAAATCTTATTGCCATCAGTTTTCTGAAATTAACTTACCCCTATTGCCATGCTGGGAAAGAATATAACCTAAACAAGACAAAATTGAAAAAACAAAAACCATTAAATAAAAAGAACATCTTGAAGAGTAGTGTCTAGTTACCATGGTGGTCTCTCTGTTTAGAGCAAGAGTTTCAACCTTGTTTATACTGTAGAGAACCTCAGACAATATTTTAAAGCAACGGCGATTAGATTCCAGAAAAAAATCGGCTTTTTCTAAAGACGTAGATTTCCCCAAACTTTGGCCAATCCATATATCATCCCCTGACAATTTCAAATACTTAAGATTTGAGCAAAAATCTTGACACAAAGATCCAAGTGAACAAGAACAAGTATGTCTTCAAGTTTTTCAGCTGAGATGCTAAGGATAAGGTCAATTTACACAGGGGAATCAAGCACAAAACTAAAAGATTTCAAGAGGAGCTTTCAATGGTGATCTGATTTATTCCAAAAATATCTTCAAGATGTAACTCCTTGATGCACTTACATGAACATGAGATCCCTTTGAAAAACCCCTCATCTTCGGTAAAAACATCATCCAACTTCAAGTATTTCGGCCAATCGCAGTGTTTGAAAAATCAGCCTAGGCGGGCGGCTAGGCGGCTAGGCGGTCGCTAGGCTGGCGATAGGCGAGCACTAGGTGGCTAGGCAGGCGCTAGGCGGCTAGGCGGTCCCTAGGCGGGCACTAGGCGGCTAGGTGGTTGCTAGGCGGCTAGGCGGGCGCTAGGCGGCTAGGAGGTCGCTAGGCAGTAGCAAGGCCGGAGCTAGGCTGCTGGGCGGGCGCCTAGGTGGGTTGGGTCTTTTTCCGATGCCGAACCCGGAGGACGAAGCAGTGACTACGATTGCAAGTTCCGTCCTCTGCGATTGACATATTTAAAGAGTATAGCCGAGAACATATTTAAAGAGTATAGCCGGTCGGCTATACCTTAAACGAATGTATTTAGAAAGTATAGGCGAACGGCTATACGTTTAAAATATTCGGACATATTTGAAACGTATAGCCGTTGGGCTATACCCTTTAAATATACAATTTTGTCATATTATTTGAAGTTTTAGGGCTAAAATACCAAAAACATGAGAAGAAAGCTCCAATTGCACATCATATCTAATTGGAAAATCAACAAATTACTGTCCAACTTCTTAAATCACCGTGACAAGAAGATGAACTAGGTGTGCACAGTGCTGGAGGATGGTGATGACTCCCTTTAGAAGGTATAAGGTAATTCTTTCTTAATAAGTTATAAAAATATGGAATGCAAAGTTTTTCACCATATAAGATCAAATTTACCTCGATACAGTCATATCGATGGATAATGCCAAGTATATTAAGCAGCTGCCTTTTTTGTACTCGCGTATTCGCTTTGTCTGCACATCAAACATTGCATCTAAACTAACCTGCAGTTGAAAGTGTTAAATTTCAGTGTAATCTATCAGACATACCTTCAAGACACAAAAGAGAAAAGATGAACAGGATAGAAGTTCTAAGAACTTGTGACCAAACCTTCACACCACTCATTGCTTCAATGTACTCAGCGAGCCTCATTTTGTTAACCTTCTTAACCTACAACATAAGCATATATACAACAGATTTTAATAATAATAATAATAAAAATACAAAAGAAGCCAAAAGCTTAATATACAACATGAGCATATTACTTCTGTTTCAGAGTCGACGGGGAAAATATTAGCCTTTATGTGCAAAGTTCTCAAATTACGCAGTCCTTTCAAATACGAAACCACTGCTGGGACAATCTTACCAAGCAAGCCCTCTATTTCCATACGCAAATAACGAACATCGATATCGAATGGTGTTGGCATGGGACCTTTCTTCAACAGAGCCTGCAATGTCATAAAGACAAAATCCAAATAGAAGAATCAATAGAACATAAAAATCCTGCAAGAACAATAATAAAATTCATACGCAATTTTCTGACATGCATCCACATTTTCTGAACCAAGAAAACTATATGCAATCATATATTATCAAAATCAAGTTTGAAAATATTGAATAAACCTGAAGGTAGCGTCTCTTTACCTTGGTTGTCTCTGTATGTAGAAAACACATACATTCTCTAATAGCTTGTGACTTCATAGAAAAAGCACATATGATCTAGGATTGTCAATCAGTACACAGTTGAGTTAAATGAAAATAACAAGTACGCTTAGATTCAAACAAAACACCGAACAGCATAGAGAAGACAGTTGATCTGATTGAGCTCTCTGGAAGTTTGGGGAGACAACCCTTGACGACCCTTCATCTGGTGAGCTGTTCAGATTATGATTATCAACTTCTTTCTCTATCCTCCAAAAAGGCAAGTTTGGCACTGGAAGCAATCTTGCTTTTTGTTATCTTCCTTACAGCTTTCGACTGCTGAGGTGCATGAAAAACTGTCATTTTCTTCAAATTCTGAGAATGCTCGAGCACATATTTTGCAAACTGAATTCCATTAGATCCAATGGAAAGCTCTATGGTCACTTCCTTAAGTTGATGAATAAAATAAATGTTTTGCAATCTCCAATATCCCATATTAAACCCAGAACACTGCAGGAAAGGCAACAATCAACAAGCAAATCAGTTCAAATTTCCGCACCCAAAAAAAACTAATCATGAAAGAGAGGGGGAAAGAAATAGGCAACACTTTCACTTACATCAGTTTTAGGTTCAAAGAATTCTGGGTCAGACTTTATTTCCAAAGTACTCAAATTACACATTCCTTGAAAAGTGGAGACCATTCCTGGGACTAGCATATCACGAAAGCTTCCAACATGAATAGACAAATAACAAACATTCTCTAATAGCAGTGGCATGAAATCTCCATAGACAGCCTACAAGTTATAAACACAAACATAAGGGAACCGAAAGACAAGAATTACGAACATTAATTAAGAAAAGAACTACCTGCAATATATTTGAGAAAATAAGTCGATGAAATAGTCATTACTAACTAAAAGTTGAAACTATCATGGTTTTTGAAGTACTTGATCTGTCAAAGTACTATTACAAAGTTTCAGACTGACAATTCTAAAACAAACAAGAAACATCAACATGAAATTTCATTCTAGCCAGTATAACCAAAATTAATGAAAAATATAACCAAATCTTATTGCCATCAGTTTTCTGAAATTAACTTACCCCTATTGCCATGCTGGGAAAGAATATAACCTAAACAAGACAAAATTGAAAAAACAAAAACCATTAAATAAAAAGAACATCTTGAAGAGTAGTGTCTAGTTACCATGGTGGTCTCTCTGTTTAGAGCAAGAGTTTCAACCTTGTTTATACTGTAGAGAACCTCAGACAATATTTTAAAGCAACGGCGATTAGATTCCAGAAATAAATCGGCTTTTTCTAAAGACGTAGATTTCCCCAAACTTTGGCCAATCCATATATCATCCCCTGACAATTTCAAATACTTCAGATTTTGAGCAAAAATCTTGACATAGTTATGAAGATCCAAGTGAACAAGAACAAGTATGTCTTCAAGTTTTTCAGCTGAGATGCTAAGGATAAGGTCAATTTACACAGGGGAATCAAGCACAAAACTAAAAGATTTCCAAGAGGAGCTTTGAATGGTGATCTGATTTATTCCAAAAATATCTTCAAGATGTAACTCCTTTATGCACTTACATGAACATGAGATCCCTTTAAAAAACCCCTCATCTTCTATGAAAACATCATCCAACTTCAGGTATTTCAGCCAATCGCAGTGTTTGAAAAATCGGCCTAGGCGGGCGGCTAGGCGGCTAGGCGGCTAGGTGGTCGCTAGGCTGGCGATAGGCGAGCGCTAGGCGGCTAGGCAGGCGCTAGGTGGCTGGGCAGTCCCTAGGCGGGCACTAGGCGGCTAGGTGGTTGCTAGGCGGCCGCTAGGTGGCTAGGCGGTCGCTAGGCGGTCGGCGAAAAAAAAAAAAAAAAAAAAAAAAAAAAAAAAAAAAAAAAAAAAAAAAAAAAAAAAAAAAAAAAAAAAAAAAAAAAAAAAAAAAAAAAAAAAAAAAAAAAAAAAAAAAAAAAAAAAAAAAAAAAAAAAAAAAAAAAAAAAAAAAAAAAAAAAAAAAAAAAAAAAAAAAAAAAAAAAAAAAAAAAAAAAAAAAAAAAAAAAAAAAAAAAAAAAAAAAAAAAAAAAAAAAAAAAAAAAAAAAAAAAAAAAAAAAAAAAAAAAAAAAAAAAAAAAAAAAAAAAAAAAAAAAAAAAAAAAAAAAAAAAAAAAAAAAAAAAAAAAAAAAAAAAAAAAAAAAAAAAAAAAAAAAAAAAAAAAAAAAAAAAAAAAAAAAAAAAAAAAAAAAAAAACCCTGACAATTTCAAATACTTAAGATTTTGAGCAAAAATATTGACCCAATTCTTGATACAGTTATGAAGATCCAAGTGAACGAGTATGTCTTCAAGTTTTTCAGCTGAGATGCTAAGGGTAAAGTCAATATACACAGGGGAATGAAGAACAAAACTAAAAGATTTCAAAGAGGAGCTTTCAATGGTGATCTGATTTATTCCAAAAATATCTTCAAGATGTAACTCCTTGATGCACTTACATGAACATCAGATCCATTTGAAAGACCCCTCATCTTCTATGAAAACATCATCCAACTTCAAGTATCTCAGTCAATTGCAGTGTTAGAAAAATCGGCCTAGGCGGGCGCTAGGCGGCTAGGCGGTCGCTAGGCGGGAGATAGGCGGCTAGGCGGCCAGGCAGTCGCTGGGCGGCTAGGCAGTAGCTAGGCCGGAGCTAGGTGGCTGGGTGGGCGCCTAGGCGGGTTAGGTCTTTTTCCGGTGCCGAACCCGGAGGACGAAGCAGCGACTGCAAGTGCAAGATTCTAGAATATATTTAAAGAGTATAGCCGTTCGGCTATAACTTTAAAATATTCGAATGTATTTAGAAAGTATAGCCGGACGGCTATACGTTTAAAATATTCGATTATATTTGAAGACTATAGCCGGTCGGCCATACCCTTTAAATATACAATTTTGTCATGTTATTTTAGGGTTTAGGGCTAAAATACCAAAAACATGAGAAGAAAGCTCCAATTGCACATTATATCTCATTGAAAAATCAACAAATTACTGTCCAACTTTTTAAATTACCGTGACAAGAAGATGAACTAGGTATGCACACTGCTGGAGGATGGTGATGGCTCCCTTTAGAAGGTATAAGGTAGTTCTTTGTTAATAAGTTATAAAAATATGGAATGCAAAGTTTTTCACCATATAAAATCAGATTTACCTCGATACAGTCATATTGATGGATAATGCCAAGTATATTAAGCAGCTGCCTTTTTTGTACTCGTGTATTTGCTTTGTATGCACATCAAACATTGCATCTAAACTAACCTGCAGTTGAAAGTGATAAATTTCAGTGTAATCTATTATACATACCTTCAAGACAAAAGAGAAAAGATGAAGGGGATAGAAATTCTAAGAACTTGTGACCAAACCATCACGCCACTCATTGCTTCAATGTACTCAGCGAGCCTCATTTTGTTAACCTTCTTAACCTATAACATGAGCAACAGATTTTAAATAATACAAAAGAAGCCAAAGCTTAATATATAGTGAGTACCATCATCCATTCTTGTTGAAGGTCAGGATCTGCTGCATATGCTCGCAAGGCAGTTGCAAGCAATGTCCCACGCTTTATTCCAACCCAAATGCTCTTCATCAACAAGCACTCTCATGAACTCATCTATTTTTTTAGAGATGGGTGAGTATGAGCTGCAGAGCACCCTAATTAAGACAGCGAAAAATGAGCCGAGGAAAAAAGTAAAAACAGAAAAGCAAACCTGAATGACTAGCTATCAGAGGAAAGTAATAAATATAAGTTCATTGTAGCTAAAACAAGCTGCCAGATTGGGTAATAACATGGTTTATTCCCTAGAAATCAACATATGTTAAAACACATATTATTAAGACTCATACCTTCTCTGGTAATTCATCAAGTTACTGCGAGCCTCTTTAAATCTCCAAATTATGTCTTGTATGGATGCTGAGACAAAGACATATATTGTTGCTTCAACCGCAGTTCCTTCCTTGTCATACAAAATATAGTGAAAAGGGAAACATACTTAATGAGAAACCCGGTAACTGAATTGATGACTTTTTTCCAAACTTCTAAGAGAGTAAATTTTCTCAGACACATGCTGATAAAACAAAAGAATAATAATGATGTTTAATGTTTAAGTGGTGGATAGAAACGTAGGGAAACAAGACGTTCAAAAGTAAGAAGGAAAGCTTGGTGTTGGTGAGAGGTAAGACTGTAGGGTTCAAAGAATTCTGGGTCAGACTTTATTTCCGAAGTACTCAAATTAAACATTCCTTGAAAAGTGGAGACCATTCCTGGGACTAGCATATCACGAAAGCTTCCAACATGAATAGACAAATAACAAACATTCTCTAATAGCAGTGGCATGAAATTGAAGACAGCCTACAAGTTATAAACACAAACATAAGGGAACCGAAAGACAAGAATTACGAACATTAATTAAGAAAAGAACTACCTGCAATATATTTGAGAAAATAAGTCGATGAAATAGTCATTACTAACTAAAAGTTGAAACTATCATGGTTTTTGAAGTACTTGATCTGTCAAAGTACTATACAAAGTTTCAGACTGACAATTCTAAAACAAACAAGAAACATCAACATGAAATTTCATTCTAGCCAGTATAACCAAAATTAATGAAAAATATAACCAAATCTTATTGCCATCAGTTTTCTGAAATTAACTTACCCCTATTGCCATGCTGGGAAAGAATATAACCTAAACAAGACAAAATTGAAAAAACAAAAACCATTAAATAAAAAGAACATCTTGAAGAGTAGTGTCTAGTTACCATGGTGGTCTCTCTGTTTAGAGCAAGAGTTTCAACCTTGTTTATACTGTAGAGAACCTCAGACAATATTTTAAAGCAACAGCGATTAGATTCCAGAAAAAACTCGGCTTTTTCTAAAGACGTAGATTTCCCCAAACTTTGGCCAATCCATACATCATCCCCTGACAATTTCAAATACTTATAATATTTTGAGCAAAAATCTTGACACAAAGATCCAAGTGAACAAGAACAAGTATGTCTTCAAGTTTTTCAGCTGAGATGCTAAGGATAAGGTCAATATACACAGGGGAATCAAGCACAAAACTAAAAGATTTCCAAGAGGAGCTTTCAATGGTGATCTGATTTATTCCAAAAATATCTTCAAGATGTAACTCCTTGATGCACTTACATGAACATGAGATCCCTTTGAAAAACCCCTCATCTTCTGTGAAAACATCATCCAACTTCAAGTATTTCAGCCAATCGCAGTGTTTGAAAAATCGGCCTAGGCGGGCGGCTAGGCGGCTAGGCGGTCGCTAGGTTGGAGATAGGCGAGCGCTAGGCGGCTAGGCAGGCGCTAGGTGGCTAGGCGGTCCCTAGGAGGGCACTAGGCTGCTAGGCGGTTGCTAGGCGGGCGCTAGGCGGCTAGTCGGTTGCTAGGCCGGAGCTAGGCGGCTGGGCGGGCGCCTAGGTGGGTTGGGTCTTTTTCCGGTGCCGAACCCGGAGGACGAAGCAGTGACTGCGATTGCAAGTTTCGTCATATTTAAACAGTATAGCCGTGCAGCTATACCTTTAACGAATGTATTTAGAAAGTATAGGCGAACGGCTATACGTTTAAAATATTCCGACATATTTGAAACGTATAGCCGTTCGGCTATACCCTTTAAATATAAAATTTTGTCATATTCTTTTAGGGTTTAGGGCTAAAATACCAAAAACATGAGAAGAAAGCTCCAATTGCACATCATATCTAATTGAAAAATCAACAAATTACGTCCAACTTCTTAAATCACCGTGACAAGAAGATGAACTAGGTGTGCACAGTGCTGGAGGATGGTGATGACTCCCTTTAGAAGGTATAAGGTAATTCTTTGTTAATAAGTTATAAAAATATGGAATGCAAAGTTTTTCACCATATAAGATCAAATTTACCTCGATACAGTCATATCGATGGATAATGCCAAGTATATTAAGCAGCTGCCTTTTTGTACTCGCGTATTCGCTTTGTCTGCACATCAAACATTGCATCTAAACTAACCTGCAGTTGAAAGTGTTAAATTTCAGTGTAATCTATCAGACATACCTTCAAGACAAAAGAGAAAAGATGAACAGGATAGAAGTTCTAAGAACTTGTGACCAAACCTTCACACCACTCATTGCTTCAATGTACTCAGCGAGCCTCATTTTGTTAACCTTCTTAACCTACAACATAAGCATATATACAACAGATTTTAATAATAATAATAAAAATACAAAAGAAGCCAAAAGCTTAATATACAACATGAGCATATTACTTCTGTTTCAGAGTCGACGGGGAAAATATTAGCCTTTATGTGCAAAGTTCTCAAATTACGCAGTCCTTTCAAATACGAAACCACTGCTGGGACAATCTTACCAAGCAAGCCCTCTATTTCCATACGCAAATAACGAACATCGATATCGAATGGTGTTGGCATGGGACCTTTCTTCAACAGAGCCTGCAATGTCATGAAGACAAAATCCAAATAGAAGAATCAATAGAACATAAAAATCCTGCAGGAACAATAATAAAATTCATACGCAATTTTCTGACATGCATCCACATTTTCTGAACCAAGAAAACTATATGCAATCATATATTACCAAAATCAAGTTTGAAAATATTGAATAAACCTGAAGGTAGCGCCTCTTTACATTGAATAAACCTGAGGCGAAATGGCTGTGACTGCGATCCATCGTCTGCGAGGTGCAAGCTTCTTGTTTGTTTCAAATATATTTAAAGCATATAGCCGCGCGGCTATACTCTTAGAATATTCGAATATATTATTATTTAAACAGTATAGCCGAACGGCTATACGTTTAAACTATTCGAAACAAACACGAAGTTTGCACCTCGCAGAGGATGGATCGCAGTCACAGCAATATCGCCTCTCTATAAACTCAAGCTTCAATTTTGTCATATCATTCTTGGGTTTAGGGCTAAAATACCACTTTAACCCATTGGGCTACAGTTATTTCTTCAATTATTTTATTTATGCAAAATGAGAATTTAAATTCTTTCCATCCCTGCCACTCAAATCTGTAAAATGTTGCTACTGGGGTGTGGATGAGGGTGAGGGTGAGGGTGAGGGTGAGATAGCCATCAGAAGGGAATCTGCATGGTTCAATTCCCCAAGTCTTCTCCACGTAGTCTCGAATTGTTCTATCGTTGCTAAATCTCCCCGACCCAACTGTGCTAAGGATGCTCATCTGAGTCCACTTATTTGGATCCGCAAATGCTTTATCAGCAGCAGATTGTAGTCATATAGCTTCAAATCCCATGCACCATAGTATGTTATACAACACCAAAATGCATATGTATGACTTGGGTTGGGACTGCCAGGTAAACAGAAATCATTACCCGAGCCTCTAAATAACTCTCAAAATCAGAACCAAGCAAATAGAAGTCTTTACCACCGTCCACAGTATCACATAAAGATTGAAACCAGTCTTTGCGAGTACAAGTTCCGTCCTCTGTGAGTGCAAGCCTCATGTTCGTTTTGAATATATTTAAATAGTATAGCCACTCGGCTATACGCTTGAAATATACAATTTTTTCATATAATTTTAGGGTTAAAATACCACTTTCGCCCATTGGGCTTGAGTTATTTCTTCAATTATTTTTATTTATACAAGCGATATTGGAGAATGAAATTTTAAATTTTTTCCATATCTCTCATTCTAATGATTTCCAGCTATTAGCCCATTCTAATCATTCGTTCCTGTTACTGGACATTGCTCATAGAATATCTATACCGATCACCTAATCTAGAATATCTTATCTTAGACCTTGATCGTATGTTGAATAGAGAAAACAAACCCCTCCATGCATTGGCGTTTGTGCCTACTTGTTTCTCTTCACACATTAGGATAATCTCCATGAAGGGGTTCCAAGGAAAATGTGATGAGATGTATGCGACTTAGTATTTGTTGAAGTTCGGTTTTGTTATGAATAAAATGACTGTTTATACTGCGACTGCTGCTGGTGTTGTCACTTCTTCCCACCCGAAAGAGGAGATATACAAGGAAATTTCAATGTTTGAATGTGATTCAGAGAGATGGAATGCAGGTCTCAGTTTCACATCAAAGGAGTTCAAGGATCTCTCCAAGTTATTGTTAAAGCATCATCAATCTTTGAATTTGAAGTTCTTTCTATTCTTTATGAGTTTGAAAGTGTACTCCATTTCTTATAGTACCTATCAACTGTTGAAATGTAAGCATGACATGTTGAAAATAAGGAAACAGGTGAAGAATCAATAACATCATCCTTGCAGAGATCACGAAGAAAATGATATCTCACATCAATATGTTTGCTTCTTCAGTGCAAAATTGGATTTTTCAAAAGCTTAATAGCAGAGACATTATCACAATAGATTGACGTTGGACCTTGCTGCATGTAGTGTGGTGCTTCAATTAACCTTCTCAGCCAAATGGCTTGGCAAGCACAGGATGCTGCTGCAACAAATTCAGCTTAGGTTGTTACTAAAGTTTGGAGCAAAAAGATTCAACAATTTTATGGCCTGAGACCAATGTCCCCAATACAGTTGTAAGTAACCAAGTTTCTCTCCTGAGATTGAGATGTTAATTTCGCTGCCAATCCTCAAACAGGGAAACACAAAAAACAATGCTTCCAAAGACGAGCTTTCAATGGCCATGTTTTGCATCCCATCACAACTATCTAGATGTAACTTTTGGGATATGCAGGAACATGATATCCATTTGAAAAACCTCTCATCTTCTACATTAACATGTGCCAAGATCAAGCTTTCGAGATTCGATAAAGAAGCGAGCAGGGTGTTTTAAGAATCTTACATTTAACGTCCACCTTTAGACAATTCACTGATCCACAAAGAAATATGAAATACGGAAGTGCTAACAGTGGTTTTCCCTTTATAGTCCCAGATGCTTAGATGAAGCTCTTCAAAGTTGCATCTTACAGCATTGTAGATCCACATCATGATCCGGAAAGTCTCATCACAAAAGCAGTCATCAATATCAAAGTTATGGCAAAGCCAATTAATATGAAAGCTCTCTATCTTATTATCCTCGCAATGAGACAGGAACCTGTCCAAAAGGACTCATCAACTCCAACCGCTTACTACAGGTGGATATGTTCATATCCGAAAGTTCCTCAAGATCAAACTTCAGTGACTGAGTTGAGAGAGAAAATTCTCTGCATCTTTTGGACACACAGCCAACACGAATTGCGTCTGTTAGGTCAAGGAAGGAAAGAATGTGATGGGTAACTTCGTCTGGAAGATGACTAAGTCTGTCTAACATCATGCTCTCAGCCTGAACTCCTTGACCTTCGCAACTTGCAGTGGCAAGTAACTTTGGCTTGGGTTCCATGAGACTAATTATTTATGTGTTGCTTTGTTTGTAAGAGAAGTTGGTTTCAATTCATATACTACAAACCCACAAGACATGGGAAATTAAATACTAAAACATCAATTATTTTCATTTGTACACTGTATTAAATAAAGACAAGTAGGTTGGTTTTGATACTAGCACTTACCACCATTGATGCACCCTTACTCTAGCTAGCAGGAGGATGCTTCAGCCAAATTGGGCCATACATAAAATGGAGAATGGTGCTTCGCTGGCTTTGTGTGGTTTTGTTTAGGGGAAGATTTTTACACGCCTAATCTCACGTCTAACACTCGTCTATGACTCACAAATAAGGAGGGCATGAGGTAATTTAAGAGTGATTTTGTCAAATTCACACGTTTTTTATTTATCGTATTGGCACTTGGGTTTAGCGTGTAGTCCTTTGATGTTTCCTTCTATTGAAGTTCATATTTTCGGGCACTACCCGTTACACAACTCAAAACCCCCACGAGAATTTAGCTGGATTAAAATTCGGGCCATTTTGGGGTCAACCCGTCATGAACCGTTTAATAAACGGGTGGGTTACGAGTCAACCCGCCAACCCACTAAAATACCTATGTAACCCGTTTAACAAAATAGGTCATAACGGGTCAACCCACCAACCCGCTAAAATGCCTATGTAACCCGCCAACCTGCTAAAATACTCTTGTAACCCGCCAACCCACTAACCCGTTTATGTAATAACACGATCCTAAATTAATAGTTAATTATTCAAATATTCAAATAAAAGATAATTTTACCCCGAGAATATTTTAATGGGTTTAAAATTTGAATTTTTATTCGAGAAATAATTTGGAAATTTTAGTAGTACCGTTGCGTAGAGCACGTTGAGATAAGTCCGTAGATACACAGTGAGCTCAAACTGGAGTTTTAACGAAGAAGTTACGATCTACGAAAGCCCAATTTTAAAAGTTAGAATCTTCTCTCTCTCTCTCTCTCCCCGTGTGCGCAACACCCCACCCCCACCCCCCCCCCCCAAGTTTTTTTTTGCAAAGGCAATTTTTGCCTCGCCGCCACCACCTTCGGCCACCAAACTTCACAGGACCGGTGCCAAAACAACCACCTCAACTTCCTCTTCCTACCCCACGCCACCTTCCAGTTGGTGGTCGCCAGAAAAAGCGAAAATCCAGTCTATTTTGACCCAAACCTTCCATCATTGTTTGACGATTCCGTCTACCAAATTTGTCGATCCAGGTATAATTTCTCATCCTTTCAACGTGACTTAGCTGATGGTTGGGTTGGTTAGGATCGATTTTTGCGTTTTGGAACTCGTTTTATCGCTTAAGTTTCAGCTGATTTTCGGCTCGAGTTTCAAGCAAGTTCCGGCCACTTTTTGGCCATGGTCCAAGAACAAAAGTTGCTTCACTCATTGTCCTAATCATGTAGGTATAGGTCTTGATCAACAATTATGAGATTTTCCGGTCACCGAAATTTCTCAAGACACCACGCACTGCCAGTGATGTTCCGGCGCGTGGGCACTGTTTGGATGTCCCTTTTGGTCCTAAAATGATCCTCATGTTGTCCTGAGCATGACGGTATGCTCAGACTTGATTTTGGTTATTATTTGACTGTCGATCAGATATCGCATAGTAGGCATTATTCTAGTCCAATATGCTCGGACAGTTGGATCGACTTCATTTTTAAATATGTTGATCTAGACATCTTTAGAAGCGTGTAGGAATTCACGGATTGTGAATTGAAGTCCCGGATGCTCCGATTCAATGACGTAAAGTTGCTTTAAATGATAATCGTCTGATCATGCGATCGCAAGCGATCCGACCGTTCGTTTCGGACCAAGCCGTGGGTTTTGGCTATATGTATTAGGGAATGAGTGGATATTTGTTTTTAAGTGTACTTCACTCTTTTATTATGGAATTTATTGCATAAGTGAGTTTTGATTAAAAAAATTTGATTTAAATTGGGTTAATAAGGATATGGGATCACTATGGGTTAATATTTTAAATTATTTATTATTATGATTATTATGATTATTATTAAAGTATATGACTGAGTGATATTGGATAATTTAAATGCAGTTGAGAACTTATTTTTGGAAAGTAGATAAAAAATTTGGAAAATGGATTTGTGGAATAAGGAAAAGTTTATGATAAGTTTCCGAATATGGTTTTCAAACCCACCATAGGAGTACCCCCCAGTTGCCTTTGAAATAACTTTGTCAATTATGACAATGCCCCACAAGTTTTGAGGATGCCTGAACCGTGTGGTGCGAGGATATGCATTCTCAGGCTGACTACATGTCCCCTGAGTTCTGCGAGGATGTGTGTTCTCGGGTTGACTACGTGTTTGAGTTCTGAGAGGAATGCGGCTCAGGTTGACTAAGTATCCCCTGAGTTTTGAGAAGAATGAGACTCAGGTTGACTAAGTGTGCCCTGAGTCTTGCAAGGAATGCAGCTCGAGTTGACTTTGTGTTTCCGAGGCATGTGAGGATGTGTCTCTTATGTGACACTTGAAATTGACGAAATATTATTGGAATTGATGGAATATTAGTAGAATTGACGGATCATGAATGGGGGTACGCCTAGGTGGAGAGTATTTGAATTTTGAGATGTTTTAAACTAAAATCGATGATTTTATTTTGGTACTTACTAGTGAAGGTTTTAATATATGTTTTCCAACTTATGAGATAAGTATTGAGAGTTTTCTATATTTTAAGGATTTTATATAATTCACAATTATTTTCTTAAGTGATGAATTTGTTTTTACATGTGAAAGAGGGAAACATATTTTATTTAAATTGTTGATATTGACATTAAGGTTTCACGTGGTCAAAGCTATTTTAATAATTTCCTCGTTTTCCTACTTATAAGTAATAAGTTAATTATATATATGCACATGTGGGATGAGTAGCAGATTGTTCTAACCTCAATAGCCCTTGATTGAGTCTTAGTGGATTGATCTGAATTATTTATGAAGGTTTCTCGCTTTTATTTGATTAAGTAACCTATATTTACTTACAATTTATGTAGAAAGAACTACGTATGGCTTGATCCCTTAGTAAGGGTACGTAGGCAACCTAGGGTTACTAGGTGCAGCCATAAGATCAAGTGCTGAAAATTTGTTCAGTTAAGTTATATTAGAACTTGATAATGTATTCTTGTTGCTCTAAGAGTTGAGACCAGTTTCCGATGGCAGAATGTTTTATTTGGTATAAAGAGGCCTGAGGCCATTCAAAGTTATTTGTCTGATGCTTGCTGAACGATTGAGATATGGTTTTCAATGTTAATTGTATTTTTACAGGTGGAAAGTTTTTGGAAAATATTCATTTTACAAGGGAGACTGCTGATTTTTCGGCAGAAGTCAAACCTTAAAAGAATTGTTGAGTCTTAGTTAGAAGGGCAATTTGATCAAGTGTGCCCGACACTTGCCAGGTGTCGGACGCACACAGGTTCGGCGCAGATTCCAAAGTGGAATTTGGGTCGGGTCCTGTCAATTTATTTGTTTATTCTTCATTTTTCTATTTTTTTTAATGTCTTTTAGTTTCTACCACTTAGCGGGTTAACTTGACACGACCCGAAACCCGCTCGAGAACTTAATGGGTCAACCCGTGCATGACACGTTTATTAAACGAGTCGGGTTTGGGTTGAGCATTCCTGACACGTATATAAGCTTGACACTACACGACCCATTACCAACCCTAGACACCACCAACCCACCAATCCTATTCAGACCGAAAGTTAGTTGGTTCAATTTTCTTCCTATTAGCTGAAGATTTGAATCTTGCATACATTTACTACTTTTTTTGTATTAATATGTAATAAATATTTATATGCTAAAGTTTGCAAAAAAATTTATGCTTTAAAATCTATGAATAACAATACAAATCTTTATTGTAAATGATAAAAACAAGTTTATAAAAAAAAATTTAAAATAAGTAGAAAAAGATAAGTTACAAATGAACAACTATTCATCAAAACCATTCACTCTGTTCTTAAGTAAATTATTGTCCCCTGAAAAATCCATCATGTGCACTAATATTGGATTGTCCATGGAATTGATTTAACATATTTCCAGGGATAGAATTTCTGAGTTGGGTGGCAATCAAAACAGCCAAACAAGCTAGCAACAAAAAGCAGCTACTAAAAAAAATTAAAAACTATAAGGGTCTGTTTGGTATTTAACTTAAATCCAACTTTTTAAACTTAAAAATAGAATTTGAGTTCAAAACAAAGAAAACATGTTTAGTAGCCTAATTTTTAAAACTCAAACTCAAGATCAACTAAAAAAACACCCCCTTATATATATATATATATTTAATGAAGAAAAACACCCCAATTATTAAACACAAAAAATATCTATTTTTTCAGTTTTTTCTTAACAACCCTCAAGTTCTCAAATTTTGAAGATTGAAAAACAGTTTTCAAGTTGCATACCGAACAAGTTTTTGAATCTTCAAAATAAATTTAAGAACTCCTTGTTTTTTAAAAAAAATCTAAGTTTTTGAATTCTCTATTTTAATAGGATACCAAACGCCCCTAAGCTTCATGTAATCTACCAAATTATGTGGCTCTTAAAATATTGGAGGAACCTCTAAGCAGTTTACTTGTGACTTAAAAAAAAAAGCATGTATGATCTAGGATTGTCAATCAGTATACACTTGAGTTAAATGAAAATAACAAGTACGCTTAGATTCAAACAAAACACTGAATAGCATAGAGAAGCAGTTGATCTGATTGAGCTGTCTGGAAGTTTGGGGAGACAACCCTTGACGACCCTTCATCTGGTGAGCTGTTCAGATTATGATTATCAACCTCTCTCTATCCTCCAAAAAGACAAGTTTGGCACTGGAAGCAGTGGTGGAGCCAGAAATTTAAGTAAGAGGGGGCACCTTTAAAAATTCAAACACTTTCTTTTATGACAAATCAACCTAATTTTTAAGAAATCCCTAATTTTATCACTTTTCTCTAATTTTTTTTTCTTTACTTTTTATATGAATAACCTATCACTCTTTTATGATAACAAAATACATGCAATCCAAAAGAAATTTAGACATAAAAATGAAAGAGAAACAAAGAAAATAGAGGCCATTTAAGAATTTGTGAGGAATTTTATAATATTTGTACAATATACTAACATAAAATTGTATGTACAACAATAGTTGAGAGGGGGCCAGTGCCCACCCTGGGCATGCACTGGCTCCGCCAGTGACTGGAAGCAATCTTGCTTTTTGTTATCTTCCTTACAGCTTTCGACTGCTGAGGTGCATGAAAAACTGTCATTTTCTTCAAATTCTGAGCATGCTCGAGCACATATTTTGCAAACTGAATTCCATTAGATCCAATGGAAAGCTCTATGGTTACTTCCTTAAGTTGATGAATAAAAGAATGTTTTGACATCTCCAATATCCCATATTAAACCCAGAACACTGCAGGAAAGGCAACAATCAACAAGCAAATCAGTTCAAATTTCCGCACCCAAAAAAAAACTAATCATGAAAGAGGGGGAAAGAAATAGGCAACACTTTCACTTACATCAGTTTTAGATTCAAAGAATTCTGGGTCAGACTTTATTTCCAAAGTACTCAAATTACACATTCCTTGAAAAGTGGAGACCATTCCTGGGACTAGCATATCACGAAAGCTTCCAACATGAATAGACAAATAACAAACATTCTTTAATAGCAGTGGCATGAAATATCCATAGAAGACAGCCTACAAGTTATAAACACAAACATAAGGGAACCGAAAGACAAGAATTACGAACATTAATTAAGAAAAGAACTACCGCAATATATTTGAGAAAATAAGTCGATGAAATAGTCATTACTAACTAAAAGTTGAAACTATCATGGTTTTTGAAGTACTTGATCTGTCAAAGTACTATACAAAGTTTCAGACTGACAATTCTAAAACAAACAAGAAACATCAACATGAAATTTCATTCTAGCCAGTATAACCAAAATTAATGAACAATATAACCAAATCTTATTGCCATCAGTTTTCTGAAATTAACTTACCCCCATTGCCATGCTGGGAAAGAATATAACCTAAACAAGACAAAATTGAAAAAACAAAAACCATTAAATAAAAAGAACATCTTGAAGAGTAGTATCTAGTTTACCATGGTGGTCTCTCTGTTTAGAGCAAGAGTTTCAACCTTGTTTATACTGCTGAGAACCTCAGACAATATTTTAAAGCAACGGCGATTAGAATCCAGAAAAAACTCGGCTTTTTCTAAAGACGTAGATTTCCCCAAACTTTGGCCAATCCATATATCATCCCCTGACAATTTCAAATACTTAAGATTTGGAGCAAAAATTCTTCATACAGTTATGAAGATCCAAGTGAACAAGTATGTCTTCAAGTTTTTCAGCTGAGATGCTAAGGTAAGTCAATATACCCAGGGAATGAAGCAAAACTAAAAGATTTCAAAGAGGAGCTTTCAATGGTGATCTGATTTATTCCAAAATATCTTCAAGATGTAACTCCTTGATGCACTTACATGAACATGAGATCCATTTGAAAAACCCCTCATCTTCTATGAAAACACCATCCAACTTCAAGTATCTCAGTCAATTGCAGTGTTTGAAAAAATCGGCCTAGGCGGGGCGCTAGGCGGCTAGGCGGTCGCTAAGTGGGTGCTAGGCGGCTAGGGGTTGCTAGGCGGCTAGGCGTTGAATTGACGGCTAGGCAGTAGCTAGGCCGGAGCTAGGCGGCTGGGCGGGCGCCTAGGCGGGTTGGGTCTTTTTCCGGTGCCGAACAACGAGGACGAAGCAGCGACTGCGAGTGCAAGCTTTTGGAATATATTTAAAGAGTATAGCCGTTCGGCTATAACTTAAAATATTCGAATGTATTTAGAAAGTATAGCCGAATGGCTATACGTTTAAAATATTCGATATATATTTATATATATATGAAGAGTATAGCCGATCGGCCATACCCTTTAAATATACAATTTTGTCATGTTATTTTAGGGTTTAGGGCTAAAATACCAAAAACATGAGAAGAAAGCTCCAATTGCACATCATATCTAATTCAAAAATCAACAAATTACTGTCCAACTTCTTAAATTACCGTGACAAGAAGATGGACTAGGTGTGCACAGTGCTGGAGGATGGTGATGGCTCCCTTTAGAAGGTATAAGGTAATTCTTTGTTAATAAGTTATAAAAATATGGAATGCAAAGTTTTTCACCATATAAGATCAAATTTACCTCGATACAGTCATATCGATGGATAATGCCAAGTATATTAAGCAGCTGCCTTTTTTGTACTCGCGTATTCTCTTTGTCTGCACATCAAACATTGCATCTAAACTAACCTGCAGTTGAAAGTGTTAACTTTCAGTGTAATCTATCAGACATACCTTCAAGACAAAAGAGAAAAGATGAACAGGATAGAAGTTCTAAGAACTTGTGACCAAACCTTCACACCACTCATTGCTTCAATGTACTCAGCGAGCCTCATTTTGTTAACCTTCTTAACCTACAACATAAGCATATATACAACAGATTTTAATAATAATAATAATAAAAATACAAAAGAAGCCAAAAGCTTAATATACAACATGAGCATATTACTTCTGTTTCAGAGTCGACGGGGAAAATATTAGCCTTTATGTGCAAAGTTCTCAAATTACGCAGTCCTTTCAAATACGAAACCACTGCTGGGACAATCTTACCAAGCAAGCCCTCTATTTCCATACGCAAATAACGAACATCGATATCGAATGGTGTTGGCATGGGACCTTTCTTCAACAGAGCCTGCAATGTCATAAAGACAAAATCCAAATAGAAGAATCAATAGAACATAAAAATCCTGCAAGAACAATAATAAAATTCATACGCAATTTTCTGACATGCATCCACATTTTCTGAACCAAGAAAACTATATGCAATCATATATTATCAAAATCAAGTTTGAAAATATTGAATAAACCTGTAGGTAGCGTCTCTTTACCTTGGTTGTCTCTGTATGTAGAAAATACATACATTCTCTAATAGCATATCACGAACGCTTCCAACATGAATAGACAAATAACAGACATTCTCTAATAGCAGTGGTATGAAATCTCCATAGAAGACAGCCTACAAGTTATAAACACAAACATAAGGGAACCGAAAGACAAGAATTACGAACATTAATTAAGAAAAGAACCACCTGCTATATATTTGAGAAAATAAGTCGATAAAATAGTCATTACTAATTAAAAGTTGAAACTATCATGGTTTTTGAAGTACTTGATCTGTCAAAGTACTATCACAAAGTTTCAGACCGACAATTCTAAAACAAACAAGAAACATCAACATGAAATTTCATTCTAGCCAGTATAACCAACAAAAAAAAAAAAAAAAAAAAAAAAAAAAAAAAAAAAAAAAAAAAAAAAAAAAAAAAAAAAAAAAAAAAAAAAAAAAAAAAAAAAAAAAAAAAAAAAAAAAAAAAAAAAAAAAAAAAAAAAAAAAAAAAAAAAAAAAAAAAAAAAAAAAAAAAAAAAAAAAAAAAAAAAAAAAAAAAAAAAAAAAAAAAAAAAAAAAAAAAAAAAAAAAAAAAAAAAAAAAAAAAAAAAAAAAAAAAAAAAAAAAAAAAAAAAAAAAAAAAAAAAAAAAAAAAAAAAAAAAAAAAAAAAAAAAAAAAAAAAAAAAAAAAAAAAAAAAAAAAAAAAAAAAAAAAAAAAAAAAAAAAAAAAAAAAAAAAAAAAAAAAAAAAAAAAAAAAAAAAAAAAAAAAATTTTAGAGATGGGTGAGTATGAGCTGCAGAGCACCCTAATTAAGACAGCGAAAAATGAGCTGAGGAAAAAAGTAAAAACAGAAAACCAAACCTGAATGACTAGCTATCAGAGGAAAGTAACAAATATAAGTTCATTGTAGCAAAAACAAGCTGCCAGATTGGGTAATAACATGGTTTATTCCCTAGAAATCAACATATGATAAAACACATATTATTAAGACTCATAACTTCTCTGGTAATTCATCAAAGTTACTGCGAGCCTCTTTAAATCTCCAAATTATGTCTTGTATGGATTCTGAGACAAAGACATATATTGTTGCTTCAACCGCAGTTCCTTCCTTGTCATACAAAATATAGTGAAAAGGGAAACATACTTAATGAGAAACCCGGTAACTGAGTTGATGACTTTTTTCCAAACTTCTAAGAGAGTACCTTTTCTCAGACACATGCTGATAAAACAAAAGAATAATAATGATGTTTAATGTTTAAGTGGTGGATAGAAACGTAGGGAAACAAGACGTTCAAAAGTAAGAAGGAAAGCTTGGTGTTGGTGAGAGGTAAGACCTTGGGGGCATAGACATGAAGAATGTTGGCGTGACTTGTGGATATTGACTTACTTTCCTTACACACCAAGAATTCCTATTATAATTATAATTGATTTACTTTAATTCTTGATTTCCTGTTGTAAATAGATTTAGGAATTTATTATTTACTTACCCATTCAGGTTTCGTTGTATTATAAATATGACCTCCTACAAGGAGAAGAATACACAGAAAATTCCCACAAACAAATATTCTCTCATAGTTTTCATATTTTAGCATGGTATCAGAGCGGCGATCTTGGAATTGCTGACTCTAGTTTCACACCCCCGCCACCGCTATGGGGGTTGGTGATTTTTCCATCCCTCATAGAGGTAGCACCACCGACTCCTTCTCTCCTTCTCAACCAACCATAGCCGAGTTGAGTGCCCATATGGCTCAGCTCCTACAGATGCAGATTTTGGCCCCGAATCTAATCCTGAATCAGGATCCTCTTTTGACGACCCCGACTATGACGACGACGATGACCTCGACTCTGACTCTGACTCCGACAACGACCTCGACCCCCACTTCGATGATGACTCCGACCCCGACCCCGAATTTGTCTTTGATTCAGACCCCGATCCCGACTTCGACTTCGACTCCGACCCCGACTCAGGCTCAGATCCCGATCCGAATTCCTACTAAACCTGTATCCCATACATCTTCCGCTGCACAGATTATGACTTCTCGACTAACGACCCCGACACATGGACCAAATTGCGAATTTTGTGGTGATCCAAGACACACTCGTGAGATTTGTTTTAAATTGCATGGCTATCCCGATTGGTGGGCTACTCTTAAAGATCGAGGACAACGCAATACGACCAGTAATGGTACTGGTTATGGATTCCATACTTCCGCTAAGATTGATTCCAGGAGTTGGATAATTGATTCCGGTGCAACTGATCATATGACGTTTGATCCTGATGATTTTCTGAATACTACACAACCTCGACGAACCTGTATTGCAAATGCCAATGGTGTTACTTATCCTGTGACAGGAGCTGGCACTGTTGCACTCTCATCCTCTCTCAAACTGTCTAATACTTTACTTGTTCCATCTTTATCCACTAAATTGTTGTCCGTTAGTCAGCTTACTGAACAATTGAATTGTTGTGTACTCATTTACCCGAGTTTTTGTTTGCTTCAGGATATTCACACTAAGGAGATTCTTGGTCGTGGTACTAAGAGAGGGGGGGCTATATTATGTCGATGACTTCAGTCCTGGCATGGCTAACAATGTGACGCATCCCTTTGATAGCAAACAAAAGCAAATCTGGTTGTGGCACCGTCGATTGGGACATCCGTCTTTTAGTTATATGAAGCATCTTATACCAGATTTATTCTCAGGTTTCAAGGACTCCGACTTCACATGTGATACTTGTATTTTGGCCAAGAGTCACCGTGTGCCCTACCCGTTGAGTACGAACAAGTGTACTACTCCATTTACGTTAATTCACTCTGATGTCTGGGGACCTTCACCTATCACTGCTCCTTCTGGTGTTCGATGGTTTGTCACATTCATAGATGATTGTACACGGATGACATGGCTTTATTTGCTGAAGAATAAAAACGAAGTGTTTTCCCGGTTTTCAGTCCTTCCACAAACAGATGAAAACTCAGTTTAATGCTCAAATCCAGATTCTTCGCTCCGACAATGGTGGAGAATTTGTCAATCATGACTTTCAGACTTACTTCCAACAACATGGAATTATCCATGAGACGACTTGTCCTCAGACACCGCAACAAAATGGTGTTGCTGAACGAAAGAATCGACATCTTCTTGAAACCGCTCGAGCACTTCTAATTGGAGCTCATGTTCCTCGCCATCACTGGGATGATGCTATTGTCACTGCAGTTCACCTAATCAACCGCATGCCTTCTGGTGTATTGACCTTTAAAACTCCCTTACAGGTGCTTGCGCAACACAAACCTCTGCCCTCTGTTTTGGTACTCACACCCCGAATCTTTGGATGTGTGGCTTTCGTTCATCTCCACAAAAATCAACGTAGCAAACTTGATCCCTGTGCGCTTCGTTGTGTTTTTGTGGGTTATGCCACTCATCAGAAAGGCTACCGTTGTTATCACCCTCCTACCCGACGTACCTATGTCACTTTGGATGTGACCTTTCTGGAATCTGAGCTGTTCTTCCATGACCCATCATCCAATTCTACGCTTCAGGGGGAGATACGAAGTGAAGAGCAGAATTGAGCAACTTGGAAAACGAAAAAATTCTCCTATGTACAGAAATGATTGATCATCCTGAGTCTAGAGCACAAGATTACTCTATGCCGAAAAGTGACCAATCGCCCATTCATAGCGATCAATTACCTGACCCACCTGATCCATACGAAGATATTTCTGATCCGAGTCTCACACCTACAGACAATACAGAACAACAAGATGAAGACCCCCCTCTAACTCAACAGTACCAACAGACCAATCTCCTGAGAATATCCTTGAGGTAACTACTCCTACTAGACTTGTGCATTTAGAGGATAAAACTATTGGATATCAATTACCTTTCAGGCAAAATCGTGGGAAGCCACCAAACCGCTATTCACCTGATATTGGCAAAACATCCAAGTATCCAATTGCAAATCATGTATCCACTGAGAAGCTGTCTGAACCACTCAAGGCTTTTGTGCATCAGTTGTCTGCTATCCATATTCCAACCAAGGTCTCTGAAGCATTGAAAGATCCTAAGTGGGTCCAAGCTATAAAAGAGGAGATGAAAGCTCTTGAGAAAAATCAGACTTGGACATTGGAGACTATACCACGAGGAAAAAAGACTATCGGATGTAGATGGGTGTTTACTATAAAACACAATGCAGATGGATCTATCGAGCGATACAAGGCAAGACTTGTGGCAAAAGGGTACACACAGACCTATGGTATAGACTATGAAGAAACCTTTGCTCCAGTTGCAAAGTTAAACACCGTCAGAGTCTTATTGTCCCTTGCAGCTAATTTGGATTGGCCACTACACCAGTTTGATGTAAAGAATGCTTTTCTACATGGCGAACTCACGGAGGAGGTGTACATGGACATTCCTCCTGGTTATAATACTACTCAGACTGGAACAGTTTGCAGGTTACGAAAAGCATTGTATGGGTTGAAACAGTCACCACGTGCATGGTTTGGACGGTTCACCATGGCAATGAAGAACAATGGTTTCAAACAGTGCAACTCCGATCATACTCTGTTCTTGAAACATCGGAAAGGGAAGGTAACAGCATTAATAATTTATGTTGATGATATGATTATTACTGGGAATGATAAACAGGAAATATCACAGCTACAAGACTATCTGGCTACAGAGTTTGAAATGAAGGATCTAGGTGGACTCAAGTATTTCTTGGGAATTGAGGTGGCTCGATCGCAGCAAGGCATATTTCTCTCTCAAAGGAAATATGTCTTGGACTTGTTGACAGACACAGGAATGCTAGATTGCAAACCTGCGGACACTCCTATTGTTCAGAATCATCATCTTGGAGAATATCCGGATCAAGTTCCAACTAACAAAGAAAGATACCAAAGGTTAGTGGGAAGATTGATCTATTTGTCACATACTCGACCAGACATTGCTTATGCAGTGAGCGTTGTCAGTCAATTTATGCACTCTCCAAGTGAAGACCACATGAATGCAGTTCTTCGGATACTTAGATATTTGAAGTCTGCACCTGGAAAAGGACTTATGTTCTCAAAGCATGGTCATCTAAATATTGATGGTTATTCAGATGCAGATTGGGCAGGTAATGTAACAGATAGAAAATCC